ACTCCTATAAAAAAAATGTGTCCTCGAGACAAGTTATTTATTATTCCTCAAAATGTTCAGGTTGATTAATTCGCAAATAAAATTCTGCGGGATATTGAAGGTAATCCATGCAAAAGTTTCCGAGTAATTCTTTTTTGTGGGGGGGGGGGGAGCAGTATGCGCAAAATTATCGCCTTTTCGCAGAAAATCACATTCCTCTCTGCAAATCACATGCAACTCGTGTGTGACTGTCAAATATAATTCGTATTTAACTCATTTTTAGCAGAGTGCAAGTAATTACTCTAAAAATCTCAAAGAAAAACATGCACAGCCAAAACGCTTAATGTTGAATATTAGCACAGATCAAGAGAATGAAGTTTAAGTTCGTTCATAATAATCTATGCAATGCACGTCGTTCCTTTCAAGAAGTTGAAAAATTTATTTATTGCACTTGCTGTTGCCTGCCATGGCTTGGCAGTAGTTGCGACCAAAAGAAGAGGTGTCACACATGTGATTTTTCCTGGCTGAAAATGTAAAAATAAAACAGAATTGTCCAAAGGAGAATGGTAATGGAGGTTGTGCATGTGCACGCGGCTATTTCGCCTTCAATTTCCGGAGTAGGCCAGAACACACTCTCCGCGCACCCTTCGCCATTCAAGAATTTGCGGGTATTGTCTTGTCCGTCGAATATGGTCTCACAGTGATTTACGCTAAGCTTACACCGATTCTAACGCCAGATCTGTTCTTCTATTTTGATTTCTACAACTGATAATACACATTTTATGTTATTAAAATAATAATTTACGGTCAAATTTCTTTTGGGAAGCAGTGTGCTATCCAATCGTTTGGGTAAAAATCCCCACTGTTCTATGCCTCGAAACCGCAATCCTCCCAAGTGACGGAAGAAGAACTTGGTTTGCAACAGGCCTGGTTTCGAGATCCTTAGGATTGGCATATTGTAGGGAGGGCTCTGGGGAAGTGCATATTTTCAAAAAAGTCCTTTCTCGAGCCCTATAGCAGCTCTCGCCCACTGAGATTACATCCCGTCAATGCAGTTGGCAGCCACATGGTTCATAGTCCTCCCAGCCTTCACTCAAAATAATTGATCTTACCAGCCATTTGATTTTAAACAACATGGAAGAAATTGTCCGAGGTGGTAACAATACGTGATTTTCATCGTGCTATATATCGTATTTACGTATCAGAGTTTTTACAGCATCTAGCCAAATTAATCCAATATCAATCGTCCATACGTAAATTTAATTCTTCATTCAATCCCTGAAGTATGTTTAATTTCTTTCACAATTACATTTCAGTTATTAATTTATTAGTTACTTAATATCTCGGTTTGCGACTTCGGAAAACCCTCGCCACTTTTTGTTTGAAAAAAGAATCGATTAAAAAATTGTTGCATCCTATTTTTGAAATATGTATTTAAAAATATGATAAAAAATTTTCATACAGAGTTTCAAAATTATTCCCTAGTTTTATTTTTAAAAAATTAGTCGTTATTGATGGAAATTGCAAAACACCTTGATCAATTCACATGTTTTTTCTCCATTTCCACCATTAGTTATTCATTGTTTTATAAATATTTGCACTTGCCTTCCACGCCCAGTTCCGTTACTTCCTTTTTAATTCATTCATTTATTTCTTATTTTTTTAAATTTTTAATTTTTCCCTCTTTGACGATATCCGAAGTTTATCTAGTAAAAAAAACAAACAAAAAATATTTTCAAGCTTACCGCCAAAAATTTCCCTCTTTGTTTTAGACCTGCTTTTCTTCAAACCCAAGAAGAAATCGCTTCGATAAAGAAACAGTAATGTGAATTACTTATGCATTTTTTCTTAACTCAATGGTAATTAATTATCAATGGCAAAATGATAATCGCAAACCCAAACCGAGCATCTTTTACTCAACGAGAGAGGAACTGCCCATCAATTATTACGAGGGTAAAATAAAATCGATTATTCGCGCATCCTCACGTTTCGATTCTTACGAGTATAATGCGTGCTGTTGCACTCGCTTGCAGAGGCGGATCCAGCAATTTGGCAACATCGGATTTCCTCCACTTAAATCTATGTTAAATAATCGATTCTTGTCGGAGCACCAAGCCCTCCGAAAATCGATACATTTCTATGGGTTTAAATGGAGAAAAAACGATGTTGCCAATTTGCTGGATTCGTCAATGCTTGCTTGTGCGACGAAGCCACCGGTTTAGGTCGGAAAAAGTTGAAAATCGAATCTGACGCTGAAATAGATTGAAAATAGCCGAAAATCGAATTTGACGCTGACACAGGTCGAAAATAGTCGAAAATCGAATTTGACGCTGACATAGGTCGAAAAAAGTCGAAAATCGAATTTGACGCTTACATGCAGAGTATGAACTCAAGCTTATCTGCTCATTACAAAACTTTCATCCTGGTAATCAAAAATGGGTAGGTTGGTTCGATAAAGATAACGTCACAGCTGGAACTTTTAATCTTTATTGATTAGACATCGACTCAAATGTGTGAAAAAGGGAGTAATAAACGCTGTGGCTGTATCACCGCAACGGAGACGGGTAATTCGTGGAGATAAGTAAAGAGCATTCAACAGTCTTGGCAATAAACTTGAGCTGACAAAAAAATTGCATGGTTATCATTAAAAATCCGGGTAAGCGATCCAATGCGCGCGGAATGAACTGCAAGGTTCGGACTTTTTATTTTAATTTTTCAGTTTTTTTTCTTCTTTCTCTGAAATAAACATTATGCAAGCAACAGCGGAGTCGGCTCACATGTACGGATACAAGGCTTATTATCAGGAATAGCAGGAAGTTGAAGTAGAGAGGGGAAAGGGGGTCAGTAACCTTGCAACTAGGGGAAGGAAGTACGAAGATAAATCCATCTTCGAAGTTCATGCAGCATCTTCTAATTCCCCTCTCCTCTTCATTTTTGTTTAGACAGCCGCAGTTCGGATGAATTGGTAGCATCTTGCCGCTCCGTGTTTTGTGGTGATAAACAACAACAATGGATATTGTGCAAACTACTCTACTTTTTGCAGTCATGCTAACTTGGGGTGAGTACCTAACATAACTTATTCATATATTTATTTATTTTTATTTTTCACCTCTTTCACGCGGCTGTCCCATTCATTGAGATCGGTGAAGGGTTAATGGCCCCGCGATAATTTCGTACCAACCTATTCATCGCTCAAGGCTCTAGATATTTTATCCGATGTGGCGATTTTTCAGTTAAGCAAGTAATTTTCTGTTATCATCACTCGCTGGTTTATTTTTGTTTTTTCTTTAAATGGATCTTTTCGCGATTTAATGACAGGCTTCAAAAATTTTAAATAGTTTAACAGTAAATGCTTGACTTCGTAAATGTATACTTGTCCAATCGCAGCTCTATGTATTTAACGATTCAAACGAATTTTTTATGGATTAATGATTCATTGATAATTTACTTTTTTTTGTAAAAATCCCCCCCATATTTCTTTTAAATCTTCTGGAATGAGAGAACTTTTTTAACCGTACTTTTTTTCTCTCTAATTTTTTTATCTACTCACCGTCTCGTCAAGTTTTTCATCAACATCATTTTGGACGTTGCAGACTTAGGTATAAGTTAGTGAAAATACAACGGGTTTTTGGACATTAATTGCTATTCTGCCATTAAATATTCAATCTTTCGTATCCTTAACTGAGAATTTTGAAACGTTGGCTCAAGACTCCGCCTTCCTTTTTCACTGTTAAAAAAAAAAAAACAAAAAAATCAAACGAAAGTGTTTTCCAAATAGGCAGACAATTTTAATGGAACATGTCAAATACCTGTTCAAAGGTATCAAAGTTTCTGAATTGCCATGTTTTTAAAACTTGCTCTTGTTGACATAGAGTTGACATAGAGAGCAGCAGTGCTGTAGGGTGTTGAATTAACAGTGTACGTCGAAATTTAAGAAAAACGTGTTGATGCTATTTTTTCTGCACGAATAATTCGTTATAGTATACCACTCAAAAACATAATTTACTATCGCAAAAGTAATATTGTAACAATTTATTATTCTCACTGTCCACTTCACTGATAAATCATTTTCAAATTTCACCAATAAATTACAGCGGGGTGCGGGAGAGAGAAAAGGTTAGGTACTCTTGATATGAATTTCTTTATTTGAACCTTTAAATTTTCCCTATCTCTTCGCTATTTTTATCCCTCCCTTCTCCCCCTCCCCTTGAAGGCGACAACCACACGATGAATCTGGACTAAATTCGGTTTTTTAGGCATTTTGGTGATGTCCACCCTGGTAAAAATTGGCGATAGGAGCTGCGTTTCAAAATACCATAGAAGTTCTTATAGCCGACTGGAGAGGGCGATAGAAAATCATATAGCTGGCTGTGGAAAGTGGAAAAAATCCTACGGCCGGACTACACGAAGCGATAAAAAATTATACAGCCGGGCTATAGTTCCTATCACCTTTTCGCCATCGGCTATAAAAGGCTATAAGAAATTGTATAGAAATTCTTGTGCTTTGTAAATCCTTAAGTTTGTACGGAATCACCTTAATATTTACAAAACGCACATTATATTTTCCTTTACTACATATTTTTTTTTTCATCAATTAAAATGAGAATAATCCATACAGAGTGTGCAAACATTCAAAGTCATGAGTTGAAAAACGTTGACTCCGCGAGATTAAATATTAGAGCCTAACACAAAGCGGAGCTGCGGCGCACTGGCGCCTACAAACCTAACAGGGATACTTCACGCATTGCATCCCTGTTAGGTTTGTAGGCGCCAATGCGCGTTCAGCGCTGGCTGCCCGCCCGCCGCGCCGCGCCGGCCGCGCCGCGCCGCAGTGTACCGCGGCGCTTGAAGCAACTTTTTCACACTAGAGGTATTGCACAGTATCATACGAAATTGAAGGCGCTCCAACATATTAGGAATGGCAGGCATCCTTCAAAAGTACAGAGCTTTCCTCGCAAATTAAATCAAGATACTGCGGCCCAAAAAGAGAGCGGCAGTCCAAAAACTCACTACGTCCTAGCATCCGTAATTAGTAAGGTTTAGCATACCCTTTATCGCCAGGCTGTTGATTAATCGCCATCGGCTATAAAAGGCTACAAGAAATTGTGTTGCCGACCATAGAAGTTATTGGAAATCTTACAGCCGGCTGTAGGTCTATGGTATTTTGGAACACAGATTCTAGTGCCAATTTTTACCAGGGCAGTTGATGACGTCTCCAGACACCATTTGATGCACAATTTCGGCTGTTTTCGTATTTTCCCTGACATTTTTGGCCACGTTTTCGGCGCTATTTCCAGGGGTTTCAGGCTATTTTCGCCTGTTTTCCTCCATGTGTAGCAATTTTTGGCCTTTTATGGCTCATGAGAAATTACCAATTCATGAGGTAATTGGAGAACTTTTTACTGACGTACCTACCCTTTGATGATGTCGTAATAGCGCATATTTTTGCATATCCCTGATGCTCTCGTCCAATTTCAGCCATTCATGATTGTTTTGGTTATTTCCGCCAGTTTTTGACCAATTAATTGCTCACGTTTCGTACGTATGACATATACCTAGGAGAATTCCTGAAGAATTCTCGCCTATGGTGTCATTATTAGGTTAACTTGATTTCATCATCGGTGCGTATATTCTCGGCTATTTTCGGATGTTTTCGTCCGTTTTTAGCTACTTCCCGGATTATTTATGGGGTCGTGGAGTGTTAAAAAGAATTCCGTCAAATAAGCAGCTTCAGCAGGTGTAAAATCAACTTGTTTATTTATATTCCCCTAATAGTAAAGAGCCATCTTACAATAGATCAAGCTAATATAGATTTTTTTTTCATTTTGATTTTCTTACTTTCTTGAATCACAGACTCTCTGAAAGCGCCTTCGTGTAGTTGGGTGTGCAATATTAAACTCTCGGTGAGTTAGATGTAAAAGCAAACTTGCGTCAGCGATGCCCCTTTGCCATGGATAGAACGCGGCAACTAGTAACAGGGCGCTCATCAGCGGACTCTCTCTAAGTTCCTTCATTTCTGTGGGTATGCAATTTCATCACTCCGTAATGCTAATAAAGTTGCTCGAGATCGAAGCAGATTGCTAGCATTGGCGCGCTCTTGATTTTAGGCCATGAGTTATCTTGAAGTTCCTCATTTTCAGTCACTCCTCTGTCCGTCGTTTACGTCAGGTTCTACACTGCCATTCTGAGCAAGAATGCCGTAGATCCATCAAGATTTTCCCGCGTTTTTTGGAACTTAACACCTTATAAAATAAAATCTGTTTCATCCATGTACCTCAAATTTTCAGGTCAAGTTCTTGATAGTATTGCAAAAGAATTCTGTAAAAACATTGTCTCAAGGTACACAAGTTTTTCTGCTATTGAACATTGTTTCCAAAAAATTGAAAATGGCATTTACGGCGTTTTTGCGTCGCACGGCAGTACAGCTTCCTCAGCGATTACCATGAAAGACCATTATAGGGGCAGAATCCTTTCATTAGCTGCGATATTTTCGATGGCGTTCAGTAGCTTTCCTCGCTTTGATTGGATTCCGCGTCGATGAAACGAATGTTGTGTGGGATTAATTAGATCGATACTAGTAGGTAAAAACCTAAATGATTTGGCTAATTTCAGAAACGACACATCTATCAATTGTCTGCCCCTTAAAATAGGTGCTTTCATGAAATGCACTCATTCCAATTGCATTTGGCTTGGTTTGCATTCCTCTCTTCCGAGCTCATGCAATCAGTCCAATTTATCTGCCATCTGTTGACTCCGGCCCCATTCAAAAGAGGCTGTCGCAGTCCAAAGCTGAGAAGTTCCGTGCCCGTTTCAAGTCTCAGACCCAGAAGTGCCCAGCGCACGCTCTTGTACGCAATTGGCCGTGTTTGATAAATAGTTATCTGGGAATGACATAAATCCGACCCCGGCTATCTGTAATTTCTCCGTTCTATATTTTTCCTATTTTACATATAATTTCACGCCAGATGCGTGCTAACGGCAGAAACCCCCACCCTTCCCTTCGTTGTGACAAACTAGACAAATAACGTTGTAATTACTTCCTACATTTCGTAAAATAGCTGCAGTATAACCCAAGTAGCATTTTGCAACGAAAAAATTGCAATTTAAATGAAATAAAATTTCCAGATGATTTCAACTTTCTTGCAAGAAAATTGCAATTATTTTACAACATCTGACCCCCTCATTGTAAAAAAGTTGCAATTTTTTTTTTGCAAAGAAATTTCAATATTGACGACCTTTAAATTTCAACCCCTAAATTTTCCGGGGAAATTATAATAATTCGAACCCATGCTTACCTAATGTGCTACGACGTTTAGCAGCATAAAATACCGGACGCCCTTGAGTGGGCTTGATCCCGACCCGCGTATGTCATAGCGGAGCACTCTTCCACTGAGCTACAGGGAGCTGATGATGAGCTGGGTTGAAATCACGCCTGTTAAGGCTGTTATCGCATGCATTGCGTCAGTGCGTGGCTCAACATTCATCATAGATTTGATTAACGCCGTTTTTCTCAGGCTTCTTTCTTTTGCCTATTATTTATTTTTTTTTCGTGTTATATATTTTTTTTGTCTGATTTTTTTTTCGATATCACGTAATAGGTACTCACACTAAATAAGGTGACAATATTTTCAAAATATGTTGGGCTATATGGGTTAGGTGAGACATTTAAGTCTAAAAAAATTTAAAACAACTAGAGAATTGGACGCCAGGCACATGGCGTGAATTTGTTACAACATGATTGCACCGAAATTGCAGTCCTTATAGTGCCTTGAAAAAGAAGGTTAGGCAACAAGCATAATCTACATTTCTTGCAAACTTATTGCAATAAAATTGCAACTTTTTAAGCGCCTTCAAATGAACGTATAGGCAACAAGCAAAAATTGCAATCAACTCACAATCCATTGCAATGAAATTGCAATCCATGCTACTTGGGAATATCGCAATGTTTCATGGAAATTAAAACTTTATATAACGCACAATTACACAACATAATCATGTAGGTACCTTTTAGAACGAGCATGGGAACTCATTTTATGAGCACTCACATAGAAACACATTCATATGTCTCTTTCGGCGATGGTTCCGAAAATAATCAACTCTGGCTGATTTTTATGGAATTTCTTTTTTTTTCACTCAATACTTAGGATTTTGATACATTTTTCGTTCAGTAGACACCGGGAAGCCCCCAAATTTTGTCAGGGGTCTTTAAATATTGGGATAAAGGGCTCGAGCGACAAAAATGTTGTTTTTATAGGGAGCTCTTTTAAATGAAATTAATTTAATAGATGCATGATGCGTACGTATTATCACATTTCGTACAGCACTTACGTATGCTCCACGTCATGAGTGGCAAATCTCATGCTTTTCAGTCATGAACAATGAGTATTGCTGAGAGTTACATGGCGGTTATGACCTTTAAAAAACACTTTTCAAAAACTTTTGAAAAACTGCCTATATTTTTTTCAAGAAACCTTTTTTGTTAATTTTCAAGTGAAACGTTTGCAGTATATATTTCAAGAATTGTTGAACTCGTTTTTTTTACTTTTTTAAATCTAAAAAATGTTACGCAAAAAATACTCGAGTAGGGTTCCCTTAATTATAAATTTTATCAGTTTTTTAAAAGTCTTTTTTTAAAACTTACGAGCTTCTTAGAAGATTTTTTAACAGTCGTCGCTACTAGAGTTACAGTAGCCGCACAATTTTTGCGGCTGGCAAGAACAAACCTTGTTTTTCCTTTTTTTTTCTTCTTCAAGACTAATCGACGGTGAAACTACCAAACCACGTATCTCGTTTGCGGTGTTTAAAAATCTACGCTCGCATTTTATTTTTTTGAAGTAGACCAAATCAATATCATTCCTTGAAATTTTCACAGAATTTTCTCCGCACGAAGAGGAAAAATCACAGAAATTTTCAAGACTGGACGTTAAGTAGTTTTTCATTTAAAAAATAAAGTATGACAGGAAGTCTGCGACGTCGCAAACCGAGATACGTGGTTTGGTAGTTTCACCGTCGTAATGTGACATCAGTTGCAACCCTATGTTCCTACTCGTCGCAGTAAGGGTCATAGAAGAAGTTAATCGTCGTCGGTAAAACTACAAAAACGCGAAGTTCCTTTGTGGCACCTCCAAAATCTCCGCTCCTATTTTATTTTCAAAGTAAAACGAGCCAACACTATCGCCTAAAATTATCTCAGATCATCCAAAATCAAGGAAGTTCCCAAAAAATGTTGAACGTTGCGAATTTTTTCGGTCAGAAAATAAATTAGACAGGAAGACGGTGTCACAAATCGAGATTATGCACTCTTGCAGTTTGAGAGTTTCACCGACGCGACGTACGCATGCAGCTAGAAAAAACGCATGTCACCAAAAAATTTCAGAGACAAATATTTAGTGCCCTGCCCCCTGCGCATGCGCAGTGAGCGGGAAGCTCCATCACCAAAAGCGCGGGTAATTTGAAATAAGCGCGGGTAATATGAAATTACGTTCTAAGTCAAGCGGCCCGACAGAGCACATGGGAGAATTCCATGAGCCGTCGGCAGCGCGCATGGCGCACGACCCGCCTTTCATTATTACACTTCATCTAGCGTTGAGAGTTCACTTATTAATTCACACAACCAGTTTTGATTAAAGAGTCAAAAATTTAAAAAAAAAAAAAAAAAATAATAATTTTTACGATTTACGAGTTTCTCCGCCAGGGAGTTCTTCCCGCTCGAAATCGTTCACCACCCGCCCGCCCGGAGCGCATCGGCGCGCGTGCTGCCAGCGCGGAACGCGCACTGACGCCTACAAACCTGTAGTGCTACTTCACGTATTGCGCAATGCTCGAAGTATCCCTGTAGGTTTGTAGGCTCCAATGTGCGATTCAAGCTGGCAGCACGCCGCGCCGCAGCGTGCCATAAACTTGCCCACAATTTAAAGGTCAGGGTATTGAAATCTCGGCAATTTGACATCAAATTCGAAATCAGCGACTCATTAAACAACAGTCATGAACTTTCGTGATCTTTTTAGTCATTATCCGACTTATTTCTTCCTATTCTTGAGTTTTGGACCATAGTGCGCCGCGGGCGGCGGCTCTTGAAATGGAGATGTTGCATGTGTGAGGAATTTGCGATTTGACTGTTGATTCTTACGTAAAAGTTCGCGAGAAACACGACGGTGCCACTGGTTTTCTCTGATATTAACTCCCAAGCTCAAAAAAAGTTCTCAAGTTGAGGCCAAAATGGAGGGGATATCCCACGCTATCCTGAGAGTCCACCTCTACATCAAGACAAACTCTTTATGCAAAGATAGGGAGCAAATACATTAGCAGGGTTGCCACTTTATTTGGGGACTCAAAAACTGAAAACACGGCAACCCTGCTAATGTATTTACTCCCTATCTTCGCATGGAGAGTTTGTCTTGATGTAGAGGTGGACTCTCAGGATAGCGTGGGATATCCCCTCCATTTCGGCCTCAACTCGAGAACTTTTTTTGAGCTTGGGAGTTAATATCTGAGAAAACCAGTGGCACCGTCGTGTTTCTCGCAAACTTTTACGTAAGAATCAACAGCCAAATCGCCAATTCCTCACACATGCAACATCTCCATTCTCCCCTGCCCTGGTAAAAATTGGCAGTAGAATCTTTGTTCCAAAATACCATAGACTTACAGCCGGCTGTAAGATTTCCAATAGCTCCTATAGCCGGCAACACAATTTCTTATGGCCTTTTATAGCCGATGGCGATTAAGCAACAGCCTGGCGATAAAGTGTATGCTAAACGTTACTAATTACGGATGCTATAGGACTTAGTGAGTCTTTGGACTACCGCTCTCTTTTTGGGCCGCAGTATCTTGATTTAATTTGCGAGGAAAGCTCTGTACTTTTGAAGGATGCCTGCCATTCCTAATATGTTGGAGCGCCTTCAATTTCGTATGATACTGTGCAATACCTCTGGTGTGAAAAAGTTGCTTCAAGCGCCGCGGTACACTGCGGCGCGGCGCGGCGGGCGGGCAGCCAGCGCTGAACGCGCACTGGCGCCTACAAACCTAACAGGGATACTTCACGCATTGCGCAATGCGTGAAGTATCCTTGTTAGGTTTGTAGGCGCCAGTGCGCCGCAGCTCCGCTTTGTGTTAGGCTCCAATACTTAATCTCGCGGAGTCAGCGTTTTTCAACTCATGACTTTGAAATGTTTGCACACTCTGTATGGATTATTCTCATTTTAATTGATGAAAAAAAATATGTAGTAAAGGAAAATATAATGTGCGTTTTGTAAATATTAAGGTGATTCCGTACAAACTTAAAGATTTACAAAGCACAAGCATTTCTACACAATTTCTCATAGCCTTTTATAGCCGATGGCGAAAAAGCAACAGCCAGGCGATAGGAACTATAGCCCGGCTGTATAATTTTTTATCGCTTCGTGTAGCCCGGCCGTAGGATTTTTTCCACTTTCTACGGCCAGCTATATGATTTTCTATCGCCCTCCTCAGTCGGCTATAAGAACTCCTATGGTATTTTGAAACGCAGCTCCTTCGAGAAATTGCTGGCATGTCTCTCTCATATAAATCTTTTCCTTTTGTTTTATTCTAATCGTGCAGTGCTACCAATGAGTCGCGGCTGTGAACCAGGACAGGTCCGGGAGGGCTGCCGTATTGATAACGGAGAGTGCTTCTGTGCTTCAGGATGCTACTCGGAGTACCGATATTCCAATAGAGAAGAATGTAGGAAAGCCTTGAAAGGTATGTAACTTGTGTTTTTATTCTATGAGGACAACTGTCAATTATTGTTTATTTTTCTAATTTTCTTCTTGCAGTGGGTATTATCTATAGTACTTATCGATGGTGAAACTCCCAAACCACGTATCTCGGTTTGCAACGTCGTAGACTTCCTGTTATACTTTATTTTTTAAATGGAAAACTACTCAACGTCAATTCTTGAGAACTTCCGTGATTTTTCTTTACTGTACGCTGAAAAATCCGTGAAAACCTCAAGGAATAATTTTGATTGTGTCCTTAAAAAAAAAATGGGAGCGGAGATTTTTAGACACCGCAAACGAGATACGTGGTCTGGTAGTTTCACCGTCGTTATACATTCTCATATGTGACCCTGACCAAATTACGACTGGAATGCAAATTAATACCTACCTTAAGCTGTTGGTACATACTTGTCCAGTGAAAATTCTGAATTTCAGTTTGGGTCTAAGGATTTTTTTTTGGGAGGGGGGGGGGGCTGAAAATAAAAAATGAATTGAAAAGCAATAACAAAAAAGTAAAAAAAAAGAAAGAAAAATGTACTATAAAGGATTATTAGTGGTGGTAGTTGTAGGATAAGAAGAGTATAAGACTACTTTGAAGACGAAGATCTTTTTCAGCAAAAAAAGAGTGACTGCTGATTCCCAGTGGGTATGCAGGGGCGGATTTAGGAGGGGGGGGGAGGGCACATGGCCCGTGGCCCATGGTGGTAAATTTTGCGATTTTTAAACATAGATTTCAAAAGAAAAAAAAAATCGGATTCGGAAAAAAAATTACGAACAAGTAAAGCCGACAAAAACTCACATTTCCCGAGAGTGAAAATATAGTAATTTCTACTCTTTGTCGTCTTTCGGTGGTACAAGAGATAGCAGCTTTGAATTGCGGGCATAGTTCCATAGACTTTTGCTAGTAGGTATGGTCATCCCTTTAAGAAAAAAAAAAAAAAAAAATTGCGCCCAACACGAGTACTTAAATGCGACTAATGCACCCTTCCCCCCTCCGGCACGTCCGATTCATAGTCCATCTTGATCCATTTGCAGGGCTGTCCACAGCCTTGGAACAGCACTGTCAAAATTTATGTTGCAATATGTCTAATACAAATTTGAAAATTTCAGGGAAGAAGTTAGATTCTTGTTCGAGGACACCCTGCTTGCACCAAGGCACTTGCAGTCAAACCATGAAAGAACCAGGCTACAAGTGTAGGTGCGAAGGAACTGGCTACTATGGACAGCGATGCGAATACCGTAAGTACCTTGCAATTCCATCATTATACAGCAGCAGAATTTTAAGTAGCATCGACAATTTCCAAGGACTCATTCTGAAAGCAATATTTGCTTATTGGAAAGTTCCCATAGAGCACAATGTAACAAAAATATGGGTATTGAAATAATTTTGCAATTCATTGCTATTTTTTCACCATGAAATTGTAATATTTTTACAATATTGTGTCAATATATGTCGATATATTTTAAACAATCAATAACATGTGTTTCATGTGTGAGAAAGGTAGGCAATTTGTAACAGGGAAAAAATGTGCATCTTATTTCAATTTTATTGCAATAAATTTTAACAAGAAGAGCCCCTTCAATCAGTGGATAGACAATATACACTCTGATACAATAGTAGTAATTTTACCGTGTGATTGCAATTTATCGCAACCTGCGTCGCTTGGACTTGTTATATATTCATCTAGAAATTATCAAATAAAGTTTTGAGATATTTCACTGAATCTGGTGTAAATCCAGAGGCTTAAAAAATGGGCTGAAGAAGTTGATTGAAATGTGAAACTTCAACAACTCATTTTCTGTTCGGAAGCTAAGCTTCCACTTAATTTCAGAAATTTGGTTCTTAAAATACTTTAATGACAGAAAACAATTTACGCAGTTCATCTGACAGGTGCTAATCCTGCATGTTTTGTATGAGAACAAAAGAGGAATAGTGAACAGAAATAAATATGCACTTGGTACCTGATATTTGCAGAACTGCTGCAGAACTTTTTATTTCCATTCATTGTCGTAACTGACTATTATGCTGAAAATAATCATAACGTAGAATTGATTTTAGTTTGCCCACGACATTTAGTTACACTACCTTGTATTTTGTCTGTTCGCAGGATGCCCTAGTTTATTTTCACAGTCCCGTTCACAGAATTACTATCCGTACGAGTGTGTCTTGATATAACAACATCAAAATTATCAACTATGCAAGACCTGCCGAATTGCAATTTCAAGATTTCCAGCATGAAAAGATGGCTGAAAGTGAATGTTATCTAATTCAGAAGCCCTATAATGTTAGCCCTCCTTAATTACTGAACGTAAATTAGTTGGTGGAGGTTGATGTTCACTTTAGGAATAGAGAAAAAAAGGGCAACCAAGTTCCTCTTTACCTTAATCATAAACTTGGCGTTTGAAGTTCATAACACTCAGGTTTATTCATCAAGAAAGAAAGAAAGAACAAAACAAAAAAATAATATAATAAAATAAATGCTGAAGAATATATGGACCTTTAATGGTAGTTAATCTGTTAATGTCCTGTCTTCCAGAAATTATATGATGATTATTTCACATCATACTTTTCACAGAATTCATTGTCTTTCCCAGAGGATGTTGTATACATCTGTTTAAAATAACTTTAAAGTGAAAAGCAGGACTCTTGTAAGTTGTCATCAATGAGGGTAATTCTCTTGAATTGCATATGTCTTGTTTCTTTAGGTATATTTTAATGTTAACAGATGAATTTATGCGTATGTCGCATATTATTCTTGTAAATTTATTTTGTTTACTACATTTAGAATGCCTACGTATAAGAATTCAAACCTCTCTCTCTTTATATTGGAGAGGAAAACTATTGATTATGAAGGTGCTAACATGTCGAAGACTTTTGGTTAAAGGTCTTTTTTGACTTTTTCTAAGAGACTTGGAATACCATTATTTCTTTTTTTAAAATATTTTTTAAAGTAAAAAAAGTACTTTAATTACTTTAAGTGTTCTTATTTTTTTTATTTTTTATAATATTATGAACTAGTTTCATTAAGAAAACTATTCATTAAAGATTACTGTACTTAGAAAAATATTGTGACTTTGTTTTAATTTTTCATAATGGCAACTTTTGCCCTTTGTACAATTGCAAAGGTATTTCTTCCTTCAGTCTGAGAAAACAACTTGAAAAAAATCAGGAACATTTTGTTCCAAGACTGAGCGTCTGCCGCAACTTTTTTAGCAAGTGTCTTAGAATATGAACGAGAAAAAGGAGGAGAGAAAATCTCGGCTAACAACTTAAAAAATACTGATTCAGTATTTAAGAGAACTTTCTGCTATGAGCTACTTGAAGGACAAAAACTCAAATTATATCTCATGAATGCTCAATGCGGTTGCATGAATTGAGTGATAGAGAATGGAACAACACACACTGAATCTGATTTGGGAAAAAAAGAAACAAAATTTTAATCCTCCCTGAGAATGAGCAGTCGAAATGTCTACCAACCTCCTCTCAAAAACATTGAATAATATTTAAGTTTAATTATTTTACTTTGCTGAGGACTAAATTTAAGTACCTGGAAGACTTTTCAAGGAAAATTAAAATATTTTCGAAGTACATACATTTCTGCAACAATTTGCAATCTACTTTGAGCAGGAAAACCTCTTGTCAATAGGTTTCTTGTTGAATTTATACTTTTTAGTAATTTTAGACCCACCTTAAAAGGTACTAAAAATGGACACACCGAATTTTGAAATTAGTTTTTAAACTCATTGTCATTCAGCTAGTACTTCACACATGTGAAAAGGAGAGTTAGTTCCTTCCTGCTTAGCACAGTCTAAGTCACGGTAAGTGAGACAAGCGTATGCTTTTCTGCACTCAAAATTGACCTAACGCTGAGAAACATTAATTTCGTACCAGTCTTAGCGGGAAGTTTGCTCGCCGAGAAAGAGGGACTGATGGGAATAGAAAACTGCAGAAATGGAGCCCTGATTCAAACTTCCGGCCAAAACTAAAACGACCGCTGCGAATATGTGTATTATCAATTTCAGGTGCTGGAATATAGAAGGAGCGTTTGTATCTTTGTTTCACTTACTGTAAGTCAAATTCATCAGCTCTACCATTCATTTACTAGAACAGCTCATGAAATTGACTCAAAAGCAAAATTTTTAGTCAAAGAAGATTGCAAGGTATTTTCACGAATAAAGCACACATCCATCAGTTTCAACAGTTTATTAATTGCAAGTCCAAGATATTCATCAAACTCTACTACTCTTATTTTTGATAAAAACGAAATACTCTTGAAATCTAAAACCTCTTTCCCCTAATAACAATTCATCATTTTGTTGTTGCCGTAATTCATCACAATTCCTCTGAAAACATTCAGTTCAAATTTATAGGTACTTCAAGAATTGGAATTACAACTTGACACGAGGCATAAAGTGATGATGGCCAATTCTTTTACACTTTGAAAATGCACTTGGTCCATACAGTTACAAAAATTCTCAGAGACTATCAAAGAACGATGAACAATTTTGAACATCAAGTTTTACAAGAGGTAACATAAATTTTTCTTGGGCAAAAATAAAAAATCTTCAATCATAAAAATTAAAGGAAAAAAGGAATAAATGAATGAAGGGATACGATGTAAGCATTGTACATTCTATCTCCATGAGTTAAAAAAAGGCTCTTTCGAAGTTGCAACAAATTCTAAACTAGAGACCAAGGAAAGAAAGGATTTCCGAAATTAACTCATTCCACTAATGATTTAATTGGCTCTCATTAAATTCCTTATCACAGATGAATCAAATTACTATCATGGCTGTTGTAAATAGCTGTTATAATGGATGGATGGATCTGAATTTTATAAAAGTGACTTCAAATTCAACAGACAAACCTTTGAGGAAAGAAATCTAAAATTGAAGAATTTTCCCCCCTTCCATTGAATATTTAATAGGATTGATGATAATCAGGAGTGTGCTTAAATCTAAGGTTTTGTTCATACTGTGGGGATAAGAAAGGACAACGTAATAAGGATTCTAAGTTGAGTTGTGCATCAGGCTTAGGAGAAAGAATAAAGGGTGTAATGCTTAAAATAAATGAATCTTGTTCTCCAATATTTTCAATATTTGAAATTCAATTAAGTAAAAGCGACTAGTACCTTTGGTTTGTTTGCTTGATCCTGATAGAAAACTGACTTGACTCTGAGAGAAAAGCAGTGTAGCTACATGAGGTTTTAATTTCTTTTCAAGGCTTTAAGCAATTTTGCATATTTTTGCTGGATAACGAAGGTAACATGGAAATACTAAATTGTGAAATTCAATTTAGACACTAAGTTCCATGAGGTAGAATAGTAATTACTCTAATTTCAGCCATGAATTATATTGACACACTTAAAGTTGGGTTGAAAGAGGTGTTTTTAAGATAGATGTCTTTTGCGACTAAAAAAATACACATACTTTTCAAGAGGAAACTGATACCAGCGGAAATACCTGTGGTAAAAGGCAACAGGTCAGGACATTGTCTTCTTTCACTTTTAAAAGGACAAATTTAATGATGCTCACTGATACACAGTTTACCCAGCTCCCTTTTTCAGGAGCATAGCAGGAATTTTTGTATCTTTTCTTCTTGAGGTAATGTTTTTCATTGGATAAAGTCATTCATTTCAATATATTTCTTTCATTCTTTAGTTAATTTATGCGGTCTTTGATGATAATTTTAAACGAAACTTTTTTTGGCCATGATTAACTTGTAAGAAAAGTTACTTGTAATTTTTACTTAATAGAGAAGTTGATAAAACAGTTGGTAGTCTAAATTTCAGCTGTGAATTGACTTTTCTCAAAAGTAGTGCAGTTTTGGAATAAAATAAAGTCTCCTTAATTTTTCTGTTATGAGACGAACATTGCTAATAGTTAATAAAACCTGATGAGTTTTTCTGACTTAAGTTTCAACGAATTTAAGATTTGTAGGAATGGAATCCTTATTCAAGACTTGTGAAAGAAAAAAAATTACATTCAAATTGAAAAGCCAAAAGTATAACAAGTTTATAATCAATGATTTAATTGTGGATTTCTGAGTTTGTACATTTTTCAGTCTAGTATATAATAAGAATACTAAAGTGTTCACAGCAAAACAATTAATTAAAAGAAAGGGAGGAAAAGGGTAGAATACTTAATAGCATTTAATTGAAACAAGTCCTGGTGTGATAAAATTCCAAGTTAGTATTGTAGTGGCATCTGAAGAATGCAGTGAGAAAGAAACCAGTCGAGCAACTTTAAACATACTCCATTCACAACATTGACTGCTTTACCATACCCTCCCCCTCAAACCATGGAAACCGAATATTTTCTTCTTCTTTTTCATGATGTCAAATGTTTCTCTTCACCAGTTTGCCTTCCTGATGTGACTTATGGCTACCGTAACTTTTTTTTCTTTTGTACTCAACATATAGTTTCACCCCTAATTTCAAACATGGTTAAAAGTATAAAGTAAACATAGTGTCTCAGAAAAAAGACAGTAAAATACTGACTAGGTATAGATTTAGTAAGAAAGGTGAACTCCTAAAATTACTTTTAACACAAAAACTACTTTAAAAATAAAAATTAACTGAATTTTAACAAGTTCTTAGAGCTGAATTTTAATCTTGTCATCAACAAAAAAATCCGAGTTACCTATTTTATGAGAGAAAAGGATCTGTGATTAAGGAAGTTAAAACTGGGTATCTCATATGGTACCGTTCACCTGCACTGAGATCCAAGTTAACAAACTGATAGACAAGTAACGTCAGAAAGATGAGGAAAGATTCCAAGAAAATTTACAGAGTAATTTCTGTAAAGTCAAAATGTTAGAGGGTCAGGAGGAGCTATTTTTAAGGCTTGAATTTACTTAAAAATAAGGTCCCTCAAACCATAAGCGCTTTTGAAAGGAAACCTTGCAAGCTATATATTTTAGAAATTTCAGAACTGCTCAAAATGATGTACTTCCATTCAGTGAAAAGAAAAAGAAGACCATGGCATTACGCTTAGACTTTTGCACAAATAATATAATTGCTCCTTGGGTCACCTTAACCGCAGAGAGAGACGTTAAGTTTTCCAAGGAATGTAAGGCATAAACGTTTTATATACCTCAATTCAAGGAGATGAAATTTTGGGAGGTGCGACGCTCAAAAGCTCCAAAAAACCAGATCTACAATTTCAAGATGAGAGGTACAAAGGATCCTATCGTTTTATAAATAGTATTTTTTTTAGATCATCGTCAGTTTCACAGCAGATCTTGTTTCCTAGGGCTGAACTTAGTTTCTATCTTTAACAGTAAGACAGTGGAGAAGTATTTGAAGTAAGGATTTTTCTCTCGTAGTAAAAGAGTTATGTATTTATGACTGGCATCTTTATTCCTTCAACTTTCTCAAGGAAAAATTCCCTGATGAAGATGCCTTTCAAAAACGGAAATGATAATGATTCAACAAAATTTGTTTTACGACCGCCGACATCGCAATTTGTTTTAAAAGTACAAGTACACATGATTTTTCTCTATTGTGAAACTACACAGAAATCGAGCATGGATTAAAACTTAAAATCATCAGCTTTTATTAAATTAAGACTGAAAATTACATGGGGAATTTTTGGCAATCAAGATTTGATACATCACTTTAATCAATAAAACAACAAACCTTGCAAAAACAAAAAGAACCCTGAAAAATGCTTACTCTCTTGAGATGAAAGGAACTTACAATTCTTGTTCTTCGATACTAGTTTGACAGGAGGCAAGTTAAAATAATCTGAATCTAGCCAAATCATGCAATCAGTTGGAACAGATTAAATAAAGCAACAGCGTTTTTTATACTATGAAAAGCTGGAGCAAAACTGATCAACTTAAACTTAAAATTCAAGGTACAAAAACACCTAGAGAGAAAATGGAATTAAAAAAAAATTACTTTCACGAGTTCAAAAACTTAAAACAACGTAAGGAACTTTATGTTAACGGCCTTTAAATTAAAGGAAAGAAAGAGAAGAAGGACCATGTCCTCACCAAAGATTTGAGAACTGATGCATGTTCTTATCACAATTCAATCAAACAGTGTTATGAAATGTACGTGGGGAATTCTTTGGGCTAGAGATTTTGGATGAATGACTCCACTGTTCATTTTAACAGGTGGCGACGAAGCAAAAAAAAATAAGGAAAAAGTTAAGCTCCAAGGAAGAGAAATAGATGTTAAAAGGATACAACATTGAAAATTTAGCCGAGTCTAAAATTAAAGCTTATTCGTACAGAAAATGAAATTCAACCATGATACATCATGCAATGGACACTATTATTGATACTGGAAAGCAATTACAGCAATAATCTATGGAAATATTAATTTTCTTATTGTGAATTTCTGTTGCCCTTGCAATTTTTGAAACATTCTCCAGTGGGAGCTTACGAGTTACTATCTGAGTTGCTCCTCTAGATAGTCATTAATGAGAGAAGCTGAGGTAATTATTGGAATATTTTGACTCGGTAAGGGATGATTTTTGAACAGGTTCAGAATTGTCTCAACCAAAAGAATCGGATTAGTGGTGTAGTAGAACAAAAATGTTGTGCATGTATTTCAGTTTGATAATACAGGGTTTTTTATTCCTTTCTTTTATATATTGGAAATAATTACCAAAAAAAAGTGCTAGTTTAGAGAGGTTGATGGATAAAAACACCCGTTTTACATGTTACGGAAGAAAATAAAAGGGGTACGTGCATATTGTTCACTACTGCATGAATGGAGAGAAAAGAAGATTGCCATTGACGCTTAACATAACATCACTGATCATGATCAAAATTATAAAGACAAGAATCCAACTAGAACGCAGGTGGGCAATACGGAACTGTGCTTGAAACGGAAAATTGAAAACTTCTATTCACAGTTACTAACAGAAATTATCGAGTCAGTTCCTTACAGTAAAACGTATAAAAAAGATTGCTTTATAAGTTCTTTAGAACAATGAAACAATATCAGCAAAGGATGCAGAAGAGAGTGGTTACAGATAATTACTCCTAATCACAGGCAAGTACAAAAACAGGACCACCAACAACCACATAGAACAATGCAGAATTATTCTTTAAGGGTAATGGTATGGGGAGAGAAAGGACGGGGATAGCGGGTGGAAGCCTTGGAACTTCGAAACTTGTATAATTTATAAGTTAAATTGACAGGACTAATTTTCCACTTAAAATTTCTCTTAAAACATGAAGAACTCTGACTGGAATTTCTGTTAAATTAATTGTACTTCACATTCAGAGCAAACAGGTTTACCAAATGACTTGCGGTAACCTGGAAATTCCAGGAGAATTCACCCATCTTAATGAACTTAGCGTTGTCTGAAATAATTGAAAACCTTCTGAGTCTTTGCAAAAAGTGTCCAAAGAAATTGAATAGTCAACAGTGTGTTCATTTTTAAGATTTGACCGTGTCAGCAATATGTGAACCAGAAGAAAGTTTGCAATTGATGCAAATCCAAACATTTCAAATCTCACACCCTTCATTTTCTCATTCAAAGAAACAAGATTAATTTTTGGCCTGGTCAATTGAAAAAGACTGGAATAAGAGTTTATCCTTCAGTAGCTAATTGATATTCATTTGTCTTCAGTGACGGATAATTTGAAAAGTTGGAAAAGCAATAAGTTTTAATCCCTCCTGACTTTCATTCTTAGGATCATGTAGATCCCTTTGTTAACACCCAATAAAAGAAAAACGCCAAACGCTACACAGATAATGACTTTTAACTGGAAAATTAAAAGATACTTGTGCTTTTGAAATCAGTGAGAGAGTGAAAGTAAGTGAAATTTGCGACTTATTTATCAGCGACACACCGGTATCAAAGATGTTCAAAGGCCATTGACAATAGTCATTGCGACCGATGGGATTGAATAATTCAATACATGACGCTTTTCTTACAACCAAATACTTCTTTCAACTCCTGTTTTTGGAGTTGAAAAGTTCTTCAACAATCACCTACACCACTGGTACAAAACACTTGGAGACTCAATTAATTAGCGGGATAATTAAAAAACTTCTGATAATCATATCTAAGCACAAGTGTTGTAAAATCTGAAAAAAGGAGATAAAATTTAATGTGCTTGTAAAAATTGAGAATATTTTTTTTTTTTTTTTTTTTTTACATCAATTATCATATTTTCATAATTAACAGTTAGGTAGAGTAAGTTACTTATACCTTGATTAAAGAAACTTGAAGATGGGTCAAAACGATTGAGAGATTACAAATATTGAATCATAAGTGAAGAAGTACAAAGACAAAAAATTGTGGCCCGTAATCAGTAACAGAGAGGGTAAGCGTTTCATTCTTGTGTAAATCACAGTACTCTTTGTTCAGAAATGTCACAGATATTTTTTTTAAAGAAAGAAAGAAAAAAACTATTTCAATGATCATAAATTAAACACTTCTTAGGCTTTAAAACCTCTTCAAATTGATTAGACAAGAAGTGAGGAACAAAAGGGGAGAAATTTCTAGACTATATCAGTGGGAAAGAGCGTGATTTGGAGTTAATGGAGCAGAACAGGTCTATAATGAAAGAAAACTGTGACAGTCAACTTACAGTATCTTAAAAGAGTAGCATTTACAGTATACAAAAGAGATTTCTGATGGGTTGGAGATGAAAATTGTATAGTTTCCCTGTAATGATCTTTGAAACTGCTTTCTATTGGGAGATTTTGCTTTTGAATCAGGTAAAAACTATGGGAATAAAAACAATAAATACTTATTCAAGAATCACGCCAGGTGCTCTGGGCCGTCGTGCGTCTGCTGAGAATCCTTTGGCATTGTTATCTGCTCCGCGAGGTTGTCTGATGACAGTCAATTTTGGGCCACCATCATCAATGGAAACAGTTCTTAATCTGCTGATTAATCGTTCAGGCCTGGCTTCAACTGGCCCATCCCTGAAAAGAATAAATGTTGAAAACACCATGTTCTCGAGACAATTCAATTGAGCTTCTTGGAGGGGAACCAAGTACAGTGTAATCTATTTCATACATGCAACTTCTTCTATCGTAGTGGTTCTCAACCTTTTCAGTTTACAGACCCCCGAGGTTCTTTTTGATCGAATCTTGGCCCCCTCTTCAATCTTTTTTAACCCTTGCGACGTGTAGATGATGTTGTCACAGAAAATACATTGTGCCATGATTTGCCACCACTGATGAATAAGGGAAGGATGGAGAAAAGAAAATCAACTAATAGGGCAGTGAGATTAGAAAATTGCCGGAGCAATCACTGGTTCACCCTTATTTCTCCTCTTGCAGAATCATCGAATGTTTCAACTGAAACATTGGCTCGAAGCTTTGCAATGTGAATGGTTTATCCGAAAGCTCAAACTCTTCTACATTCAAAGAATTACCAAGAGATGGCTTGATATAAATATTATCAACTACAACCGAGAGAAAAATTTTAACAAATAAGTGTCAGTGACACTTTAAAAACAAAACCTTCTGCCCTCATCTTACTTCCCTAGCTCAAAATAAAGCATAACGCACTTACTTCACTTTGGTTATGTTGCATGCTGATGATCTGCCAGATCGTTGATTGGTGACAAGGAAAAATTCAACTTGATCGCCGGGCTGGAGTGGAACTCCGTCATTTACTTCAGTTGTGCGGAAGAACAGCTTCTTTCCTTCTTCAACTTCGTAAGACAAAAACCCGATAGTTCCTTTGACAGAGTCAACAGTTGTTCGTCGTTTAATTCGCACAGCGACTAAATTTGCAGCCCTGCCTTTTGAATCGACTTGGAACTGAACTGGGTCATTTGCCTGCAAGAGCTCTCTTTTATTCACTAGGCTTGTTATGTTGAATTCATATTCTTTAGCTTCGGCATCTTCTGAAAACATAAAGATGAATGAGTAAGACATACTTAACTTAAATTTATGGTTCAATAGGTAAAATTTCGATGACTTGGATACTTTTCCCCATCAATGCTTCTATGTAGATTGGTCTATGATTTCGAGTCATATACTGTGAATAGACAACCCAAAGAAGGAGGCATGCTATTGCCCATTGTTCGGACGAATGCTCAAAATTAATGTGCTTTGAGGAGTTTATAAATCAACTGCTTAAAGTGCAAACATTTGGTATTTAACAAAACTGAAGCCATGGTCTTGCGAATTTTAGCCTTTTATTTTTGAGAGATTTATGAACCAAAATGAACATGTGACTGAAAGTATATCAACTAACAAAAATACACTCTTTTTTAGTGCACAAGTCTAAAATCATGAGTTTTCCCATGAGTCCTAACTAAAAATTGACTTTTTGTTGATATTTAGTACTTATTTATCCAGTGTTTTATCATACATTATCAACAGATATTTATACTGCAAAAATGAATAATATACATTAATTAATGTTTTCATTTTTATAACAACTTATTTATAAGGCTGGTTCCAACAGGAACAGTTTTTTTTGCTGTAACTTTTGAATAGTTTATGATTTTGGGGACATTTGAAAAGGTGTTTGGAGATGCACCAAAATTGAATCTTAGGGTGCAAAAAGGAAGTTATTTCATTTAAATGTCAATGAACAGGCTTTTAACTAGTGAAAAAACGCGATTAAAAGCTTAGAATCGCTAAAGTAATATGAGAAGGAAAAAAGAAACTTACCGTCAGCAGAGTTTGACCTTATCAAGCCTGAGTACTCTGGCTGATCAGGATTGACGGAACGCATAGACCGGACGACAACTCCATCATAAACTGTTTCGTCTTCTACAGTTGCATCTGGTTTGATGGTGCCTTTAGGAAGAATCCGAACATTTTCTGCAGATTTGCAGGTGCCATTAGCAGAATTTTTGTAGGCTACAGTGTACTCTACTTCAAGACCTAGCTCCAGCTGACTTGGATCACCATGAAGATTACTGGAAGCACGAGAAATGACCAAAGGTTAGGACAATCAAACTCAAAAAGTCCGTTGTGCACAAGACTTGCTATTATGCGGCTCAGGTGGTTAAGTCCACGCAAATAGAATAAATAGCATAAAATAATAATAAAAAAGACCATTCTTTGCTGGATCATAAAACAACAACTCCTGCTTTATGTGCTCATTGTGATTTTTAAGCCTTTTTTGATAAGATGCAACTGCCATTTGCTCTAGCATGAGAAAGCGACAAACCCATTGACTTGTAATAAAATATTTGGCTTTTACAGCATTTCTCTTTCAAGTAAATTCCCAGAACATCCATACTGGTCAACAGTTAAGACAATCAAAAAAACTAACTCTTCATGACCAATACTCACCTATAGTGGAAAAAGACTTCGCGATCATGTGTAATCGTCTCGATGAATCCAAAACTTTCTTTGATAGCTGCGATGTAACCTTGATGAATGTTTGAGTTGCTGTTTTTGGTGTTATTGGTGTGATTGTGATTGCTATTAGTAGTGGGGTTTATATTCTTGTTGACCAAGGACACATTGGTTGCAAGCAAGTCCTTCGTTCTCTTTACCTGACTGACATTAAAAGTAACCTGAAAGGCAAATAAGTTCAAATTAAAGCAGGTCAGGTTAAAACAATGAAAAGAAGGTCTTTAGCTGACAGATTATCTTTGAAAGTAAATTAAAATAGAAACTATACTTGTGCAAGCAAAAGAGAGAGAAAGAGAACAACCTTCTTTGTCTTCTGCAAGTTTTTTTCATAATTAGACATACGACTTCCTGAAAATGCTTTTCTCACCCAATAGAACCAAAATGACAAAAAGTCTGGGGAATAAATGGATTTTCAATGGGAAGAAAAGAGATTGGCTGTTAGAAGATCTAATAGATAAGTTAATGTGTTACCACCACCTCAGATTAGACACAAGGGAATTTTATTACACAAGGGAATTAGAATTTTATGCGATTCCGCTATAATTCCAGCTATAATGCCAGATTTTTTGAAATGATGTTCCTAACCATATCCTGAGTAAGATATGAAATAATGTTTGATGCTCCGCAGCCCGTGACAAGATATACAATGATAACAAATTGAACAGCGAGTAACATCCTGAGTGAGATTATCGTTAAATATCACCCTTTCTAAGGGCCAATCTTGAGAAAAACGGGTCCAAAGAGTGCATTTTGCAGCAGTTATACATATACATGCATTATAAAGTGGAAAAATGTCGTTCATATAAGAGCAAGCTCTTTCTTCCTTGTCTTGCGCCACCCAAGGAGATAGGACAGCATGTCAACTCAGTTCAAAATAATAGGCTACACATCTTCGACTTAGCAACAATGTCACTTCACTGTAAGATGACAAATGCATACAAATTTGCCGAAAAATGCACATTTCAGATTTAATTTTCTCAAGATCAGCACACAGAAAGTTCGATTTTGAAAGCTCATCCTACTCAGGAGATTGTATCCATATTAGAAATCTTGAAATCCAGCCGGTTCTAAATTTCTTGGTATTCCGAACGTAGTTTTTTTTATTTGGACACATTTGAGCACAAGAGAAGTCTATGTTAAATGTTTTGCTTTCCTCTTTGAGAAAATATAAGGGACCATTTGTGACTTCACCCTAAAAAATCAGCAGGTATGCTATAGAATATCCAAATTTCTTGGTATTCCATACATAGTTCTTTTGATTTGGACACATTTAAGCACAAAGGAAGTCTATGTTAATTTTTTTGTTTTTTTCTTTGAAAAAATAAATGGGTCCGTTTGTGACTTCACACTAACAAATCAGCAGATATGCTATAGAGTATCGATGATTAAAGTGCGAAACCAAGTACCTCCATTGCAGTGTTTCAAAACCTCTGCTCCTATTTTACTTTTTTTAAGAGACAAAGACAAGTATTTAGCTTGAAATTTCTATAGAATATTCTGCTATTAAAGAGGACAAATCAAGGAACTTTTCAAGCAATTAAGTTAACCAGCTTTCCAAAGAGAAAATAAAATGACATGAAGTCTTCAATGTCGCAAACAGAAATACAGGATTTCACATTAGTGTTCTGCCTTCCCAGGGCGCCATGCGCCGAATGCGCCTAAAAATCGGGCCTTGGCGCCTAAAAAATTTGACAGATTGAACTTGCAGTTCAGTTTACCATCAGAAAAATATGGCATGTTTTTATAACAGCGTTATAAAACCTATAGCGTTTCGCCTTTTATACACTGCAACTTCGCATTCGTGCCTTCCGCTAATTTTCATTCGCCATGGCCGGTATGCAAAAATTTAATTTGGCTCCTTAAAAATAGTAGATGGCTCCTAAAAATTGGGCTTTCCGGCCGAGGTGACTTCTAAAATTTTAGGGGGAAGGCAGAACACTGTTTTACATGTTGGGCAACGCTATGCTAGGATTAAAAATACAATCTCAATTTACCTGATCGTTGGCATGAGGAAGCTTGTAGGAATCACAGTTCTTGGCATAATACTTTATTAAAGGTTTCTTGACTCCATTTGACTGGTAGCAAATCCAGCCAAAGCTCTCATTGGAATCCGATTCTAATCCATTGCTGCTCTTAGACTAAAAAGGAACACCGAAGAACATTACTAACAGTCAAGACAATTGAAGTACATGCAGCACTAGGAATTTTATTCCACATGAAGAATGATTTTGTAATTTGAAAATAGAGTCCAAGCCAAAACAATTTGCACACTTTTAGAATGTCACAGAAGATCAGCTGTCTTCAGTTTGGCACCATAAGTAAATGGAAAAGTCAAGATGGTAGATCTTGTCGCATTCTAAAAGTGCGTAAACTTATTTGGTACGGACTATATTTGACCTGACTAACAAATTCAGCAACTTATCATCATACAAAAGAAAATAAATACATCATGGCTTGCTAAGAGCGATTAATTTATCTAAAATTATACCTTGGGACAAAGCAAATGGTAGTTCAATCTGCTGAGAATGAAAGAATAGATACTATTTTGAAGAAGAAAGTGAAGACCCTGATAAAATAATCCAGGAGGTAAACTTAATTATTTGGTTAGTTGGGTTAGCAGTGAATGGTTGGATTAGGGTGTATAAAAGAATTCAGAATTGTGATTCCGTGACATTTGTGAGGTTTCCCAAACCAATCCAATTCTGTGACTTTTTGACTTTTGAGCCCTCCAACTTTTTGATTTTGCTTTTTGTGAGAAAAAAAAAGGAGGTAGTAATAAGTGCTAATGAGGGTTGAATCTATTGTTAAATTTATTCAAATTTGGTGAGGCAAAATATTGATACTTACTTTGCTTGGACTTGATCTGACAGAATCACAGGGCTGAACAACAGTGCCTGTGACGTTTGACTCTAGAATTACTTCAAATTGAACTGAGCCACGTTCCATATGCTTGACTCGAATAGCCTGCTTTTCATTGCTCATAAATGATTCCTGTAAAAATAAAATAACATTATCAGTATCAAATTTATGTGTTTAATGAATTTGAAAGATTGCCATGAAACTACAGTAAACTATAATTTACATATTCTCAAGACTGCTACTGCTTCCTACGGAGAAAATGTCAGGATACAGAAAATTCTATTATAGAAGCTCATTGTACTCAGGAGGCTGTTAGGATCATCTTATCAAAGAATGTCGAAAATTAGCTGGAGCCGAATTATTTGGTATTTTATGCATAATCCTTGGTCAGCACCATGACTGAATCAAGTAGTTCGAAAATATGCCACACCAGTATTTGGAGAATGGCTTTTCAGACAAATCCTGTTGAATGCCTGCCAATTATAAATTCCTATTCTGACATAACAGGTGCTTGTAGAACTTAGAATCAATACCTGTAAAATGGAGATGAGGAGTATGGTTGGCATTGACAGAGAAGGTTGAGAAAAGAGGTACAAAAATAAATAAATAGAATAATGACAAGTTTTTTAATTATATGATTTAATTTAGGAACTAGTTTTTTATATCAAACTTATAGTTGGAGAAAATTATGAAGAGTACCTGTTTCACGGTGAATTCGACTTCATCTCCAACAGATATGTCACGATCTGTGTCAATAACTTCAGAGTACTGAAACTTGACGGCTTCTCGTTCAACACAGTCGATGAAGCCGGTGCTTGTTTTATCGTTCAACACAGCGATAACACCTTGTTCGCGTTTCTCACCAGAGACCTCAAAAGAGTCGCTCATGAGTGATATCTGGGTAGCCCTCTTCAGCTGATCTCTGCGATCAGTGGCAATTCTAAACTGTACCCAATCACCATGCCTGTTCAAGAAAAAAAAATACTTAGCTTAACAATGATGAAAAAGAAGAAACTACAAAACCCAAAGGTTTTAGAATGGCAAACAAGGGTCAAACTATTGACAAACTGTGGGTGCGGTCAGCTACACAAGACAATTATCCTCATGTTAACTGATTATTTAAGCACAAATTTCAATTTTCAATGGGACATAGGGGAAAGAAGTATTGAATAATAAAAAGAAGCATCAAATAGTCCGTACTTAAATGAATTCCGTTCAAAATTAGCTTTTAGTACATAGTGAAATTTCACCATTCCACTCACTGCTGACGAGTTTCAATACTGCAGCAATTATGATTTGAGCGGTTCAATTCGGGTAGAATGCATGATTCAAGATCCAAATGGAGAGGTGCACGTTGGAAACTTTCTTAGGATCCCCGTTACAATTTCAAGATTTACACTGAAAATGATGTAGAAACGATAAAACCTGATCTCGATGCGAATCGAAGAGAATACACCTCTTCCAAGCGCCACTTTTCCGTAGCCTTAACCCTTATGTTCACTTCCAACTAGAGTGCATGTGAATGTACACCAGGGTGTCTACTGAGGTCCACAAAAATAAAATTAGTACTTTTTAAGTACTTTCTAGGTACTTAAGGAAAAATTTAAGTACCTCGCCTTGGGGAAAATTAAGTACTTTTTAGGTATCTTTTCGCAATTCTTCGATTTTGGCACTGCCGCGCGCTTTACTTCGGATATTCCCGTGGCCTTTTCGGCTGTTTCCGTCAAATCAAGGGAAATGCCTTGTTCCGCTCCTCTACAACAACGCGCTCTTACAGGCTGACATTGTACTAATACGCCAGACGGCCAATGCACAGAGAGTTGCATAACTATCAGGCGATCGAACTGAACGCGCAGCGCAAAATGCGCAAAATTATGGACCTTCCGCGAGATTTACGTACTTTTAAGGTACTTACGGACCGACATTGAAAAATGCGTACTTTTTACGGACTGGTAGGCACCCTGATGTACACTTTTCAAGTCTGAATAGAGACTGAGTAAACTTACTTGAGGGTGTAATTCCTAATTTGATCCTTGTCACCAAAAGGAATTTCCTCTTCGGAGTGATCAGCAGCTCTGTAACGAATACGCCCAGGAAGGGGATCCGAGGCCTGGGGCTGAGACTTGGCACTGTCTTCAAGGGTTTTCAGCACTTGCCCTTTCATAATATCATCACACACATCTTCAAACACGACTGATCCAGGAGGCAAGATTCGCATATTGACCGCTACTTCTTTTCCCTGTGATATAATAATTGAGGCATTGAAATTTAACCTGATAATTAATGCACGAGCAGAGATAAAAAACGAGTCCTATGACATATCGATGGTGTAAGTCCGCAACCACTTATCTAGATTGCAGTATTTGAAAATCTTCACTCCTATTTTATTACGTTAAGGGAGAACAAATCGATATCATTTCTAGAAGTTTATGCAGAATTTTTTTTTGCAAGAAAAGAGAAATCACGGCAATTTTCAAGAATTGCTCATGAGTCGTTTTCTATTTCAAGAATAAAATATGACGGGAAGACTGCAAAGTTGCAAACCGAGATACGTGGTTGCGTACTCTGATTTGTTAGTTTCATTATTAGACAAACACATTCAATTCCTTCTGGAAGTGTCTACGATTGGGAGAGTGCTTATGTGATTTACGGATGTTTTGTAGTTGCTCTCTGAGTTTTAAAGAGTGATTTGCAGAAATTTTTGGAAGGTCTTCTCGAGACTTGGTAGAATTTTGACGTAAAATTACAGTAGAAGTGGAATTTTGATAGATGTTAGGAATTCGGGAAAACTGAGGGAGAAAAGTAGCAGTGTCTGCCTAGCACCCAAAAATTATGAACCTTCTACACTCCTGCTGAAGACGTTGTGTACCTTGAAAATCACACCTAAAAACTGAAGGGTTTTGGGATACATGTTTAAAAGGATACCTCTTTATTTTTATTTACTTATAATTGAAGCGCTGGATGCAGAAGGGCTGCTTTTTGGTTGGGATGTCTCAGAATCTTAGCTAATGTTTCATCTATTAATATAATATCAAATACATGAAGAAATTGGTTGAAACTTTCACTGAATAATCTTTATAATTATACAATGCTCTAAAAGAAACATTTCAGGAAATTCACCTAGCAGTTTCTTCTTTAAAATATAAATTAGCAGTGGAAATTCTGAAACACCGTAACCAAGAGGTGCCCTTTCTGCACCAAACGTTTTAACTGTGTGCATATTGTAGGAGACAAAGAACAATTGGATTACATTTTGCAATAAGGAACCACTATTTCTGGCCCATTTTAGGAACAACATACGTGCCATTGGTTTCCCTTTGCAGATATGTGCTTTTATGAAAAAGCCAGAGATAGTGGTTCCTTAATGAAAAATGTAATCCAATTCATGTTTGAAAACAAAAGAATTCAGGGCATCAACACTTAGGAGAATTCTTTTGTGATTTTGCAGAAAACAGGTTTAAAGTTCAAAATCACATGGAGCTTGCAAAAAATTTCAAATCGTGTCATGAGACAAAAAATTAAGTATCAACACTCCTTTCTCTACAGTGATACTTGCGGACTAGCTTGACTAAAAGCAGTCGATTCTAAATTTTTCCAGAAGTGTCACTTGACAGTTTTGCTCCTGCATTGGGCCCTGACATTTTGGACATCTGCCCTGTGCACCCTCTAAAATATGTTTATACGACAGTACTTTACAATGATGTCTGTCTTTAAAAAGAATTACTTACTTGTCTGGTCTGAATATTAAATTCAACATCATCACCCAACTGGAATTTGGTGCTTGATTCTTCTTCAGGAACATGGAAGAATATTTCTTTCACCACATCCGCTCTTTCTATGTAGCCGTATGTTTCTTTGATGGAGCAAATTACACCTTTGTAATTGACGGGTTGAGCAGGGTTTTCTAGTCGAACATGGCTGGCACCTAAGTTGCCTCTGTATAACAGAAGTCAGATTTGAGATTAAGAATAGTTGTAAAAATGAGAGAAATTTTGTATAGCAAAATAGTGAATAAGAGGGCTGTACTGATGATTATTTCAGAAAAAGCTAGCTCATCTTGAATCAACTGAGAGTAACTTACAAAGATGAAAGAGGCTAGCTTAACTACTCTATGACCAGAACCTTTTCATTAGTGTTCATCTTGCGATACTTCTCCTTTCAAGTCGCCCCCACTCACTTCAAAATAAATTTCTTTATTTTCCAGCCAGTAAAAATTGGATTGTCTCTAGAAAATGAGCATTTGATGATACATCTTCCTACATTTTCTAAGATGGTTGATATCCCAAATTTTTGGTGAAGGCTATGATTTACATAGACCAATCAATGATTCTCTCTCTGTTGAGCCCCTGTATGCAAAGAATAAATCTACTGGTCCATTTCTACAATAAATACATGTAATTTTCCTGCCAGATCAATTTCCCTGTGCCTTGATATCCACTACAGAGAGAAAGAACTGTACATGCAAATTTCTAGATTTGTCACTTCTTCCTTCCCATCTTGGTTTAGCCACGGCTTCTATTAAGTGAGTTGATTCTGATAAATTAGTGTAAAAATTCTGAGAGTTAGATAGCTTACATTTTTTTAAACAAAACTCTATTAAAGGTAGAGGCAAAAAATATCTCACCTGGCATTGGTTGCAATCTGGAAACTGACTTTATCTCCACAACGCAGGGTCACATTGCCTTCAACATCATCTTTGTTATAAGGAAGAAAGAAACATTCACCCCTGTTTTCATAACTAATCCGTCCTTGAGTATCACCACCACTACCTTCTGTCCTGAGTTCTGTAGTAACGCATCCAGTGACTCTTTCTTCACTAAGCACCTGAGACAACATTAAATTTGTTCAATATTTAAAAATGGGGAAAAAAGAGGAGGGAAATGCAATTTCATACTTTTTAGGGTTTACTTATAAATTCAAGAGTAGACACAGAGACCTTGCCTTTAGGCACTAAGGTTGATACAGCCACCAAGTAGCAAGATGCCCGGTCATCACCTAGGCATTTTAAGGGATAAATTCTCAGACTTCTAATTCTCAGAGAAAAATAAAAAAATCTGTAGTTTAATTTCAAAATAATGGAAAAGTGTGACTTAATCAAATCATGTCACATCAGACATTGCTTAAATCATGTGTATATTTCCTGCATATGAGGACTTATATGTAACAATAGCGGATGTGAAAAATTATCTTTTCGAAACACATTCAAAAAACCGTTTTAGCATCGAGAAAATTTTGAGAAAATACTTGAGATGTGATCCTCGAGATCTGTACATTATGCCAGAGCCAAACTTATTACATTTTTGTGTGAACAAAGCAATTTTTTCAGCGTGTTTCAAAAAGGTAATTTTTCACATCCGCCATTGTTACAGATAAGGCCTCATATGTTTTTTTTTTTTTTTTTTTTTTTTTTTTTTTTCAAATTTTCTTTGAATACAACAATTAAATCAAGAGCCTATTTGCATGATCAAAAGTTTCACCTGTACAATGGAACCTGTATGTTAGGAATACTAATTAGCACAGCCGAAAGTCACATTCAGGTATTAAAATCTCCACCATCTAGATGAGTGAACACTGAATGAGCTGAGGGCAACATACAAAAAGTGATACAAAAATGACACTAATGTTCTCGTAGATGTTTAATGAGAATTTTCAGGACCACTCATGAGCTGAGATGGAAAATTTCATGAAAAATTAGGCTTTTGAAATTTCACTTGAAATTTCACTTGAAATTTCATGAAATTTCAATGAAATCGTGAAAAATTAAAAACTAAGCTTGATTTTCAGTAATTTTTTGATTCTAGTAATTTTTTCTGCCCAACTGCTTGCCACAACAAGACGAATATGCATAGGGAGTATTTGGGAGTAGTATCTCGTGCCCTCTTGCCGTCACGCAACAAAATGGCGGCTAAAATCGAAATGATTCAACCGTCGTTGTTTGTTTTGTCCGCATTCGTGCCATAGATTTTTGGTACTGTAGATTTTTGTCGGTCAACTAAGACAAAATGATCATAAAATTCCTTCCTTACTTTTCGTTGTTCGTATTCTTTTGGCTCTAAACTTCATGCATTCGCTGTGAAGAAAATGATTTTCAGTAAAAAGAAAACAAATAAAAACAAAAAAAACGGTAGAAAAAACCAAAAAAATAAAAAAACAGCAGAAATATGTACTCCAACGTTACATACAACATACGCACTGAGTACTGGGCTCTTCATCTATAATTCTTGAAATTTACCATTTAAATGCAAATAAAGTTTAGAGCAATAGAAAAGAAAGGTACTTAGGTACATACTATTTATTCTAATCTTAGAGAAGAATTTTACCTACTGAAAAGAATAGCACAATCATGACTTTTTTTTGAGGGACACAATTGTTTTACGATGCCATATTATTTACAGGAGAGTAACAAGACTAGCTAATTGGAAAGAAAGAAAAAACAGGCGTGAGGAACGATAAGAAAATGTGTTATTATTAAATTTAGGAACATGAGTGAAGAAAAGGAATTAAGGGGCCAATAAATCAATTTTTCAAAAAAATTGAAATTTATGAGGCCTTTTGAAATTTCACTGAAATTTCACGTGAAATTTCAAGGGCGAACTCAGCTCATGAGAGAAAATTACCTTCGAAAAAATTTTACACAATTATAGAGAGGAAAACATCAAGCTACTCACAACTTCTGGGGCGATTTTAGTGACGCTGCTTGCAATGGGTTTTCCGGTTCGGCGATCATACGTCATTTCAAATTCCACTGGATCACCGATTTTCAGGTGGTCAGTGTTACCAGTGAACTGACTGAAATGGAAAAATAACCTTGCTTGCCTCTCACAGCACTGGATGAATCCGTAAGAATGCTAGAACAAAAGTTCAATGATTCGTTACAAAAAAGTCAACGAGTACATACCATTTTCAATATCGATTCTTTGGTCAGAAGTGTCGGTCCTTCGGCTTTCCCAGATCACTAGCGTTTCAAGCTTCATGGAGATACTATCAGGTACATAGTAAATTTTTCAGGTGTGGAACAATGGATTCAAAGTGACCAGAACTAAGAAAGGAGCCAACTTGGAGCATTGTTATAACGATGGACACGAGGGTATTTACTATTTGGGGGCGAGTAAGCAGTCGACACGGTTGTCTGATGCAACTACGGTCAGTAAACACTGCACCTTCAGCGGTCTGAAGGGCAAGCAGGCACAGATAAAATACTGTCCAATATAAAATAAACTGATGGAAAAGTTGATATCCGACGTCCGAAGCTACGTAATAGCGCTATCAAAAAAAGGCTCACGGTGAACTTGTGACGGAACTGGCTCAGAGTTGAAAGACCACCGAAAAGGCAAGCCAGCAGAATTCGGGTAAACAGAGAATGCTTCGCAAAGAAAATAAGTGTCCGACTGCTTAAAGACGAGGAACGGCTAACCGCACGAATACAAAATTTTGGAATAGACTGCAGAGGAAAATTGATCGAGTTCAATCGAGACTTGGAGCAATTCCACGCGTGACACTTGAGACAGTTGATGACTCGCCGGACAAGAGCAGATCGAAATGTGACTGAGAATCGAGAAACGTGAGTCATGGGATGTGATTCTCTCTGAAAAGTTAATATCAGCGAACGCTCGAATTGTTTACCCGAGCTGCGGCGAGCAGTTGATAACGATGCCGAGGGCGCGACATGCAAAACGCTCGAACGCGGGGCAACGCTCGTTCTGAATTCTGTCCATCAGTGACCATCCCCCGATCGCGTCGCAAAGTTGATCCTTTCGCTGTTACACTTTCGAATTGAAATATTTCCGAGAATCATCTGCTTCGATCCTCGCGCTTTGACTCGACTTTGACGAGGACTGGGTCGAGCGTTCGTATCACGTGCGCGCATTTGAATTTCCCGCGTTCACCGCTCCGAGAGCTGACGCGTTCACCCATCGACCAATCAGCGTCTTGCAACTTGCAAGCAAAGCAATAGGATTGCGTAGAGTGGGATTGCGTAATTTTACATTTTCACATATTACTGCTAGTAATTCAGCAGCTCTTTTAATTCCATTACCTTCATTAATCGAGGAGTTTTTGACAAATCAAGCCTCTTGCCATGCAATACTGCGAGCGTTGCTCTCTACTCCCGGAAAGAGCGACTCGGCTAAAAGCGCCTTCAATTTCTTATGATACAGTAAGCTTGAACAGCAGTTAGTTTAGTTGCTTACCCAACTTAGGAGTAACGGAGGTTCGGCTAACTTTTCTTCGGTAATTTTTTGCAAAGAGTTGACCTTTTCTGACTCATAAGAAAGCCATTTGAAAATGATTATCAACCTCAATTTGCATAATTTAAGGTATACTTTTACACTTAAATTTTTTAAGAGGAACATTTCTTTGCAAATGTCCGGGAAGGTGGGCCGAACGAATTTTAGTTACCTGGCTTTGGTTGGGTGAGTCTATCCTAGCAGTTCTACGTAATGCGCGCTTGTTTAGACTTCTGGTTAACTTTTGAGAACTGGATGAGAAAATGAAAAAATGACACATCGACTAACTCACTATCAATTCGGCCCATCATTACCTACTGGCTCGTAAGGTTTTAAAAATAAAGGAAGGTACTTTCTTCCTCCATCATTCCGTAAATTGTGGTAATCGGTGCATTTACTTGCGTCCTTCTCTTTCTTTACTCTCCTCCTTAACTTATCTTTTCATTGCCATTGTCATGTTATTTATGGTCTAATCGGCCTATCGAGAACATGATAATTTCTCAGTTGGCCAATGCGTCTCCGATCCTCATTAAAAATGAGAATATGCTGTGAAAAAGAGATATTGAAAAATCATTTTTGAGGAGACGAAAGAATATAGTTTGAATTTCCTGTCCGCCAAGAAGGGGATCCGTAAAAATGAAGAAAATTGAGGGACACCTTGAAACATTGAAAATAATGTATACAATTTTAAAAAGGATGCTAGAACTTTCGAGAGGGGAACTGAGATCATGCCTCCCTGGCTTCGCCGCTAGTTGCAGTAATTAAAGAAGTTATGTTGTGTCCGGATACAAATGGATCGGACTGTTGTAATTCTGCCGTGAACGCCATTTTACATTTTTTGGGAACAACGTTTTTACAGAATTCTTTCGCAAATACTATAAAGAATTTAAGCTGAAAATTTGAGGTGCATGGGTAAAACAAGTTTTATTTTAGAAGGTGTTAAGTTCAAAAAAACGAGGGAAAATCTTGATGAATTCACGGCTCTTGCTCAGCACGGCAGAATTAGTTTCCACTATATCGACTGAAATTGATTGATGCTGCTTTTATTAATCCGTAGACTAAATTCTGGTTTCGTACTTCACATTGAACATATTCAACAAATCACGTTCCGTATCAATATGTACGCGAGAAATAAAAATGAATATTCTTTCTAAAGATAACCGAGACATTTTTCGGTATAAGGGAGTATGAGACTTCCAAGGCTGCTAGGATTTGGCAACGTAGTTCTCTGGTTGTAAGTAACTTATCCGAAAGTTCTGTAATGAATTTTTCCCTGAATCTGCTCCAAGGTTTTCCTTACCAGGGTGTCTAGTTTTTTTCCAATTGGGAAATCCTTATGTTTCCAGATTTTTGACTGCTACATCCTGATTTCATAATTTTTTCAAATCCTGATTTTTTGCGGAGAAAATTAGGCAGATGTAACTTCAAAAAATAGCTCTATGTATAAAAAAATCCGATCGGACGGCCGACTTTACTCAAATCCTGATAAAATCGGGATTAAATCCTGATTGACCTCCAATCCTGATATAATCGGGTACATCGGGAGAATCCTGATGCTAGACACCCTTCTCACTATTGTAAGGAGGCAAGTCAACTGTGAATAAATTCTATCCGCCGTAAATGCTATAAAAATTGCACAATCTTAGGAGCACTGCTAGCCTCATACGCCTTTTTACCGAAAAATGCCTCAATTCTTGCACTGTCTAGTGACTCACTCCTGCAAAACCCAACCACAAAAAATTTAAGTTACCCGAAAGAGCAAAATTGCGAATCGATCAAACCCTTCAAACCCGCTTGATTAGTATAGCGAAACGCTACGCATATCGATCGATTTCGACGGCAAACACAGATAACAAGGTTCTCGCATTATGTCGGATACGCGAGCTATATCCGGACGCGGGTGATGCAGGTTTACGATTGAGCCCGCGCCGTCAGTTTTTGATGAAAAATTAATCGTAATTGCTCTCGTGGGAGGAGGCTGGAAATATTCCATGTAAAGCATGTGGGATCAAGAGGACACACAGTCACTGTTCCCAAATTCCAGAGAAACACGAAAAATTGTAATTGTTTTGGCACGATGAATCGTTTTCATCCCACGTTTAATTCACAGCTTAGGTAGTGGCTGTAGAACTTTTTCGAGGAAATAATTAATTTCATGTCATTCTGCATTATTGCATCTATTAAATTTGGCTTAGCAAGAATACCCTAGATGCATGAAATAATTTATTCTTAACTTATAAATATAAAACTCTTTTTCTTTTCTAAATGCACTGGTATATAAATTTATAAAAAGTTTGTATTGAATTATTCCATGCATCTCGGCTATTCTTGTCGAGTCAAACAAGTAACGTTAAACGAGGCGGTTTTTGAAATTCATTTTGAGGAGTTAATTCGTATTTTTCAGTTATACCTAGTTCAATTTATGAATAGTTCAAAATTTTGGGGGATGAATTTTCCCTCGGGCCCCCAAAATTTAATAATTGCCATTTTTTTTCTCCTTCTTTGGATGCAGCTTCAAGTACTATCTGTGATATTACTTTTCTTAAGAAACGCCCTTACGTCTTTTTGATCAAGCGTCAAGAATTCTTAATTATTTCATTTCCGATATTTCTCTGACTTCCCGTGAATTTCGGTAAAATGCCTGTCGTCGTCTTGAGTCTGATTCTTTGGCGTCGAAAAAGTACGGACCACTGATTATAAAAGTAATTTTATCTCAGGACGAAGAGAGAGGAAAATTCCACTTTCATTTTCCCCGGACTTTCCAGTCTTAGACATTATGCTTTGGATCCTATATGCATCAAACATTGCGCACGAAGGACAAAGCTACAATACTGCCAAGCTAAGGAAGAACGTCGTATAAGCATTCCGGCGTTGCCAAATTTCCTTCGACAAATCACGAATTTTCGAGGAAATTAGTACATATTGTTCTTCCGATTTTCAGGGAATATCGTTCGTAATTTGATAGATAAAAAATATCTGAAAAAAGAGAAAGTGTTCATAACTTTTATTTCTACAGAATAAATACTTTCTGAGAGGAATTTTGACAACATTCTAATGCTCACACGGCGTTTTTCCAGTGGCGTTGCGTGCTTTGCGATACATCGATTGATCTGCCGTTTAAACCTGTGGAAAAGAATCGATAAACAGGAATCGATTCTTTACCATAACTTCAAAGGGGAAATATCGATAATCGATCATTCACGACTCGTCACTGCGTTTTTCCTTAGCACGGCAGAATATACCTTCTGCTATTTTGACTCCGAACACGTCGATAGAATTCCCTCTTCGTTCGCAAGTGCATGAACCCATGCGGTGCCCTTCTTCTCTTTTCATTAAAGGTACAAAAAATCCGCAAATGCGCGGGCACGCAGGATGCACGGTGCGCAAAAGCTCGGTAACAATTCCATTTCCTCGTAAAAACGCGACGATCCGCAGGCGAAAGAGTTGGATAAAAATTACGCTCCAAGATCTGCATATCAAATGGCAACCTTGACATTCTATTTGTTCAGATGGAGGCACCCATTATTCCCCGTGGAGAAAAATATGAAAAGGCACGGGCTGACTATAATACTGCCGTGCTAAGGAAAAACGACGTAAGAGCAATCGAACGTTGCCAAGTATCCTCGCGGAAAATAGTAATTTGCGAAGAAAATTATGGACATTATTCCTTTAAATTCTGAAACTTTTTAGATCAAATTGTGAGCAGAATTTTTTTGGTAAATTTGAAGTAATTTATTTTACGAATTTTCCCGAAAATTCGTGATTTGTCGAAGGAAATTTGGCAACGTCTGAAGGCTCATACGGCGTTCTTCCTTAATAGGGAACCTGACTACTATGACGAGGTGGGAGATTCAGGCTCGGTCGAGTCTGCGAACGGACGTTCCGTTCACTAACTTGCGTTCTCATTCGAGACGTTCAGAGCCGTTTTCAGTACTCCATTTTCCGAAAAGAAAAAAAAATGATAAATAAAAAAATACAATAAATGCGTCGTGGGGGGGGATCGGCCCACCCTCATAAGAAAAGTTCCATCCTTTATGGTCCAATTACGGTCAATTTATTTAGATTTTTCGACATGGTAGTGTTTCAACACCCCCTTCCCCAAATCATTTCACCTTCCTGAGATTAAGTTGAAATACTGGTGCTAGGTGCTAAATTACTCCCGCAATTTAGAGAAATTCCGAAGTAGGTTTATTAACGAGAGGCTACGTTCTTAAGGAGGTAAAGGATACATTTTTTTTGTTCTTCGGCTAATACCTATAGGAGTTGTAAAACCGTTTGGAAAAATCGCGTACTTTGCCACATAATTCACGCGTCCTACTTACGGTTCTACCAGAGCTATTTTAAAGATGATGATGCTCACAAAAACCCATGCAGTCTTGATTTTCGAATGATGAATTGTCGAACTTCGTTTATTTGCATACGTTACATGAAACGCCGCCTTAATTTCATCCGCCTACCGGGATAGTTGGGTCTACTGAAAGCTTCTGTTTGATTCAAATGCCGAGTCACCTTAACCATCGAGAACTTAAAGCTGTCTTGGACGATGATCCCCCCCCCCCCTCCCAGAGAGCAGAATTACGAAGATATGGTCCGCATGGGTCTCGCTGAGGGGCTTCTGGTTGAACCCTTACTGGTAATAAATATAAAACGGTAGGGGGTCGGTGCACCCCTATAATTGACTACTAGACAAGATGTGACTTTGGTCATTCAGATCCAGGTTTCCGTAACAAAGTTTTAAGTGAAACACAATTCACGCAAAGAAAATTACTGAAAGAGACTCCTACCTATGGCATTTTACGTTTTTTTATGCGTAAATTTGTCTACACCTGTGTTTGGCACAATGCGTGAAGCATTCCTACAATCTTATGTGCGCTATGCGTTTCACGCCGACCGCTGCTACACGTACTGTGTTTGACGTGATGCGTGAAGTATTCATGCAGTCTTGTAGGCGCTATGCGTTTCACGCCTCCCGCTGCTGACCGCAATGTCTTTGACGCAATGCGTGAAGTATCCATGCAGTTTTGTAGGCGCTAATATGTGTTACGTGCCGACCGCCGCGTCGCGCCGAGGGTTTCTCCTTTTCATCTCAAGTTTTCGTCATCATTCCTCTCTGCGCCGCGCCGTTCCAGGCCAAGTTCCGTGTTCGGTTTCTCTCTTACAATTAGTCTTAACTCGACTAATTAAAGGTGCTGTCTACTGTATCACAGAAAGACGACAAAATTGGAGATATCCTCTCAGGAAATGAGAGATTTTGTCACCTTTTCTCATTTGTAATTTTTTTTTCTGAATCCGATTTTTCTATACATCTCCATTTAAAAAAATTGCAAAATTTACCGCCCCCTAAAATTGCCGCCATGGGCCGCGGCCCATGTGGCCACCCCCTAAATCCGGCCCTGTATCGCGGTATACACGCGAATATCCTGCCTAATTATGGAAATAAAAGGTCGTGCAATTATCACATCAATATCGCGGGATTTACACGATTGTCGCATCGATGCGAGCTTCATGCTTCATAATCATAAACGTCCGTAACTTCATAGCGGCGAAAACCTAGGATTTTCCTTCAATTCTGCGTGATGCCACAGACCTACTCCGGAGTTCGAATAGTTGCTCACTTTAATTAACTGTTGAGCATATTCAAAGCGCAGTGTTTGAGGGGTTTGGGGGAACTTAAATTTGGAGCGCGCTACTTTGAGGGAACCCAACTTTCAAGCGCGTTCTTTTTGGGGGAAAAAACACATTCAATGTTAAGAGGGGACAAAACTGTCGACTTCGTTACTTAATGTGTCGGGCAAAATTCTGCGGAGTCTTGAGATTGAGAAATCTAAATTTATTTTAGATGAACCCTTGGAAGTTTCTGCACCCCTGGTAAAGGGAGAGAGGCCAACTCCCGCACTAATCGTTCGTAACAGTCTCTGCAGTATGAAAAGATGGTAAGCTCAATCTCGGTGCTTTGGCTCAGCTGCTGTACTTACGTTGTTAACCCTTGGAAAAACACAAGGCGGGGAAAGAAACCAATTAAGAAACCTGCCAAAACCATTGTAATGCGTGATTTGATTCAAGTGAGTAGACCATGCGCGCTCAATTCCCGCGTTCGGCCTACTTTAGTCATCAGAAACAAAGCTTTTGAAATTTTTTAGAATTTTTTCTTTCCCAATGGACGAAACTAAGTAAAAAAAATGTACAAGGTCACACAGTACTATCCGTCAAATCAAAATCTAAGTACAGCACTTGGCACACAATGCAAACTCGTAAAAAAACAAGTTTTACAAAAGTGAAAAAGTTACAGAAGTGTTTTACGAGATAAAAAAATCGGTCATGAAAAGCCCCTGGGGTACCACTAAAAACCATTTTTTTCTCGAAAAAACTTTTTCCCTTGTTAATTTCTTATGTACTTAAAGGCATTGATTAGCAGTGAATTTTGAAAATTTTGCAGAAGTGGAAAATGTGGACCGCTCTAACGGCAAAATTTTAAAAAATCGTCAGTCTTTACTTTTAAATTCTAAAATCTTATTAAAAGTTGACCCGGTTGTCATCCCGGTCTCAAAATTAGGGATATACTTCGAGAATACATATCTAAAAGGGAGAGAAATTTCACAATAATGGAAAACCCACTTTTTCCGAAATGATACTCAAAATTTTGAATTATTGATAAGCAAGTAAAAAAATTTGTGAAAAATATTGTTTTTTGACCAAGAATCAAAGGAACAAACCAAGAGCTTTAAAATGAGCTGAAGACTGACAATAAGTCCGTAGCTGCCATGGAGCCGGAGCAAGGTTTTTTTTAAAGATTTGCACTTCTACAAATTTGGAGTTTTCACCTATAAATAGACAGTCTTAAGAAAAGTAAAATTTAGTTAAAATGAAGTGCCATTAGCTTTCTCAAAAATTGACACCAGAAATCTGGGAAACCTCTTACAGTAGAGGCTGAAATGGAACGGTTTTAGGATGTGAATGTACTCCGTAAGAGTCCACTATCACATCTAGTCTAGTTGGATGTACATCTCAGTCTAGGAGGAGTCTACTAACATCATAGATAACTTGCCTAGCTGTGATGGTAGACTCTTGCAGAGTCCATTAGCATCTTAAAACCGTTCCATTCCAGCCTCTACTGCAAGAGGTTTTCCTGAGTTCTGAAGGTGATGTTCGACTAAATTTTGATACAGAATTAAATGGTTAAATCAAAAATTCCTCCTGTATACAAGAAAGCTATTAAAACTAAGTACTTGTCGAGCTTTCCAGAAATGGTTTCAAGAGGAAAAGAAGTTAGGAAAAATGTTGAAGAGAGCCTCATCTTTAATGCAAGTTTAGTGAAGTAATGTAATGTGAAGCATGCATAGTAAGTAAAGAGTAAAAGTTTGGCTAACACTTACAAGCAATTTTTCAATGATCCCAGTTTCCCTTGTAACTTGATTAACATTGTTGTAACCAGAGTTGCTAGTGTTGGATGATAGGGAAACACTGTCTCCATTGAAGATATCCATAGACATTGGTGGTCTTTTTTTGCGTGCCATGAGATTAGACGATTGATTGAATGATGAGTTGTAGTTGGAAGCAGAAAAGTTGCTTGTTGAACTGGAGAAATCGTTATTCGATCCATTTTTGTCGAGGATGAATGAATGGTATGGCTGTTGTTGGAAGTGGTTCACCGAGTTTGAATTATACGATGGGCCATTCATCATGGGCCCTGAGTTACGATCATTGATGGATAATGGAGAGGCCATGGATTTGTATTCAAGAAGGGAATCGGAGTTCATAATTAGTGGCGGTTGGAATGACTTCCACTGAGGATTATTAGACATTTCAAGTTTGTTTCGAAAAAGTCCTTAATTACTTTGTAGATTATAAATACAATATACAATGCAATAAAACCAGTTTTCTAGAAAAAAATAAATGTAAAATATATAACATTAAGATATCACAGAAACGGTCTTTGTATATTAGTACAAGCAATTTATTTAATTTCCCTACAGTGACACCAGTTTCATAAATTTAATAAGCGCATCAAACTGTAAATTGATCATTTTTATATAGTCTTTGGAGTTCTATTAAAATCACCGTGCAGCACAAGTAACTGGTAATGGAACCAAATTTTAAGGTACGAAACACAATTAGAAATGACACGTGTAAGTCCAAAACGAAACGTAACAAATCTCGTGAAAAATAAACGATCCTCCAATTTGTTTGTTACTGTTTCGGCGAAAACGGATGAGATGAAGATAATACTTTCTTAAATGTCTTTTCCTAGACCATTTTTCGGAGAAAGCGATTCGATCGGCATGAAGTCGTAGTATGGCAAAGTGTTGCAGAACGAAGAACAATAACACAGGGGTTAGAAAATTTTTAAGTTTCACTTAACGTTAGAGATAAAAATCAACTATTATCGAATTTAAAAAAAAGATCCTCAGATGTCTTCAATGCTTGCTGGATGTGACTATTCAAGGCTGTTCAGTCTGTTGCGTTGTTGATTTGACTTGTTTGCGTTGGCGTAATTAATATCCACTGGAACAAAGAGGAAAAAACTTGAGATTAGAGATGTAAGTTAAACATTTTTGGAACCAACAGCTGAAAATGCAACAATAGGAAATCAATGCAAACTATTGAAAAATAAACTAAAACATTCACAAGCTCACACAAACCAAAAATTTGGTTAATAATATTTAAGGAGGCTCATTTTGGTGAGTGATATGACAAATGTCTGAAATAAGGATTTTCTTTTAAAATTTAGCAGACCTAAGCTGCCTCACGAAACAATTATAAACACGAAAAATATTGCGTGGGAGGATATAGAAATTAATCATTTTGAATTTTGCCCCCACACACTTGGGTTGATTTGGAGCAATAGTATGCAGGGCATCAAATCCCCAAAAATACCATTTAAAGTTTTACCCAACAAATTTGGCCACAGATGTTGGAACAGTCCTCAGAAGAATTAGTAATGTTTTAAGGAGGAAGAGACAAGGACTTTCAGAATCTTTAATATTTTGAGCTAACACAGAGTCTAGAAAAATCAATGTTACAGACTAAGACTCAAGGTTCCTCCATGAAATTTCAGAGCTGGAAAGTAAAAAAGGAATGCCTGGGAAAGTCCCTGTTTCAAAATATGCGTTAGTAAGGGTTACAACCATGTAAGTTTGGGTGGGTACACCATGATTGTGTGTGCGTGTTTTTTTCCCCACAGTCTCTTCGGTAAGGCAGTTTCAATGGGAAGTCCTGGAGATAGAAAAGTTCATACTGGCTCTTAAAAAAAATTTCAAAAAACTACGACAACCAGGAAGTCAAGAATTTTTAAAGAATGCAACTCATTATTTTATATAAATTCTTGAAATTTGTAAGAAGGAAATAGTTGGAAAAAGAGTACTGTGGCCAACACAGATCTCTGTAATCTGTGATTTTCTTCTAATTAATATTAAGAATTTATATTTACATATAAAATTAGTAAATTAAGTAAGTTGTGCTTCTACTAAATTAATTTCAGATCTCTGCTCATTTTCCAATTTGTATTTAAAATTAATACCATTATTTTTAATTAAGTTACGCTTTACCTGAATTAATTTCAGGATTTCTCACTAAACAAGTAATGCTCCTTGTGGCGCCTGAAGATTGAACAGCAAAATTCTTGTATTTATTAATTGCTTGGAATAAATTATCTTATCTATTCATCTTTTATCTCTGATTGAGAGCATAATTTGTCATGAAAATAAAAAATCGTAGGAGTTGAAAAAATAAAATGCTACTTTCCAAAGAAGCAATGAAATTACAGTAATTTGAGTATTGCTGTGCACTGATTTTTTGGGGTACAGGCATTAACTGAATACTTACTCATTATGAATTCATTTCCTATAACCTTTTCCCTATGCCTCCCACTGCTCTACTAATCTTCAACTCCTTCGAGGTATATCTTCACATAATTAAATGCAATGATCATTTGAACATTGGAGCACCTTAAAATGGGAGGAGATGATTTATTTGAAACAGAGGTTTCCAGGGGTGGGATTAAAATGTTAACAGGAGAACTTGAAAAGGTGAGAGAAGTCCTTACGGCAACAAGTCAAAGTTCAACACAGAGCAAGTTAAAATGTAAGATATTACTTGCACAACATACAGAAAGTACAACTGCATGCGCATAGTTTGGACAAGATACGGCAAACTAAGTAAGTACTGAACGGTTTTCAAGGAAGTTACAACGCCAATGCTGCCTCCACCAAGCCAAAGCCTATGCCAATGGGGTGTCAATTTGTGAAAGTAGAATGTTGTCAAATTAAATGAATGGTGATTTGGAAGTAGAAAAGTACCAGAATAACAAACCCTCACACCATGAGAGTTCTACATTCATGAGCATATCACAGCCAACGGATGAATAGAGATCATGGTACATAATGTAATGGTTAACCTACTAAAGGCAGAATTCAGAAGGAGATGAAGATAATTTATGATCCCATGTACCTAGGCAGTATCTCTTGAAAGATGAAAAGAGGGTTAGATCAAACAACCAAATCTCAAAAATATAAGATTTTGACATTGCTTTAAAAGTAGACTTTAGGTAAGCACCTCAGTAATGACATACAAGGAGCAGGGGGTACGGGGCAAGTGTCACACTCTCAGGACAAAGAAATATGTGAGAATTCGAGGTGATCCATTGATTTAAAATATCTAGCAAAAAAGTGCCTGTGTAATAACAAGAGTAACACGAAAGAGAGAAGAGATGTAAGTCAAAGTGAGAAAATAACGTTATTTGGACCAATGGAGCTGAGCGACTGTCTGCAAGACAGAAAGTAAGTCGTTACTAAAGTTGGATTCCTTAAAGGTGCGAAGAACTTCGGGTAGGGCGGAAGTTGACAGGAACTTTCGGCAACTTATATTGAGAGATGAGGTTGTGAATAACGTTTCAGTTTTGGACAATGATTGACTGAACTCAAATTTTAGAAACTGGGTGATAAGTTCAGTCACTGAGGAAGAGGATGAAGTGACAAAACTGAAGTCGGTGAAAACGATCAGGTAGGACGAATACGGTAAAAACCACTTACATATTTTCTCTGTGTGTTACTAGCGGTCATAATTTTGGGTTACTGCAGATGAAATTGCACTATTATTTGGAAAATTTTGAAAAATTAACTCGCCACGACACAGCACAGCACTGCCGACATACCGCCATGTTGAATGTCAACATCGAGGTACGTGAGATGAGAGGGATCGACCGTGCGCATGTTTTGTTCTCAACATGACGCAGATGTACCAGATGTACCCTCCATTCCTCTCGATGTTCAGAAGCGCGGTACAAATGACGTATTTGAATATTTTTTTGTTCTTCCTCTGCTGCACTCGGCAAACGAAACGTAACTTCAACTACTAACTAACTACATGCATGGCTATAGGAACTAAGAACGGAATACTTTTGGAGGAGAAGAACCTGCACTGCTGCTGCCAGTAGAATAAAACGGCAAAATATGAGACATAAATAACAAGCAGGATCTCCTAACTTCGGTATTATTTGAAAGTTTTTTAAAAAGTTTTCCTCTCAGAAATTTACATGCTCTTCACTTTTTTTATAATAGATGATACTACCTACTGTGACCCTTTTGACCAATTTCTCATGCCTCAGGATCTACATCAGAGGAAAAAAAGAGCGGTAAGTTCTAGCTTAAAATTTCATATTGCCTCCAGTTAGTATTCTAGTTGAAATTGATCTCCTATTCATTCTCAGAAAACCAATGCAAAATTAACAACTTTCTGCACCTTTGATAAACCTTGCCACTACACAAGGTGTGAATGAAAGCACTGTACAGCACATTTTCTCCTTAAAATTTCACGAGGAAACCAAATGGCACGACAGGAAGTCAGAAAATTAATTCCATAACAAGATATACATACTTAAGTGTTTACAAAACTAAAATGGGTGAGGTTCAAATTATCTCATTTTTATCAGCTAACTTCTACATGATTTGTGGTAAAAATACTTCTGAAAATCTCATTCAGGAGTTGGTTTTTGAACTTCCCTTCGTATGGATCGTTTCCTACATAAGATTTCGAAGACACTAAATGTGGCTTTTCTTTCGCTTACACCTTGTAGAATGGCCTGATGCCCACACTTTTGTTGCAAGAATTGACAGGTTGATGTCAAGATTTGATGAAAAAAAATTTGATGATGTAAAAATGGAGCTTTTCAGTAGGAATATTACATTTGATTACAATTTCCAAAAAAAATATCAGTGTGTCGGTGTAATTCCATCAAAAAATTCTACTTTCATTTCACTAAATTTTTTTGATTATTGAAAAAAAGCTCTTGAGTTGTGTGAAAACAGAGGTAAGTTCTGGAAATTCTGCAGAGATAAGTAAAAGTTAGAAAAAACCACAAAATTATTCAGTGATGATATAAACTGCACTTTCCTAACACTATAATTTGACTTTCTAAAAAAAAATAGGAAAAAAATCCAAGAGACTTTTGTTTTAAATTTTTAAAAAGAAAGGGGAAAAGAAAATACAAAAACTATAAAATGTAGCAATATTATAATTAAAACATAGAGGTGAGACAATTATACAAATTTCAAATAATAAATATGTTCACTATCCTTAAGTCATACTCAATACTAAGATGAATAATAAATTCTTTTCATTGTAAAAAATTGAATAACACAATGTTATGAAGTACTTGGGGAGAAATGGCAAAAAAGACAGATGAAATTTAAAGATGGCGTTGTGTAATGAGATGGTATGTACTCAACACTTGACTTGAAAAAATTTAGAGGGCTTTAATCAAAATTAGAACAAGTCCATCCTCCCAGCAGAAAATATTTATATCTTCAGCTATGTATTTAGTATGTTTATGAATGAAAAATGATGAAAAAATCTACAGGGGAAAATATTTTTGATAGGTAGAGTATCTAATTTCTTATGAAGGTAATTCAGCAACAACCTTAAGATTAGGGAAACTGTCAATATATTAGATGTCTCTTTCTTTTATTTCTTTTTTGATGACAATTCTGGAATTTCGTAATTCAGGATTATGTCTTTTGCAAATTTGTCGAGGTTAAAAGTTTTGCAAAAACGTTTGTACAGACACATAATTATTTTAAAAATAATAATACTCATAATAATGAGATGAGTGCTCTAGTTTTAAGCATAATGGACTTCTAATACAATTTTGAAAGACTAGGAAAATAATGAGAAACAAATGACCCGCTTTAAAAGAAAAGGAGAATCATTCAAGACAGAAACAACTTGAGAGGAGACCTTTCTCCTCTCTCATACAGCAAAACTGTATTCAGAAGCTATAATTAAAAATGTGGTTTTAAAACTTGTTTTTTCTTCTTTTTAAATTTTTAGGAAAGGATCATGGGGGTTAACAAAGAAAGTCTGGGACCTCAATAGCTACACCCGTGGAACGTAAAAACGGAGATGTAACAAAATAATCTGAGGAAATAAATTTCAAGAAATCTAATTGGGATAGTAATGTGCAAACTAAAATTTGTATTGGACTACATTTCAAAGAAACGATTGAAGCACATTTGAACATAGGACAAGCAAGTAAAAACCTCAGTAATAATTATAATAAATTAATTAAAACAAAGACAAAACAACACAGACTATAAGAAACAAATAAGAAAAAAAGGCAAGAAAGATCTTTAAAGAATGGAGGGAGAGAAGAGTCATTACTTAAAAAGTTCTTAGTAGATGTAACTCAAGAAATCTGCAAGATGAGAGGTAATCTGAAGTCTTCCAAAAATGGTAAAAATGTGTTTCACAGAATGACCAGAAATATGCGGGTGACTACTACAGCAAAGTCACTGAAATTTACTAACAATAATTCCTCCACCTACGCCCAATAGGAAAAATGCTGCTAGAGCAAGGTTTCCAAGAGAGCAACTGTCTATTGGCTTAGTTAGGGGTGTGTTCAACTCTTAGAAACAGCTTCATTATGTACCAACACTTGTAACAAATTCATCAAATTATGCCAGTATCTGCTTTCTGGTTAGCTTAAAAAGAAAGGTAAGTACAATTTTGTCTTTAGAATCACTTTCTTCAAGAGTCTAAGATTCATAGGTTATAGCGTTAATGAGAAGAAATGAGGAATTCACCAACCAAAGGTGATGAGACCTATGAAATAACCATCAAGAAATGATTAAGATACGATTCAAGAGAATTGTGTGATGAATGATCAATATTTCATTTCACTTCTGAGAAATTCATTTGAATTTAGAAAAAAATATAGCCTTTCACCGAGCCATTCAAGTCTAACTTAAACAATTTAAAAAAATTAATAAAGATATTAAGATTGGATTATTGCATTTAGTAATAAGTCAACCTCTGAGCATCTGGTTGGTTAATTCATACTCCAGATTTGAATGGGACTTGCATTTAAGCTGTGTATTTCCACGAGGCTCAAAGACTCATAAACTCAATTGAAAATGGGTGGTGTACACATTTTTTTTAGATTTAAGAATCCTGGATTGATTCATGCACTAACCAATACAAACGAGTAAAATTAATGTTTTCAAGATTCAAAAATTAAATAAGAATGGTATACACTGTGCAGGAACAGCTGACTTTCTTCAGTGATTTTAAAGTGTGATCTGACGACACAATATGATGAATTTCGACTAGTTTACTGGACACTGAGTAGTTCGGATTGAGAATAAAACAGTCATACATACATACAAGGAAATGTTTAGACTGATCATTTGGAGATAATTTTTTCACAATCATTGATATCAGCACCATGGTTAAGAGTGTTCTTAAAGTAGAACAGGTAAGAAAATTGCACTACTCTAATGCAGGTCAAAGAGACGTCTTTGAACCAAGAAAGACTATCAGTTCATTTCCAGATCATGCGTGTGAATTGATGCATTCATTCGGGCAGATGTGCAAAAATAAAAAAGGTTTGAAACACTCATGACTTTTCAACCGCGCAATGAAGTGGTGAAAAATGTTTTAAGATGTCAAGTTGATTCACAAAACTTTTCTTTGGTAATTTGGCATTAAGTAAAGCATAATTGATTTGAACTACAAAGAATAACTTCATTCCCATAAAGACAATTCCATGAAATATTAAGATTAGGATTATGTTCCACCCACAAAAACTCTCCTTCACAAGGAGAGGGAACTCCAACTTTTCAAATTAGAACTTTCAACTTTACGTGAAGGTAAAAAACATCATGAGGACTGGCAAAGAAAAATGGAACCATGGTTCAAACTTATCTTTGCTGGAATGCTTGATGTTAATGGTAAAGATTCTGAGCCAAGCACTAATAATAAGGGTCAATTTCATGCGGCAGAAAGTATTTATCATAGGAGAGACTTTAAAACTTGGAGTCGATTTTCCTTTTTTTTACAATTCTGCTTTGAAAAAAGACAGATCATCAAGGCTCTTATGGCTTGAGCCCCTCTGGTTGCTGGTCTAATCAAGACCACTGTAGATTTGACATTAGTGTGATTTCAATACTGAATAAGTTGCTGAGGTACAATGAAGAAAACTTTAATTAAAATATGCGTGCGCATAGATGAGCGAATATACACTTACAAATATATGGAGAATACAATAAATGTGCACACAAACACATCAACACACTCATACACTCAAGCACACATTTCCTAACAGTAGATAAGTCTGTACATGTAAGAAAGATACATGAACATCACACGGGCTCCCGCAATTTCTTTAGCATACACTTAATGAAACATGTACGGAAAAATAGTAGTATTTTAGGTAAGTGATGACGGAAGAATCTTCTTTAACAGCAACCACCGCTTTGGTTGGCTCCTTGACTACCAGGTGGAAGGTTGGGATTTGTGGGTGAGTGTTGTGGTCCTATTTTGATACCATTGGCCTGAAAAAGAGAGACAGAAGTGAATCGTAAACGTTTGGCAATAAAAAGTAATACTATGGTGAATATCACATGTTAATTTATTCACACAAAAACCTTTGGTACAGGAAATGTTGAGTTCATGGATTTCAGAAAATAAAGTTCTTTCCATTTTCCTAATTTTAAGAATTTGGATTTCAATTCTATATTTTGCGCAAGAATACATATGTATGACACAAAAAATATAAAACATATATGATACCACTAGAGTAATTTTAAGCACTATTTTGTTTAACCTTTTCATTAAATGTATTTATGACTAGCTTGTTTTTCAACATGAAGATTTTAACTCATGCCTCAACTTTTAAGCACTGTTACTTTTAGCAGTATTTACAATATGGGTAAAAATTACCTGCATCCAGTTTCAAAAAAGAGGCGCTTTATTACTTCAGTTACAAAAAGGGTGTATATTCATTGCCATCCATGACTTTAGAGAGAAAAGCTGTAATTCATGAGCTCCAAGAGAGGAAAAGTTATTTACCTACATACGAAAAGTTTTCTCAACCATTTCACAGCCCTGCGAGAGCCTCATGGAGTTTAAGGACTCAGAAATTTTACGCGATTGATTTTAGTCTGGACAAAAGGTAGTGTCAAATTCAACAGCTCTTATCATCTCTCTTATTCATCCGCTTCACTACCATAGTCTGGTAAGTTTTTCTTCAGTTGAGTTCTTTCAGTAAATTTTTAAAGTATTTCTTCATTTAATAAATTGGGCACAAGTTACAGTTTTGGGATTTTTCTTGGTTAAGACTTAAAAACACCAATTTTGAGCTTTAAAATTTTGACAATGGTGAAGTATCAATTGGCAGGAGAAGGCTTACGTCTTGCAATTCCTGCTAGATACTAACACTAGGCTATGACACGTTGTTATCGACTTCAATTTTTTGAATGAGAAAAAATGAAAAAAATGTGAACTTTGCACAACTTCTTCCACATGGATTAGTACAAAAAAATTTAATACTGCCAACTTCATCCAGATATTTCACATTTATTCATTGATAAATACACCGCAAATTGAAGTAAGATTTCTCTACTAGGATCCTTGGAAAACTGCTAATTGATGAAGCAAGAACTAGGACATTTTTATCTTATAATTCAGAATTTGAAGGGATGCCAGATTTTGAAGAACAGTGAAACATTTTTCAGCTTACCATGAGGAATTTTTCACCGGTGTTTCATTTTTAAGAATACTACGATTAAAGATGTTGATGTAACTAGTAACGCTTCAGTAAATGGACCATTTTAAGGAGAACCAATGTGCGATCAAAGGTAAAGTTAAAAGCATGAAAATTGAACCCTCAACCTTACCTCATTGTTAATATCAAAGACTCCTTCTTGGATCTTCTCATAAATTTCTTTGGCTGTGTTGATGAAAGCTTCTTCTACATTGGCTGCTGTTTTAGCAGATGTTTCCATGAAAATTAAGTTATGTTCCCGGGCGAACGTTTCCCCCTCCTCTTTCTTGACATCTCTCCTGGATTCCAAATCACTGTAAAAATCATGAAATACTAATCATTAATAGAAGCAAATTACTGATACGATTAGGATTACTGTCTCATGATACACAAGGTAAAATAAAGTCATGAACTTTAATTTGTAAAATCTCTGGAGGTGTTTTAGGCATACATTTTGTAAATTGAATGTTGATTACGTCTCCTCTCCAAAAATTGGCTCCTTTAAGGATGATTCCTTTTCTAACTGATTCTCGACAGATAACTTGATGAGCCTCCTTTCCAATCATCAGTGTTTACTTGAGGATGACTATCTCAATTCTAAAATAACATGAGGTGTCCCAAAAGGACTACAACTGTCCAGGTGTGCAGAAAATGCTCGATCATGCACCCGGGTAGGTGCATGATGATGAGGAAATGCCCCCAAAAATTTAGAGGAGGGAACACTTAGAAGGGTCAAAACTCGAAATTCAACAGAAAACAGGAGAAGAAGGCCATCTTTTTTAAATTGGTGGGAAATTTTGTGGAAAGCCGATGAAAAAAATGTGGAAAGCCGGCGGACGGGCGTATGAAAATGTGAAAGCTTGGAAAATTCTGCATCCCAGCAACTGTCTGTTGTATGAGCGTGCAGAAGTTAACAGTATTAAACCCACTTGGTTAGAAATTTGCCAAGTAAGTCTTTCTTTGGAACTGTGTTGGAAAATACCCTTGAGATTGTAGGACATACCTTTTAAAACTTAATCTCTCACGCAGGGCCGGATTTACCTATAGGGCACTGGGGCACTTGCCCATAGCGGCAAATTTTGGCACTGGATTAATTGAAAGTTAAAGCGAGAAAAAAGGAAGAAATGGAGACAGAGACGGAGCGAAGTGAAAAGATGAGCAGCAAAATGTATGAAGGAAGGGAGTTGACGCTTGACAGGAGCGGCAAAGCTGCCGCCCCTTAGGTCCGGCCTTGAGCGCTAGGATGATCGTTCGTTGGAGTGATACTAAACAACACGGCAATTTTAAACATCAAGGCAGACTTGATAATCAATTTAGACGTTGATGCTCTTGTTGACAGCTTTGCTAAACTGAAAACCCGGAGAAAAACTTTTTAACCTGATCTTACGAATATACATTGCAACTAATACATTAAGCTACACTAGCTTCAACTTTGTCTCCACATTTTATTTTTGTCTCATCCATCCATTCCATTTTATATATTCGCGGCGCATTTTGAAGCAGCTACGCGCACGCGCCCAGGCGGGGGGAGGGGCAAGATGAGATGGCGTGGGAAGTTGGGAGTGAGGAGAGGAGGAAGGGGAGGAGGGGATACTGTTGACAATATAGTGGCGAAATATTGCAGACCCAGGGGCGGCAAAATGTAGCTTGCCCAGGGGCGGCAAAAAGCTAAATCCGGCCCTGCTCTCACGCATTGAGCACCCGTGAAATATTTTGAGAATACGTTAAACATAAGGTGAGCTGAATGTTTAAAAAGCTTGTGAAGACCACACACAGACAATCACATGTCTCTAACTTTGAATAACGGGACAATACTGTTTCAATATACTTTTTGGAAGTAGTAATGGGGACTGACAAAATAGGTTCTTCAACAAGTTTCGCAGATTCATGAACTCTAGAGAGCAGTCTAGATCATTTCTGTCAAGACGATCTTTTGCACAGACCTGCTTCCTTTCATTGCTTTACAGAACATGGTGCCGTACAACCTTTTCCTGTTAAAATAATGTCTTAGTAGAACATGGCACCAAAAATATGGAACGTACACAGCAGATTCTGCTACTACAGGTGAGATGTAACAAACATCAGCACCCATTTAAGGCCATCAATTGCTGCCACATTGGGGGGGTTGCTAAACTGGTTTCTCATATTCCTTTTAAATTTAATTTATTCCACACAACATTTACCTATCAACCTTGACTAACGGTAAAAAGCACATTAAAATCCTGAGGGGTCCCACTCAACTAGGGTAAAATTTGCAATTGACCAAGCTGGAGGAGATTTCATTTTTAAGCTAATAATTATGGAGATCAAATTATAATTTGATCTCCATGCTTCCATCAAACACACTTTGATCATAGAGAAAATAAAGGAGGTGTTTGAATTTTGGGCATCTTGGATTTCTTTGATGACATAGGTTGGTACAGACGATTTTTATCATCGATTTTTTTGAGAATGGTATAGTTTATGGAAAAAAGTCATTCTTTAGAGAGTGGTTGAATTACATCATGAGTTGATCTAAGCAAAAAATCGGACGTTATGGTCCATTTTTCATACTTCGAATTCTGGATTTTGCTGGAGTACCTGTACCAACCTACTTCATTGGGTAAACAATCATCAAGATGCAAACACCTCTTTTTTTTCTCTATGCACTTTGTTATCCATTTTCGTACTCTTCTTTGGTAAAATTTCTTTCCTTTCCTCTAAAATTTTGAAGAGCTGATTTAATCATATTTTGGAGGAAGTGAGAAAAAGAAAAAAAACAATGATAGAGAATTTGCAGGTGTCTAAATTTGATGAATTTCGTGTTTAAGTGGAAACTTCTGAGTGAACTGAACAGCAGGATACTCTTGGTTCATGAATTGAACAATTATTGGAGAAGATATGACAAAATTATATAATCTGCTAAAATACGTTTGTTTAAATGGGAAATGCCGCCAGATGACGTCACTAGGCGGTGCATTTTCTCACTTTTAAATCTATTTATATACTATTTCCCACATCGAAAAAAGTTATAAAAAATACTTTGAAATTAGCTCTTCAAGCACTTTCAGATGAAGCAATAAAAATTTTGGGTACAAATTCTCCATTGGCGTCTTCTGAGTTTTCAACCATTTGTCAACCTCATGTAATTGGTAGCCAAGATGTAAATTTATTGTCATTTTACCCTCCTTGAAAATAAAGAACAATGGTATGGATGCATGCGTTTGTAGATATTAATCGATGGTAGGAAAAAATAAAAAAGAAAGAGACCTTTTATTCCCGATGAGCATGATAACCATGTTGGAATTTGAGTGCTGACGGGCATCCTCCAGCCAAGTTGTCAAGTGCTCAAAGGTTTCCCTACGGGTGATGTCATAGACAAGTAGAGCTCCTGCGGCACCTCTATAATAAGATCGTGTGATGGACCTGAACGCTTCTTGGCCGGCGGTATCCCATATCTGAAGCTTGATTTGCTTACCATCAATGGTTATCATACGAGCACCAAATTCAACACCTACGCAAAAGGAAAACAACACACTTAAAGTTAATTAATTGTGTATCTTCAGTCTATCATCAGTTTTAGTTAGTAATGACTTCTGTGTGCTCTTGGGTTGCAAGGACCATTAAATGTTTTATTAACAAATTTTGAAAATTTTAAAAAATAAGTTTTCTTGAACAAGAAAAATCTTAACATACCTATACGAATTAGGAAACCGTTATATGCATTGATTAGGTAAAAATGTAGACTAGTATTATTCAGAGTACCTTCGTAATTTATTTCAGTAATTTTTGGAAACATTTTAATGCACACTCTCTATAATGCATGTTCCATATGTTGCACGTCTACTTGGTTTCTTAAATTGATGTGCCTGAAAATTTATTCAAGTCTAACAAAATTTCATGCCAACTTTTTTTTTTGTTTTGTAAATTTTACAACACTTTGACTATAAAACCAGATGAAAGGGATTCACATTTGGATTATTTGATGAGTTGTTAGTACAATTTTTCTGGAAATTATGGCTGAAGGTCATTATTCGCAACAAAAAAAGTTAGAGCAAAAACTTAAATGGAAATTAATAGCAGATGTTCACCAAAGAGAATGTTTGCTAAAGTCCACACCAAATAATTTTACGCTTTAGAGAGTAACAGAAGATCAGCTGCCATGCTTTTTGTGTTTACTTTCAATGCTGAATTGAAGACAGTTGATCTTCTAAAGTATATACATAAACTTACTTGGCATGAACTCTGTGTGAAATTATGACAGAAAATGTAGAGATTCAATTTCAATTCAATATTTACTTATTTACTTACATGACACAAAACACACTTGATACAATTTGTGAGAATGAATTTATTTTGCCAAAAAATTCTCAGTTGAAAGCTTTCTCTGGCTTGCCATCAAAGAGACAATAGGCTATAAACTTACAATGACACCTCTAAATAAATAATAACATCCAGAACGATACAGTAAAGGAAGAGGCAATGGCTAGGAGGAAGGCTACGTTCAGGAGAACATTAAAAAAATCTAATTCATCCAAAAATCAATGTGTATTTCATTCAAACAAGACATACCTACCCTGATTAAGGATTTCATTAAGCAAGTAATAGAAGTGTTCCCTGTTGTTGCTAGGCTAGTTCAGTGGAAATCGTATACAACAACCTCCTAGGGACCGGCCAAAGTTGATCGTTTTACCCGATTTTCGCTATAACCAATGCTCAAGTAGTTTGAATAAATGGGATCTCTGCCGTGGGCCTGTCCAGATCGCAGGCCATTATAACCAATAAGTTGTTATAAGCGATGTCGTAATATCAGATTTCCACTGCACTTCTTTTATAATGCTTTTGACTTCAAATTTGCTATTATTTTCTTAGGCCACGTATCAGTTTACTGACAATATATTGATTTTAATTCGGTTGATGTGAACTCAAAAATGGACATAAATCATAAGTGTATTGATGGTTAGAACAAAACTTTTGACATTTGCTATAAAATGTCAAAAGAAAATTCGCGAGTATGCTTTAAAGAGGTACTAAAAAGTGCCTGTAAACATCGCAGCACTGTTAATTTCCAGGGAAAATTTGTGCGGCTTAGTTCTCAGTTAGCTAAACCTGATTATTGTACCTATGGGTAATAATTACCTACTTCCTTCCTAAGAAATAGAAATCTTAGAGAATTTCCGAGAGAAGAAAAGATGACATGGATTTAAGTAAGGATGGCAGTTTGAGTATACATCCCGGTGACTTGCATCCTTCTTTGCAACATATCAAGGTTAATATAAATACATAAAGGACTTGAAGAAGAACAAATAAATGTATAACTTATAACTTACCAATGGTGAGATCATGAATAGGTTGGAACCTTTTGTCCGTGAACTGAAGGAGCAGACAAGATTTCCCTACCCCTGAAATCAGTGAACGGTAAAAAGAGGATAAGAAAATTTTGGCATAATATGTGACTGTAAAATGTTAGTCTATGAAAGTTCTGTCTAGATTAAATGGACCTGAGGACATTATTTTGGCATACTGATACTGCAAGTGATGGGTATTGTTTACAATATGGTCTGTTCGCGCGAACTGTCAAGACTAAAAAACTAACAGTAAAAGATCAAGAGAACATTCCTTGCTGCATAAGAACAATGAAATCACTTATTCATTGATGAATGGATAAAATGTAGGAGATTAAGTGATAACATTGGTTCAAGAAAAAAAGGTCGATGACAATGTATTTGAAAATAACCTCTGGGGAAAGTGAGTTTTCAGTTCAGACCCTGATTAAAGCAATAAACAATTGACAAAGGCGTAGAAAAAGGGAGATAACGCCATTGGGGATGACTAGAGTTTTATTCTGGATAACTTGATGTATGATTTCAGCAAAGAGAAATCTTTACTGATAAGCATAACTTGCAATCCAATGCAAAGGTGGATATTTCGAAGTTCAGGAAGAACTCAATCATTGACATTTAGGAGGCTCTGATTATGCTTGAGGTAGTGTAAACGTGTCAACGCCAAATTACCAACGAACGAACAAAGAAACAAAACAAAATGAGAAAATACAAAAATGATAAGGGTAGATGATCTAATAACGAGTTGTGAATCATGAGACAAATTCACTTCTTACCTGTGTCACCAATTATAATATATTTAAATAAATATGCGTAAGACATCCTAAGTTTTTAAGTAACTAGTAAATTAAAAAACCTCTACGAAACGAGTGGAATCGTCTTGGGCAATTAAGAAACGTAGCGATTAAATTAATAGAAACAGTAGGAGTGTAGAGTCAAGCAGAATATTATCACAATGAACGACGACAAAGAATTGCAGCCTTTGTCTACCGATAAGTACGAAGTCGAAGGTGATTTGATAACTACTACGCACATCCTATGCGCAGACCAACAAGTCGAAAGTATCTCACTTTGACCATAATTTTTATCGGAAAATTATTTATAAGATGAGGGTAATCTATTTTTTGGATGGGTTTAGTGTTTACAAAAATTGTAAAATTATCGGATAGGATTAAAATAAATTTAAGACCGGAAAAAACAGAGATCTTCGATAAAAGTCAGGAAAAATTATGTTGACATTTGTGGTATTTTCAATTTTCAAATTAAACCGCTCCTTTAGAAGGACCTCTGGTTGCAATCAGTTGAACTAAAGTTTCTCATCTAGTTCTTTAAATAGCCAGTAGAGTGCACTAAAGCATCTCATGATCTAGGTTATGTTTCCCATTGGCCAGTGTAAACAAAATTTTGCTAATGTGTCAAAATTTTATCTTCAGTTGCCGGCAACACTCATTTCTGTGTCAATAGGGTCTTTAAATTTTGTTTAAGATGGGTGAGACTGTTTTATCTTTTTCTATGAGAATTCATTAACTTTCATCTACCTAACTAAGTGTACACTACAACTCAAGTCCTTTACTAAGCTTGAGCACTTGGCACCATCAACCAGCATCCGATAATAATAATTGGAATTTGATAAGAAAAAATAGTTTCAAACCGATGGTCTTGCGTCAATCAGTTAATTTTTTTATATGAAACTGTTTTTCATTATCGGAGCAATGCCCCTTTTTTAGAGACCACCATTAACAGTAAAATTGACATTTTTCTTGTATGCGTGTTGTCTATCTCACCTAGTCGTAGAGTTCACACCAAATAAATTCATACACTTTTAGACTGAGGCAGGAGATCTGCCACCTTGGCTCTTTCATAAACTTTATATGTGAAAGCGACGTCAGACAATCTTCAGTCGCATTCTAAAAATGCGTAGACTTACTTGGCATGGACTCTACCTTGAGTGCAAAAGTAGAAAGTGTGGAAGAAAGGCATACTTCTAGCTTTTTGCCCAGAGAATGTTCATGTTATGAACAAATGTGTCACACCATGGAACTGCCTGTACCAATCTCCGATCATTTACCGAGGAAGCAGCCTGATTATCAACAGTCCTGAGTTCTCTCGGTCTATGCTCCCTTGCATTTAGCAATCCTGTGACTTCTCAAAGTTCACAGTGCTCTTTTACTAGTAATGCGATTTTTATTGATGTGGCCAACTTAAGTAAAACTTGGATCCATACATAAATTAAATTTTAATACCAACGTCATGTGTGACTCATATTATTGTTATTTTTTAAAGATAATTATTTTTTTTTCAATTATTTAACTTCACTGTCTTTCTCAATGTTACAGCTATGTCTAGTGGAATGTCATTCATAATGTCATCAGTTCTGGCTGTTCTGTTGTTTTCTGGCATGCAAATGTATCGGCAGTGGTTAGCTTCATCCCAGATTCAAACAATTCTCGGTGGATATCTTGGATCACTTCTTTTTATCCTCTCATTGACTGTATCCTTTATTACACCTGCTTATCTCGATTCATTGGAAAATTATTCTTCCAATTAACAAGTCCTTAAACCAAATATTTTGAAACTGAAGTATTCAATTTTCTTTTCTTCTTTTAAAGAAGTGAGTCTCTTCTTCATCTTTTGGTAGCCAGAACTGAAGGAAATGAACTCAGTAGCAGGGGCGGACTGGCCATGGGGGCGGGGAGGCGATCACCTCCTAACAATTTGTTGAGGCCCCTTCGGGACCTCCGCGGCAAATTTTTTTTGAGTCATCGTTTTTACCCCCGTAATGTTGAAATTTTCCTTTCCTTTTCAGTCACTAAAAGGCCCCAAATTTCTTGAAAATTTGTCTCTATAAGACATGAAAAGTCGCCTAAAGGTTATGTGATGAAGGGGCCCCCAAAGAATCCTGAGAATGGGTTATTTTGAAGTTCAAGTACTGTAGAATTTAACTCCAATAATGCCCAAAATTGCATTTAAAAAGTGTGAAATTTTCAAAATTTTCCGGGGGAGGGCCCCCCGAACGACAGGAGGGGCCCTCATATTTAAGTCGCCTCCTAACTTTTCGACTACCAGTCCGCCCCTGCTCAGTAGTTTCCATTTCGGACCGCAAATTGGACCTTGAGCAAGAAACTTGAGTCATTAGTTTACCTGCTCCTTGTGAAGCAATTAGGTAGCAGGATTGTGTGGTTTCACCTTTCTGCTTTTGCTTGAGTGGCAGTTTGGCGACTGACTTTGCAATTTTAGCCCTTTCATATTTTTTTCCTGTATCCCATGTTTTTATGTTTTCAGCCATCTCAGTTTTTCAGCATCATTGGGTTGTTTCCATTATTGTTAAAGTTTCAGTCACCAGCATTGAAATAAAGTGTAACAAGCTATTTTTACAGCTAAAACAATTATATTCCCACCTTTTTTTATGGTCATGTAACTCTCTATGACTTTGGGATGTATCCATAAATACTGATAATTCAGAATGAAGTAAGTTCCTAAGGCCTCCTTTAACTTTTTCTTGCACAAAATACATTTTCAGATTAATTTCGTATGAGAGAGACACATGAGAGGAATGGGCTGCTGTGATTCTGTTAGTAAGATCGCTTATTATCATGCTGTGAATCAAACAGGGGTGGGAAAATAATCAAAATGCCAACTGTTTCTCTTGATGGAGGATTCAAAATAAAATGAGAAATGCTTCGTTGTACCCAAAATAAGTATCTGAATTTCTGAAAACTGCCCGGAGTGATATGCTCACACTATCATAAACACCCTATTCTTGCATGAATGTATTCATATCCAATGGCAGAGCTGTTCTGAAATAGCAGATTGAAAGGAACAAGCCAAAACAAGAGATGCTCAACTTTTAAAATTCTAGGATGGATTCTATTAACTGTTTACATATCTTTCTTTTCTGGATGAGCCTCTTCTAAATTTACCTTAACCATAATCGTAATACCAGGCTGTAGGCAATGTCCAAGCTGCTTTGTTTGGAAAAGGTTTTCAAATCAAACTCTTCCCTGAAGGTGGGTACTTACTTAATTTAATCTGTTACTATAACTTCCACTAATGTCCAACTTTTTTCTTTTTTTCACTTTCTCATACATGTGTTTAGTTCTTGAGTGTTGTATGATTTTTGACTTGTTATGTCGCTATCCCTCCGAGTTTTGAATCTGTAACACTTCTAATGTATGCAAAAATTGGAAGTCATCTATTTCTTACCCAAAATATAAATTGTCTTAATGATTTTTTGTTGGATTCCCTATTAAGTATGTAGGTACACACTGTAATTCTTATAGATTTGATCAGTGGGCAAGTTTTGAGCATTTTTCCATGTGATGAAAGAGAAAAAAAGTATATTCTAAAAGTATATTTCTAAAAAGTACTTTCTGTCAAGATTTTGAAATAACTCCACAGAAATTAGAAACAAAAAACTTGAACTTAAAATAGAATTTTTTATTTTTACCTACCTATTCTTCGCAATATTTCCCTTGTGATTTTCTCTTATACAATCTGTTTGGCTGAAACCATGGTCATCATCAGGTAACCATTATAATCACCTGCAAGGTACACAAACGTGTTTAATTTTTTAGAACCTTTCTAAAAATTATCGAAAAATGATCCCCGATCAAGCCAAACCCAACTGTAGTCTTTAACTCCTTGACTAAAATATAGGCTTTTATGGGTTCTAAATTGGCCGGCGTTTAAGTAAAAAAAATAGTTTGTGAATAATGGGCACGGTGACTACTGATTAGGTTAACCCATTTCTTCATATTTTTAATTGAATTCCTTAGTATCATTTAGGAGTGCTAAATTCTCTCTGGATTTTAATTTATGAAATATACGGAAAAACCCCACACTGTTAGGTACTGAAACTGCATGCACCTTTTTAATCATGCCTTTTTCAATTTTGTTGTTTACAGTATTTATCTGTTTCCTTGTGGCATTATTTTCCTCTGGGATGGTGCATCGAGTTTGTATAACAACATGGTAAGATACTGGTTTCTGCCTTCAAAGTTTTGTATTAATATATAAATCATAGGATTTGTTGATTACTTAAAGAAATAGTTTGAAGAAACTTTTTTGAACGCCAGAATCACAGTATCCAAAGTTAAGACGACTTTTTTTTCAAAAGACCACCATAATGAAGAGAGTTACCTTAAAGACTTTCTCCATAGAATCTGTGGAATGGCAGACAAAAGCGATCATGAGAGGCAGTACTTGAGCAATTTTTGCACAAAAGGTTTGATGAATTGAGTCAAGTAAATCTGAAAGGTTGAAAAAAAAAAAGCGACGGGAACATCCCATGAAGGGTTGGCGGCAGAGCGTTGAAGGAGAAGAGATGCTCTGCTGTTGTCAGTTGCTGGATAATTTTTAGGAAGTCACAGGAAATAAGAAGAAAAAAGTCCTCACTTCTATAATCAGAGGGAAATTTTGTGGAAAGCCATTGGAAAATGAGGAGAGCCAGGGGGCAGGCGCATGAAAACATGGAAGCATAAGAGATTCTGCACCCCTAAACAATACTGAGATGGCATTTTTTCCCTTTTGCTAAATTGGATCCACCTTGACCATTAATTTGATGCAAATGCATATAAAGCACATAATTCAATGACTTGAAACTGTGGAGGAACAAGCGAATTTCGAAAATGTATAAAAAATTTGTATGAACCTGGTCTTTCATCAATTTTATCCAAAGTTAATCTCTCTAAGTCCTGCTCAAAGACTTAAAGACGGAGTGCTCGTATCTAAAAGCACAGGGAAAAAGTGAAGCCTGGTTTGGCGCTGGGTGCTTGTGTGAGTGTGTAAATGAGCGCGGGAATCCATGGAGGCAAACGAAATTTGATATTATGTCCTCTTGATTTTTCCACATTTCTTCTTCTGAATGTGTTTTAAATGCCTAAAACGAAAATATTAAGAAAGTTGGGACTGTGACTATTTATAATACACCTATTTTGGCTTGGTAACAAGCAAAGATCTCAGATAAAGTTAGTTTTTCTTCTGCTCATGGTGGTCCTGCTGGTTAAAACAGGCCGTTACAGTCCTAGATGACCGTTACCCCTAAATGAAATTAATCGGTTGATGACGGACCAAAAATGACCTAGAGTTAAAAAAATGTATGTGCGTAAGTGAATTTGGGTAAAAATCAACATAGAATAATTTGTTTACGCAATTTTATTCAGTTCCCGCCCTACATTTGAATTTCAAACTTGTCTCGATTTCGCCGCCGATTCTCCAGCCAATAGTAGAAGTGGTTGAATAGTAGCTTCATTTTTTGCTTTTAGCGCTCCGTCTTTATGTCCTTGTTCCTGCTTTTCCCTTTAGCTTCAATAATCATAAAAGCTTCTCTCTAAGTATCATTCTGATGAAGTATTTTGTTGAGAATAACACATTATTCATTTTTATTTGTTACAGTTTCATATTTTCTACTGTTTCATTGTACTACATCAACCGTATTTCTCAGAAGACTTATTCAGCAGTTCATCATTCGGCACCATTGGGTAAAAAGAAAAAATAAGTGCTGAATGCAAGAAGAAGGTGAGGACAGAACTTTCAAGCAATTGGCAATTGTGAATAATTTTAATACTTAAAGTTTAGATTGTAACTACTTAGAAATCTTGTAAATATCTTTTAATTTCCGTGTATGAACAAAACCTAGATTAAAATAAATTTAATTGTAACCAAAAAAGTATTTCTGGTGGAATATCATACATAAAAGTTGGCTCTCGTCTTTTCAACTAGAAATATTCCAGCCAGTATTGTTTATTTTGGTAACCCTGTGGCCACACAAAACTCAAGAGAGTTGTTTCGAAAACAGGTCATTTTTTTATTTTTTTTCACAAATTACCTCATCAGTCAAAATAAGCTATAGGTATTACCGATTTCAAAAAATGAGAACTCAGAATCTAAGAAACCCACGATTTATAAGTGCAGACTTGGGAGAGATGGCCTAAACGGGAGTGTTGAATGTGAATCAAGGATGTAGAATTATTTTCAATTTCAAAGACGTTTTTTAGCATGAGAGGTAGAGATGGATTACCGTTTTTTTTTTTTTTTTTTTTGGATACGCCCATGGAGTAATCAAATGTAAACTGAAAGTTTTTTAACCATTGTCACTTTATTTATTGTGATCTTTCAGTAATGTAGGTATGAGACATCTTGGAGTGTAGTTGAAAAACTATTACAGGTAAATTTGTCATCTTAACTTTAAAATGAGGGAAACACTAAAATAGTAGGTAATAACAAAACAAAATGTTTGAGTATTAGCACGGGAAGAAGTTCCAAGTTCTGCATTCAGTTTGTTAAATAAGACCTTGACATTTTATAAATATCAGTCGAATTGGACAGTCACTGACCACAGTAAGCCTTCTGCACACAGGCGTTCATAACTGTCAAGTAGGTTTGATTTTTCGAATTGAAAAGCATCAAGAATTATCGCTTTTAAATTTCCTATTAAATTTTTTTAACTATGTTAAAAATATTCCCTAAAAATTCTAAACAGAAATAGTGATCACTTATGCACTGATTTTGCCGTAAAACATATAATATTGATGGGTAAAGTCGAAAAATGCTTATCTTAGATTGCAACGTTATGTGCTACTACTCATGTTTTATTTTTCTGAAGGAAAAATTATTTATATAAGGGAAAATACATTATAAATTATTTTTCTGAAGGAAAAATAACAAACCTTTTCTTTTGAAATTCCCTGTGACTTTTCTCTCATTTTCTTCATGCATTCAAAAAAACAATCACGAGGAAACATTTTTATTAGTTTCCCTTGAAGAAATTAGAACATAATTGAAGGTTTATAATGCTGCAATTGAGGTATACATTTTTTTGCCATTTCCAATCTTCAACATTCTATTTATATTGAGGGAACACAAGAAATGAGTGACAAAGACTCAAGTGATAAGGCTAGGTGTTGGGTTAAAATGTGAAAAATTGAAGAGAGTTATGAACTGTTACATGCAGAAAGTTTCTAATAGCTGAGCACTGTCCAACTGGAGACAACTGAAACTGCTCCAATACATTCTTTCTTACACTTACAAGTAATCCTAACAACAAAATTTACCACTGCTAAATGGTGGATCTGACAAATGTATGAAGAATTACAGAGTTTGGATCATCCAGTCAAAGTCACCTGCGCTGAACAGTCAACATGTCCCTCCAACGGTTAACATGACGAGTACATTTATGCATGCATAATAACAAATTTCACAGGTGTACTTAAGTATGTAATTTAATGGATGTACAAATAGCTTTAGATTACAAAATGAATTATTGCTCCTGATATTAAAAAGTAAAATCTATAAATAATAAAAAAAAATTCCCACTGATCAGTAGATGAATACTTAATTCCATGGTGGCAAGTAATTCAATTTACTTGCTCCGTTTTATGCAAAGTTCGCATTATCACCCACTCTCATCTTTCTTGTAATCTCAATGGCATTCCCTCTTCCTTCACCTAACTGCTGTTGACTGGTGCAGAAAATTATTACATCCCAATTGAACATGTAGAATCAGAGATCAAAGAGGGTAGACATTACTAATTTTCATACTCTGAGTATCATCAGAATTAATAATTTAGATTCTGAAAATGTATGATATCCATGATAACAATCTTTTAACAGGGTTGCCACAAAGAAAATTAAATTCCTTGATAATTGGAGGTATGCTAGATGGTTGAAAAGACATAATTTGAAATAGTTTTCACACAAAATCTTTTGCTCCAAATGTCGAACGCATTCTACCTAGAAATCAAAACAAGGTGACTTGACAATTTTCCCTTAACACTTCCACCATTTTTCCTGACATTTTGAGGTTTTCTTTGACTTTTTAAAATTCTCTGACATTTTCTCGGTTCTTCTGATATTCCCTGACTGTGGGAACCCTGTTTTGATGTGTCCATTGACAGAAGTCTCCCTTGCAAAATGGACCACTACACAGGTTAAGAAATTCTGTACTACAGCACATGTTTTCATAACGAAATTTCAAGCAAAACTTGTTAAAAAAATTAAAAATTTCCATAACCGACTCATAAGTTAGATTATAACCACAAGTTAGAAGTTCACATTATAAACAAAAAATTCAAACTTTCTGCTCATAAAAAACCATTAGCCTCACAGACCAAATCAGGCAGACAAATCAATCAACCTGTATGTTTTGCAAATAATTCACGCAGAAATAGTAAGGAACACATTTCCTTCCTACTCTTATTCAAGAAACCTTTAATCTTGTCAAAAAAAAATTAGTGTACAGGAAAATTCTTCCATCGTAAAACATACGAAATCAGTTCAGTGCTCGCTTTGACAAGAGTAGATTCTAGTTTTTCGTCAACGGAAAGTGCAAATCAACCTGGAAAAAAACTGTTATTTTTCGACTTATGAGTTGAATTTGGAGAGATTTAATTTGTTCATCGCATTCTATGTAAAATTTTGATGAGGAACTATATAATTGGATGCTTAATTTCATGCCCAGTCCAGTGGTCCAATTACTTACAATCTGGGTTATTGCAAAGTGTCAAAAAATTCCCTCACTAGGTAGGTACAAAGGAAGTTAAAATTATAAACAAAACAATTTCAAATTTAATCATGAGGACAGGTAGTTTTTACATCCTGAAAGTAGGTAGGAAGTATAAAACAAGAGGGCATGAAATGCTACTTTACTATTACTTCAAATATTGCTTCCTTTCTAGATAACTTCATTGCAGAACTCCAGCTCTAAAACAAGATTATATTTTTTCAGTTTTGTTTTGTGAGTAGTAACACAAGACTGTGAGGGCACATTTTTGTACTGGGGCATTTTGCTCACTAAACAAATGCAATAGAGAACTTTCAATATAATTTGAGTCTCGATCTTAAAAACACAATGCAGAAAAATCTAACAATTATTAGGACATGATAGATCACTAACAAAAATAAATACATTTTACTGTTTCAAGGAAAATTCATGCAGACTGCTCCATTGAAATTTAGCCATGAAAATTGTCAAGATTTATTGACGAAACAATTTTTGAAATCAATCCACTTTAGACAAGAGTCTGTTGTTACACCACTACAAAGTCATAAACAAATAAACCCTCAAGGCACTAACGATCAACTTAATTACACGATATTCAAATAGTAAATAAATAATCAAGTGACTAGCTCATGAACAGCATTTTATTCTAAGAAATAAGAGTCAGTAATAATAAAATAAAGCATTTGTCCTACTTCACCCGGATCTAATATTTTCCGTAAGACACAGAAATATTCCAAGGTATTTTATAAGGGACAGGCGCTCCCAATGCTCCCATCAGTTATGCAGTTCATCACATAAATGGTGATTTTTATGAGGTTGAAAATTCTTACACAGAAAGCTTTGACTAGTGTGAATAGAAAATAGTCAGTTAAATATCCTAAAATATTGTTTAGTGTATTTTTATTCAAATTCTCATAACCAATGATTTTGTCTGGCATCGTGAGGTTGGAAAAATTTGAAATAAATGGTGCTCAGTAGCATTTCTTTTGCCGCCCTAAATAGTTTATTAGAAGCAGTGGTGTATGGTTCAGGCAAACAAGGCAGGCACTGTTTCTCCTGTGAATACAAAATTAGTTGAATTATCTTTAAACATATCGATGACCTAAGTTTGAAACCACATACGGCCATCTGCCACGTTGCAGACTTCCTCTCATACATTATTTTTTCTTTGGAAAATTAGTAGACATAATGTCCTAAAAATCTTCTTGATGTTCCTTCACATTCGACAGCTTATTCTGTACCAATTTCAAGTGCTTGTTTCTCTTCGAAAAAATAAAATAGGAGCGGAAATATTGAAATACCTGAATGGAGATTACCTATGGTTAGGTTAGATTACCAAAAGTTAAAAATGTATGTTTTCACCAGTTTCCTGAGGAATGGATCACATTCACAGAATAAATAGAGGATTTACTTTAGTTACTTTTGTTTTGCTGCGGTGATGTGAATACTGAATTCCATTGATTTTTAGGTGACTTTCACAAAAACATTCAGAAAATGGCATCGTCTTAATTATAGGTCATCTTATCTGGATCTTTTTTAATTCTCCTATAGCATTCATTATTTGAGAGGAAGCCAAAAAGAGAAAAAGTGGTTGTGAGGCAAACTTTTAAGAAACCAGACAGATCGCCCAACATTTTCATTCCAACCATCTAATCAGATAAAATTCATGGACTTGTTTTGCTCTGCCAAACATTAATATATTTCAATTGCGAAATTTCCCAGAATTTCAGAAAAGTGCCCATCTTTTTCTTGAAATTAATTTACCTAGGATAAAATTAGACGTTCTTCTATAGGGAGATGGACTAGTATTTCAAATATTTTTTTTTATCATTGATTATATCATGACTAAAATCAGACTCTATAGAAATAGGAGCATAAGATATTATAAAATACCAGGATTTTTATGATAAAAAATATGCTTTTCATGAAAACATTGACTAAGAACTCAATGATGAGGGGCCGTTCGAGTATCACATAGGAAATCCAAAGGGAAGGGAGATAAACTGATGCCTCTGAAGGAGGATTCCAGAAAGATAAAGGGCTTTACGAGTTGATGGGGGGAGGTAGAGAAGAACTAAAAAATGCCTCATGGAATACTCGAACAGCCCCTGGTGCCTAGCTGTTACGTTATGAACAAAATCTTGAAATGTTCTGATGAGTAGGAAAGCTAGTACAGAAATCTGGTGACAAATTGAGAGAAAATGAGAGGTATTCAAACATAACAAGAACAAAATAGAAGCGAGTATTATTCTGCAGCCTGAACAGTGTAAATTTCTACTTTGAATGTTTGGCATTTTTGGTCATTAAGAAATCTTCCATTCAAAATATCTGATAAATATACCAAAAATATGTAAGCTAATTCACTCAACAAATCAGAGACATCCCTCAACTACAAGTCAGCCATAATTTTGTAATGCTGGCATTTTTTTTCAAGGACTCAGTACAGCAGTATTATTCAACTGAATAGTGAGAGGATAATTTTCTTTATAAAAGAAAAAGAAAAAAACATGCCGGGATACACAATGGGTAAGGGAGTAAAGGGTTTCAAAGATTAATGCCTGACTCTTTAAAATGTTAAAAAATATTATTGAGTGTGTTTGGCTAACAAGATTTGCGACTACTTGAAAGCCGGCTTAAAATTAACAAACAAAAAAACACTATACAGAACAGATGCTGTTCAATATTCAAACAAACATCTCATGATACAGGAGTGCCTGACTACTGGATGAGATACTATTAAATTTGAACAATTTTAGGTTACCTTATGCTGCCACACAAGCAGCATCTCAGTAAAGCCTGTCTAGTCGCCTTCGAGGAACTCTTTTTCTAAGGCTGCGCCTAACATATTCCAATCACCATCGCTAATTTCATCAGGTGGTTCATCGCTGCCCACACTGTCATCATCATCACCATCACCAAGATCTAGGTCACTGGGTAAAGCTTCACCTCGTCGGAACTTTGTACTTAATGATTCCTCCTCCTCATCATCTATGTCTGCATCTACTTCAGTGTCCGTTGCTTCCCTCCGTCTCTTACGGGAGCACCAGCCTCTGACGTTTTCACCTGAATCACACAGAAAATTAAAATTGTAAGTTTACACTTCAGAGTCCTTCATGGAGAATAGTTGAACATTTTCAGAGTAATAATAGAGTAAAAGGCTGTTAGTATCTGTATCCTGTATCTTCCTGACATATTTTTTCACATTAACACTTTAACTATAGTATTGCCCTATAAAGCCTGATTTGATGAATGCCTTGCCTTCTCGTCCGCGACTAAAGTGGGGACAAAATGGTTATACCTACATAAAATTGGTGACTTGCAAAATGATCTGATACAATGTGATAATGCAAGTTTAAAAACAAGAATGGAATGCACAATGATTGGCAGAAAAGGAACTACGTGAGCAGGATACACAAACTAGGAATCGTAGCATGCCGCTACAATAGCGAGTATTTTACAGCATAATTGTATGCAGAGAATAAACCTACCACTTATGCGGGTGTCTGGGGTAGCTTTGGGAGCACTGAAATATTTTCCAGCTCATCTTGACCACAGTAAGGTGTCTACCAAATACCAAAGAAATGACTTCGCAAAATTTTTTTTTTAAAACAGGAGTAAGCTGGTATGGTATCTTTATATGGAATTATACAGGATACAGTATGAGTAAAGAGTTATGAATACAATACGAAGTGGGTGCTAGGTGAAAATTAGAGAAACTCACCGGTTAGAGAGTCTCCAGAGCTGCTACTTGAATTCGAAGAATCTTGACTTTGTGCAAGTGTTTCAATTACTTGGGATGGTCCTACAGTCTTTTCCTCAGAATCACTTTCTGAGCTACCTAATATATCTTCAACTTCGCCTGCCATGGTCGCAATATCCTCTGATGAGAATGACATGAGAGGGTTGATAGAATCCATAAATCGATCGTTTGGCACAGGAAAATTGGACTGAGGAACTTTTGGATTAGGAATTTCACGATTAGGAGAATGTTCAGGACTACTGCAGTGAGCTGGTGGATGCCTGGAAGATCGGTTTTCACAACCCATCACAGGATATAACCTAAAACACGATGGACAGTGATTAAAACTTAAGAGCAGGAGGAAATAGTTAGAAAATTTCAACGGCTGAAAAACAATGGTTCCTCTGTAATTTTTCGCTTTAGTTTCTGAAATCAAACTAAATTTTTTCCCAGACTCGTGCTACCTTCCCAACAAATTAACAGTATCTAATCAAATTAACATTTTTTCTAGTAAACTTATTTCTTAAGATACTTTTCTAGAGAACTGATAGTTGTAAGTACTAAGCAGACCAAAACGTAGCTGGAAAAATCACCAACACTTGTAAAGCTAACTATTCTACAACAAAAAGGGCTGGTAAAAAACTCAATCCCAGGTTCAAAATAGACAGCCTGCATATTTGATCTTATTGAAAACCTTTTTCCTCTTCATTTTAAAATTATTGGAGGACTTCAACTAATATCAGCCTGACTACCTACACACACATACACTACACTACTCACATTCTCTATGCATTCATTATAATAATTTAGGAGCAACTTCTAGTAGGTCTTAAGGCATTAAGTTGTTAGCTTTTTTGTTTAAAAAAAATGAGAAGAAATGAGGTACATAATATGAAATGCATTTATGGTGATTTTGACTAGTGCCATTAAAGTTTTAGCTACAATTTCTGTGAAAGATTCATATTTTCTAAAACAAGGCATAATTCAGTGGTTGCTGATCCTTGAGAAATCTTACCAATACGAAGTCCGTGCAATTATCACTTAACGAGCAGGAACAGCTTTCCTACAAAGCAATTTTTGAGCATAGCTTCTCAAACCAGACCTACTGACAGTTGCGGGATAGCCTAAGTATTAAATCAGTGGTATCCATAGCTTCAATAAATTACTTCTGTGTTTAAAAAAATCATCTATTTGCCCCTAACAATTAGCATGTTAGGAGAATTTTCAACATTTAAAACAATTATAGTCCGATCTTTGATTAAGATAACCATGAGGATTGTGATTAACAAGATCATTATACAAAATGTTATAACTTCTAGAACTTGAAGAATTAAGGTCAACTCTTCATGATTAAAACTGCTCTCCCTAGATTTTAAACTGAGTCTTACCTTTCGTCGACTTTTTCCCAACGTTCCGCGCAAAGCCACAGCCAGTCAGCAGTTACAATTTTTATGTGCCTCTTCCTCCTAGCTGCATTAACTTTTGCAGTGCCATTCCTAACCGCAACCACATGAGTTGTATTTTCATCGATCTCTTTGGTCACCACAGCTCCTAATGAAACTGCCACCATATACGCTCTTGTTGTTTCCAGCTCAACGTGCGTTGGAATGATTCCACTAAAAACTAGGTAACTTCCAGCAAGAACCTGCTTTTTAACTTTTGGAATGATCGACTTTAGATCAGGTGCGACTTGAGTTGCTTCATACTCAGCGTAAAAAGATTTATGGATTGTTTTCAAAATCTCCTCCAAGTACAACAGGTAATCGTCGGTCTCTTCCAATTCCACAAGATTGCTTTCAATTTTTTCGTCAGTGAATTTCACTCTTTTTTCTTTCTTTTTCCTTTTGCCATTTTCATCATTACCTAAATTTGAATCTAATTTTTCCTCTTCTCCGGAGCTGCTCAATTCCAAGAGTCTCCTCTCATTGTCAGAGTCCGATAACTCTAGTCTATCTTTATCAAACAAATCGCTACCTGATGAATCTTCATTCTTATCAATTTCCATCTTATTAGTTTCTAAATCGGACGATTCCTTCAGAGATTGATTTTCCTGGGCCTTCACTTCAGAAAGGACTGCTTTGTCATCCACTTCCATTTTTCTTTCTTCACAAGCATCATCTTCTTTGATAGACTGGTCGATGCTAGATGTGTCATTAGATGAGGCTTCATTTACATTCGATTTTGTTTCTTGTCCTGAGATCTTAGACAAGGTATCTTCATTCACTTCTAATGGCGTTATCTCTTCCGAATCTAATTCCACTGATTTTCCTTCATTTTTTATTTCACTCTCATTCTTTGTAGGACTTGAATCCTCATTAACCTTATCAACAACTGCTGTATCTGTTATTGCTGTAACGCTCTCTGAAGATTCCGTTAAGTTTACACTTTCACAGGGTTTTTTCAAATCCTCGATTCCAGCTGTCTCATCCTCTTTCACTGTGGTATCGCCTTTAGAAACGCATTCTTCTGAGTTTTCAGAGGATTCAACGGGAGATACTTCCGATTTTGATGTTTCATCTGCCATTTTTTCTGGTACTTCTTCACCTTCTTCTTTGATAACTGTTAGTGCTTTTTTGGGTTCGGTTGTTTTAGAGGAGTACTTTTCATCATTTGAATTCGACTCAGATGAAGGGAAATCTGAGTCAGACTCCGAGCATTTCTTGCCTTCTGATTGTCTCTTACCCTTTCCCTTCACAGACTTTCTAAATTTGACAGCTTCTTTCAGTTCCCCATCTTCTGTTTCACTTTCACTAGAGAGTTTTGGAGGTTTCAGCTCTTTTTTCTTCATTGTGATTCCTAAAAAAACATTAAATAAATTTTAGTGCTATGCAAGGAGAACACAAAGGAAAAAAACTGCACACAATATTAGCAAAATGCTGATTTGGAGGATTTCAAAATACTGATGATGGACATAACTAGTGCAGCATTGGTAGAATTTGACTTCGCTCAAGATGATTTTCTGTCAATGAGGGAGAGAACATTAAAAATTGATTAACTTGGACATGGAAGGCGGAGGCATTATGCACAGTCAAAATCAGAGAAGCTTAAGTGAACATTCACTTCAACACACCAAAATAGCCAAAACTCGATTTGATTTTGCTTTAAGTTCTTATGCAGCTCAACCAGGGACTAGCAAAGCAATGAAATTGGGTAGGTGATCGGGGCTGGATTTTGCCACTATGTGCTAAAAAATTGTTGCCTCTGCATCTTAAAAGTGATGACACTAAGGAGGTTGTGCAGAATATCTGCTGATTGCAGAGGACAAATGATCCTGATTTTCCAGACTTTTCACTTGAGCAGCACCAATCTTGAATCTTCAAGTTCAAAAGTATAGCTCATTAAATGGGTAGGATGTACATATTTCTGTGCAGAGATACAACCTGGATCTAAAACCTTTGCAGCCATTTATTTTTGAAGCTGTTTACGTGATTAAAGTGAAACCAAAAGTGGCTCTTTATTTCTACACAATCTACATTAAGATACATTTTTTGCATAGGTAAATCATTTCATCCCTTGTTCTGGAAATACTGTACTCATTAGGGGATAATTTTTTGAATTTTCATCTAGTCGTGAATGCTGATATCTCCAAAGATTGTCTCATCCACACCTTCAAAATAATCTCTTTGCACCTACCCTGTATAGCCCCCTCTTCTTCTAAAAATTCTGAGTCCAAGGGATGGTTTTTTAAGGATGGTTTCACTAGGAAGAGCATCGTTTACTCTGTGGTGTGCCAAAGATGTTGTTCTGCTTCAAGTTATAGTTAAGAGCATGATAGTGGATGAGTTAATTACCTTTAACGAGAGTTGAAAAATCAAATCCACTCTCTGATTCATCATTTTCCCTTTTGGTTAGACCAGGTGGAGCATTGATGTCACCAGTATGTTGAAAAAAATGATAAGGTTTGACATGAATTAAATTAGGAGCATAGTTCCATACATCTTCACGGTCATCAATTATACACACCAATCTATCCCCTACAGGAAACAATGCTCTAGAAGAAAAAAAGAGAGAAAAAAAAACTTTAAGAGATTATGTCTCGACAAAGTAGAAAACAAGCTTTGAATTGTAACAAAAAGTGACTGAAATTAACTTATCCTTCCTTCCTCAAAGTAGAAACCTCTAGAGCTCAGTATCCTCTGAGCTAAAAAAGGTATCTAGTCCAAGTTTGAGCTAAGTTTAATCAAAACATATTTACTTTCCGCATAACAACAGTTTGAATCGCTAATTGATTTATATCTGCAATGATGCCCCCTGTCTCATTTTAGTGCCGCGCCATTTGCAGATGGTTTGCTTCATCACTGTACCGATGATCCACTGGTACATGCGTTGGAGTATGAATTTCACCAACACTAGGTTGGCAATCACTGTAAGGGCAACCCTGCTTTTTCTTCGGCCTCCATTGGTCAAATTTCTTCTCTTGTTAAAGTAATGGCTGTTTTGCTCGAGCCCGTGTTCACTATGCTATGATAGTTTTGTTTTTCCTCAATAAAACTGACAGCTATAAACCCGAGTTCTCTTTTGTCCTCCAAAAGCATGCACGCAATGCCTTATAGCCTCCCTTCCACATTCTTTTATAAAGGGATATTTTAATTTTTCACTGGTCCTGGTAGCATTTTTAGTGATCATATTCTCTTTAACTTTGCAAAATCATTGTGACTCAATCTAATTTGATGCATTGCATATATTTTCATTTATATTGAGTACCTCCAATGATGGTTTTTAGTATCATTTAAGATTTGGCAAAAGTCAAAAATTTTGATATAATAAAGAAGCAGCTCTGACTGGCTTGTCCGACTCAGCAGTGAGTGCAGTTGTCTATTACAAGTAGGCGTTGAAGTCATTTTTTAATGATTGAGATGGCTTGGCGTAACCTTGAGTACTTATACTCCATCCGTTTCAGTCATCATTTCAATATTTAGAGTGAACAAACTAACCGAATTGAGGATTTTTATCAACTCATCTCTGAAAAACAGTTTTTATCAAGTACAGATAACTGAGTACAAACAAATTATCGACTAGTGCATCTTCCAATGCAGCTGCATTGGAACTTCTTATTTTCTTTCCTGCTATTTCTTTAAAATGCAAGAAAAGGATAGTGATTCTTTTCCAATTCAAACTAAAGTTTATTAATTTTAAGTTTATTAATTTTATTGTTAATAATAATATACCTATTCAGAGTCTTTACCTGTACCTTTAATTCCAAAAAATTATTTATGAGTCATAAGTATCTGCTTTTGCCTTTTGGCGGCAAGAAAAAAAAATTAAAAAGCAGGATAGCTCTGCTAGTCAGATTCTTGAACTTGCTGAGAGAGTTAAGTTTAGGCTAATGGAAACCAATGTTGATTAATTTTTTTTACTCTTACTGATTTTCATACAAATGTTTAGAGATTTTTTCAAAATGTTGCGGCATTGTGGCATTTGGGAAAATGTTCAGAATTTGCAATTCAATGGTTTCCCCAAGACTTGCAATGCATGAAGAGAAATAGGAAAAGTAACAGAAAACGATCTTTAATTTGTTCAAATTGAATGAAAATGAGGCTTATTGTAAAAATGAATGTATAGGAGAAGTATCCATTCCTGAATTTCCACCATAAAATCTTTCAATTTTGGGAGGATATTCAGCAATGCTACCCTCCGCCTTTCTAGCTGAGACACCACATGTATGACGCATGTTTGCTTTCACAATGACTTCGGGGAAGGCGGAACACTGCTAGCTCATACCGCCTGATAAATTTAACTTTTAGTCTCATATCATGTACATTTTCAAAAAAATCTCATTTCCGCAACAAGAATCTTCCTTAAAATTTTCAACTCTTTGAAATACTCACTATTCAACAAAGGAAGGGAAAAAAGTGGCTTACTTCAAGTTTGCTGTTTTAGAATTTGGGTCGAAACATTCATCTCTGGATAATATTCGATGCGAGAAAAATTTTCCATCTGGATCTAAAAAATGAGCAATCATATGAGCATAATTCCGAGCTCCAAAAGTGCAAATGTGTAACTCATAAAATTCACTAATGTGCGTCAGAAAATCATGCGTTCCGGGCCGCAATCTAGTGTGGTACCAAGGGGAGTGCTGACTGTACAACTGGAAGTGATACACATCCTGCAAGAAAAACATTCTTGTTAAAAAGGGAGAGCATCATTTCTAAGATCTCAACAACAAAACAAGAATCATAATTTGAGAGACAGGCTGTGTGGCCCCCTTTGATTGGCTGAAAGCTTCCGCAAATTTCTACTTTCGCCTGGTGCCAAACATTTTAACGCTTGTTGGAAACAAACATGAGGTCAATTCAGAGAGGAATAACTTGGAGACAAAAGTCAAAAAGTCAAAGACAAAAGTGGAGAAAAAAGAATACAACAGGAACATTTAAACAAAGGAAACTTCCATAATAAATTCCTGGGAATCTTCCAGAGAAATTGATTGGTGATAGGTCCCATATTTTTTTCATTGCACAAGAAAAATTATTAATTGAAAACATATAAAATGCTAAACAGAGGAATGATGCACTATTGGTCTTTTCCCTGCTGCGAGTTTAGAGAGTGGTTTGAGAAGACTTTCATACTTATAAGCAGCCAGAAATAGAGGACTCAGCAATGAAGACATGACCCAGTTTGCAACTGGTGAACGATTTTTCTTAAAGTTTCCATATGGACAGGTTCGTTTTGTTTAATGTTTTCAGTCTTGGGAACTGCACTATGCATAATAGATCTATTAGTTGGAGAGTTAAAAAACCCTAACTGCATCTTCCTTTTAACGCAACCAATGGGTGGTTTCAGCAAGTGCTCCTCGATCTTGCTGCTCCAGCATTATAGTTTCTCCTACTTTTGTATGCATTCCTATCTGACGGACTAGTTTTTAACTTTTACACATATTGACAAAGAAACTCCTAAACCACATATCTCATTAGCAGTGTTTAAAAATCTTTGCTCCTTTTTTATTTTTTTAAGGAGAAAAAAATCAACATTATTTCTTGAAGTTTTCTGAGAATTTGCTTCGCACAGAGCATCACGGAAGTTTTTTAGAATCGATGTTAAGTAGTTCTCCATTCAAAAAAGAGAGAATGACGGGAAGTTTGCGAGGTGGTAAACAAGATAAGTGGTTTGGGAGTTTCATCGAAATGTCTCTTTTAATCCCCCCCAAGGGATATCAATTTTTCCTGATTAAATGCATCGAATTTTTCCCACTGCAGACTCTCAGTGAAGTAACTGAATAATTTCAATGCAAGTGACATGCCATTGATAAAGTAAGTGGTGAATGCCTGATTTAATAAAAACGTATTGGTGTTCCCGAAAACAAAAATTTTGCTCCCAACTTACTGCCTATTGATTACAACACCAAAAAGATGAAGGTTTAAACAAAGTAGAATGCTTATAAAGACCTTGTGTCAAAATATTTCAGGGGTAGAAATAAAAATACTTACTTTGATGTTATTCGGAATATTATCATTTGTTGTGTGGATTAGTGTCTGATCTAAATCTACAAGAAGGACTAGTTTCTTTGCTTTTAAAAGCCTTTCTTCATCAGCTTTGCCCAGGTATTCAGCTTGCTAGGCGAATCAAAGCAGATCAAAATAGAAGTTATACAAAGTGTAAAAAATACAGAAAATAGTTGAAACCAGCGACAAAGAAGTAGAAAATTAAGCTCAGTGTCAGATTGCTTAAAGCACAGCATTCCTTCCATTCTCCTACCATCGCCATTCTTTGATTTAATTCCCTATCCTTTTTCATTTCTGCACAAGTTGTCTCAGAATTGTCTAATGTGAGAACTTTCTTACTTTATGGCGCATGTAGTTGCTTTGACAACAGAAACATACTTAAACCCAAAGCTTGATGCTGAGGTTAAAATAAGATGGAGAGGAGGAGGGTAAAATAAGGCGAGTTGAGCAGAGTTATAAGATACGACTTTCACTGATCTTTAGTGCCCAGTTTCGACTTACATTCCGCTAGCTTGTTTTCTCTTGTTTGCATCCCAGTTAATAAAACTGGTAATATTGATTATTTCATTGCTTTCTATAGGTCTCAGTTGACATATATCGATGGCCGAAGTTCAAAACAATGTATCTCTGTTTGCAATGTTACAGACTTCCTTTCATACTTTATTTTCTCTTTGGGAAACTAGCCGAAGGTAATTTGTAGAAAACTTCCTTGATTTTTCTTCTTCATAAGCAGAACATTCTGTGAAAATTTCAAACTATCAAGTTGGCTTGTTCTTTTTCAATAAAATAAAATAGGTGCGGGAATTTTGAAACACGAGAATGGAGATATGTCGTTTTAGACTTCGCTATAGCTACTTATTGTGTTTCTTGAAACCATTGTAAGGTATTATTTCTGTTGATGAGATTCAACTAATTAATACCTACTTGGATTGAGAAATACACTTATGAAGGGATTTAATTTGATAATGACTTAAGATATTTCACTATATTAATCACTCATAATATTTACCTCTTCACTAACTTTCAGCTCAGGGACACTATGTACCATTGGCACAGAGGCATGCGGAGTGGTAACCTCTTGCTTACGGAGATCGGCACCGCATTCAGCACAGAGATCGTTGATGACTGTTGGATGTGAGCAACCCTTCTCAATTTCTAGCAACGGCTGCCTAAAAAGCAAGATTAAACACGCATTACCTCAAAATTTATTGTACAGAGTTCTACAGATTTTTTTGGAGAGCCAATTGAGAACCTTAGGAGGAATCAGCACCTATTTTTCCAACAGAAAACAGGTTCTATGTAGACTGATTATCGTGGGAAGCAATAATTTATGGTAGTTCCTCTAGTAAATTCTATTGCACAGACAGAGTGTGGGTAAGTATACTTATTTAGTAGTCAATAATAGTAGTGCTACCTACTAATAACACTAGCTGTGGTAAATGTATGTAAGTGCTTAAGTACAGCTTTTTTCTAAGGTTTTGATTTCAGCAAGCTGTCTTGTGGGTGCTTTTTCTATGGAACAATAGGCCACACCAAAAGGTTTCATTCGACTGATTGAATTTTGCAAGATATTTTGTTTGCCGCCAAAATTACATTGCTTAGGTACTTCCTATGTTATAATTAGAGTAATATACATAGACTAAAGGTTGTGATTGAAGATAATCTCATTCATCACCCAAGGATAAAATAATTTTTGGCGTGGCGTATTCTATGACAGAAAGGGTAGGACAAATTCGGCCTGAAAAAAACTTCTGGCAAATGCTGTAGCAGGGTGTGCTCATTGACCTCTTGCGCAGAACTAATTATGCTTGCTCACCAGAATTTGCTGCTGAGATTTGGAAGGAGTGTTCTTTTATGAGAGACATTACGGACATAAAATAATTAAAATGTTGTATTATGTTAATTCCTTAAAGTTTTCACCTTGAGCTCAAAGCGTAGTAGGGAAGGTAAGCCTTCGGGTATTAAAGAGCAACTTCATTAAAAAATTGCAGCACGAAAACATATTTTACATCATAGTATTAATGACGAACTCCACATTACTACGGTTTGTTGGGGATGTTTTTGCCTGACTCGCAAGCAAATTGTTAACAGGAGGCAAGTCGCGTGAGTTTAGAAAAGCGCACTGGATTCATCAGTACAGAAAATTTGAATTTACCGCCAATGGAGCTTTCTTACCCTGGTTCAAGAATTTCCCCCTCCTTGGCGATGAGCCTGCGAACGGTTCCGACCTCGGTTGCTTTCAATCTCTTCTGTCCACCTTCGTCACCATTTGTATTTAAATCATACAACAAAATAACACGCCCCTCGTACACGATTGTCCCTTCACTAACTTTCCACTTCACAATTTTGGCCGATTTTGACGTGGGAAGCACGACGACAGTACGATTAGCGCCCATGTTTGTTGGAGACTGAAATGTCCCAAGATTCTAAAACCTTCTCTGATTGGCTGATTCCGAGCGCGAAAGTTCACTTCAACGAATCAAATCGTTCGTTACATTTTGAAAAAAGGCGTACCGTTCCATGTCTGCATCGCTCGAAAAGAAGCGATAATACGATCGATGACGACGAGTTGCAGGTAAAGAACACATTGCAGGCAACAGGGATATACTAGCCCAAGCCAGATTTTAGGAAAATTAATGATCGCAACTTTTAAAGTAGAGAGTTTAGTTCTACAGAAAATGTAAGATAGAATATTTTTCAATATGAAAACGAAACTGCGGTAGATGACCGTTGGGAAGGGACCAGCATGTGATAGCTACACTTAAAAAAACATTTAAAACATCTTCGGGGAGCTGGATAATCCGCTAAATACAGGGTTTCAGTATAGTTTTGATCGCTGGGACAGCAGAGCTGCAGATATTGGTAAGGGAAAGGAAAAACCAAAATCACAATTACTACTTCAGCCTCGAAAAGTTGCGGAGAAACTGAAGTTTGTTTTGGTTTTTTGCCTGGGAGAGGAAAATATTGCTGAGTGTTGCATATCGTTGCCTTACAACGGTGTCACATTTTTTGGAGGTTAGTGAGCGAATTGGCGGGCAAATTTGTAAACAATAACTGATTTGATAACATTCCGTCCTAACACTCAATGCTAAATTGCTAACTGCTGGAGGAACAGAAGGATAAAATTTAGCTGGCGTAAGTGATCAAGATCAGATCTGTTTTAGTGTGTACTTATCCAAAGCAGTCGTAAAGTGACTTATTTTTATATATTGTGAGTGGTATTATTAACTTACGAATCTCACAGATTTAAAGCCTGTCCAAAGTTGAAAGTTCCCATCTGCACAACAACTTGATCGGGAGCATACCCTTTGTCAAGCAATTAGACAAGGTTTTACCCTGTCGAACCCTTTTTTGTATCTTGCAGCATTCAAAATGACATCACTACATTGATTTTCGAATATTGCAGCTGTAGAGTTGTTAGGCGACTTGAATTACGCATCTTATGTTCTAAATTCATCATTAGTGTTGTGCGACTGTTCAATTCTTTTTTGAAACTTCTCCATCTAATTCTTTACCATTGGGTCCTTGTACTTACTCTCATCAAGTGCTTCAGATCAACCAGTCTTAAATTCATAATTATTTGAAACAGAGTGGTAAGTCTCCTTGCGTTTGCTTCAAGAGAGTATGAACAAAGAATCATAACTTAATTCTCTCTGTTCCTAGCCGCCAATGTCACTCTGTCAAAGACGTTCTCTGAGACTCAGCCGGTCGACCATCAATGGCGAAGAAAATCTTTACCCTTATGTTCCTCCAACAAGTTTCTTCATCGACGAAGACGATGAAGAAGAAATTGCTGGCAAATTATCAGGTATTTTTGCTCTCTACCGCACCTACTCTTATTTTTGAAGTACTATGGAACTCTTAAATAATCATGGAAAGCAGTTCACATTAGTACTATGGTCTTATTTTAGAAGCTGTTCTCACTTGACATTATTAACTCAATTGGAAATGTCTCTGATGATAATAGTTCACGATGGGAAGATAACTAAGGCCATAATCCTAACTTAGAACATCATGAAAGGATGTTTCTTCTGTGTAAAAAATATACAGCCCATTTATTCAGACCGTCGTATTTTGACATTCGGCATTTCTGCCTTCCGAACGTCTGAAATACCAGCAAAATCTGAGAAACCACCGCATTTTCCTTTTCATTTAGGACCTCCCCCATTTCATGAGACTGGATAAGTCTTGGGGTCAGGAAATTCATCTTCTGGTCACAAACTTTGCAGCGCATACTTGAAACACAGTTATTATTGAAATCCTGACTTGTAAGATTATGAACGAACACTCTCTTCCCCTTCTTTTTTACTATTCAAGGGGAATGAATGGAAGCCTCATGACCATAAAATTCCAATTCTTCACCCCCTCTCCACAAAGAAAAAAAAGGAGCTGGTTGCATCTTGAGGGTTATATACCCCGTGATGCAGGTCGGTACATTATGGCGTCGATATTGCAGCAAAATAATCACCTATGGCAGTGAAGTGTGGCAGTTGAAAAAGCGGACCCAAGAAATGCTCAAGGCGACAAAAATAGATTTCTTGCAAAAATCGGCTGGAATCTCGAGGAGAGAACGTATCAGGAATGAACTAGTCCCAGATATAATGGGCGTTGAGGGGACAATTGTGCACGATATCATGACCAAACAATTGCTTTGGTATGGGCATGTGCAGAGAATAGCTGATACCAGGTCGTCGAAGGAAGTGTTGGAGTGGGTGAGAGATGGAGAGATGCCAGCTTCCAGAAGATCTCTACCATGACAGATTCCTGTGGCAGGTAGGCGTCGTAGAGCGCCCGAGCGCGCTGTAAATGAGGCTTATATGTACATATTTCAGCAAATTCTGAAATTCAAAGTAGAAAAATTGACTTGATGTCCTTCCTTGCTGAACACTGTTTCCAAGAAAATCGATTATGAAAACCTTCTGTACTGACCTACGTCATTGACAGAATCCTGTATTCCGATATGCTACCTCCTCCTTTTTTTCTCTATGCTCTGTCTCCCTTTCATAGATTCTCAGCTTTATGCAAATTGAAGTAAAAAAATTAAGACTAACAATAAGTACATAGAGATGGTCTAAGGTTATCATTTGAAGGGTAAGCAAACGTTCATTAAGAGGCTCTATCTAAAAATTAACTGCTTACATCTTGATTTGAACTGAAATAATGCTGCAAGGTTTTCCCTGTTATAAATCTTTCATTCTGTGATATTAATCTCTTTTTCAGACTTAATCAAAATCACTTGGAAACTTTACACTGTATCTCCCTTGTACAATCTTTCCCGTGATGAACCCTGTTTGAAGCATTATCAGAACTACATTTCAGAAGAGCTCCTTAAATTGAAAATCAAAGATTTACACTTTAAAGTAACACTTGAATCAGTTCCTGAATTAGCACCAACAGAGAATGACGAAGGAGCATTTAGGGTAAGTGATTGATATGTTTAAAGATACGTTGATTCATACGTTTACGTGTCTGAGACAGTGAAGAGCAGTTAAGTACTTACTTAATGTAACATATAAAGACTCATTATTAATAAAAGGCACCAGCGCCAAAATTTTGGAAATGAGTCAGTTGCGTTATTTATAGGATTGTATTTTGATGGCTTATAGAGAAGCATAAAATAATAAGTTCCACTTAAATGCTTAGTCTCTACACTCAATACTATCAGGCTGTTGCCCTCTGAAAAACTCGGTGTATGACATCATTCACTGCGTCAGCATGCAATTGTAAAGTAACTAATGAATCAGTTTTGTTCAGGAGGGATTGAATTGACCCCTTTTTAGTCGTTTTCCCCAATCTTGAGCTCAGTAAAAGTAATAAGCCTCATAAAATATCTCTCAAAAAATTCTTGAGAGAAAAAGAACAATTTGACAGCATTCAGTAGAAAAGAACCAACTCAATGCATTGTTTCCAAAATAGTGAAAATTCTTCTCTACCCTAAAAAAAACTGAAGGCACAAACAGTAATGAAACTCACAGAATTTGTTTTACTTTAAACAAGCAATATTTTTCAAACTTCAGGACGTTTTCCAGTAAAAGGAAAAGCTACACACTTTTGGAAAGAGTGTAATGGATTTGGTTTCATTCTAGTAGGTAGTAAATGCTGTCTAATCGTACTTACATAGATGTCAATGCATAAACTACTTGTCCATCTCTTTTGGGGAAATATGTCTGAAAACAAGTCCAAGAAGCACAAGTAATGCCTGATTATTCTCCTGCAAATAAGACGGGTGCACAAATAAAGTAGCCCGAAAATACGGTAACAAAAGAAAATTACTGAATTAATGAATGAAGCAAGGCTAAATACTCAAAAGCACTGTAATGTAGGATGTTTTGAGCTGTCTATTTTGCAGTTGCAAATACCGAAACTTCACCCAAAAGTGAATGAGCTGGTCCAAAAGAGCCGCTTTTTATTTAACATCGGAATTTACGAGTGTGCAAAAGTTGCATATTCTTATCTGTTTGAAGAACAAGGGCTTCTCTTTTGAAAAAATTTGTGAAGTTGCACTCTACAGTTTTTAGAAAAGTTCCTTCTTTTAATTAATATGTTTTTCCACAGCTTCAAATCCTATCTAAGAAGAAGAGGAAGGTGTCCACTTTTTATGAAGGCATATTCTTATCTTGGAGGAGCTCTGGCAAGCAAACCTCGTCGAATCAAGCATCCATTAACTTGCCCTTGCTACTATGTTCGGGTTCGGTTCCAAACATTCGCAAAGTTCACATTATTTTGGCAAGGTGTTTTGATTGTGTCTTCGAAAAATTTCAACTGGCTCAGTATGATCTAAAATGGTTAACATGTTTGGCTGTCAAATACTCCCCTTCAAAGACCAATCACCTAGACTTGATATACTTCATGCATCGTTCTTCCTGCAAAAATGCCACAGTGACGGCCCGATCAGACTTTGAGGCTCTTAGAACCATTTGGGATTGGTAAGTTCTTTTCCTCTCTTTGTAATGAATTATCAAAATACATAGTGACATATATTTCAGGTTTATTATTTTTTGGAAGCTAAATGTTCATGTCTTTGAAACCATGTATTCGGAGTCATCATGCATATTGAATCAATCTTTTTTTCGTAGGTGTTCGAAATTTCCTTTCAAAAAAACTTTCCAATTGTCCCCTTAGTTTCTGTTGATACTGTTCATGGAAATCTAAACCATCCATCCGATCTCTGTATGTGAAATTCAGCTCATGATAAGGCTTCCAAACTAACCTTTTTTACCACCTACTTAGAAGTCCTTAGGGTTATTTTGAGGAGAGGGGAGGGACCAAAACCCCCCCGATCTCTCGGAGTTTTCAAAAGGCAAGGTTATGTTTAGACTTCAAATTTGGATTTTGTACAAAAAAAGAAATGCCCTCTGTTAATAACGTTTTTTTCATCTACATGACAATCTATGGACATTTCTGGGAAATTCTCAATTGACTGTCGTGAACTTTCCAATCAATCGAATTTTAAAATCTGAATAATTCCTAATATAACAGGCCAAGGCCTTTCTCTTGAAATGCCTCACGGCCAATTTTAACATAAAATGATGGGACTCAGTCTTCTCCTTCAATTTTGGGGCTTTGGGATGCATAGGTCAAAAGTTTCAAACAGCAACCCACCATGTGTGATACATTGTCAGAAGCGCAGGTAAAAACGGAAGTTATTTAGGAACGCTTGAAATCATCATCTACTGCTGTTTCAAAATGGCAGCGGGAAGGAGATGGAAGATGAGTACAATGGCCATTGAATAGCATGACTACTAATTCCGGTTTGACAAAAAGTGTGCACTTTTAGGTGCAAAACTTTTGCTCCTTAAAAATTTGTTGTCATTTTGTAGTTTGTAAGTGAACTCATCAATAGAATGATGATCTCAGTCAGAAGGTATTACTTAATGCCGTCTTTCAAGGAGAGCTGAAAGGCCCTTCTTCGTGAAGGTTCTTTAGGTACTTTTTCTGATTTTTAACACCTGTCCCTGAACATTAGTTTTTTTCGTGTAGTAAATTAAAAATTTTGGCTAATTCTAAATCATTTGCAGTATTTCTCAAGAAGACAGAATTACATATGAGGATGTCAACAAATTTATCGCAGGTGTTCATGAGCACTTTCTCAACACCTATCAAATAGATTTCAACAAGCTCAGCTGCAAGAGTATAGCAGCGTCTGGAAGTGTGGTAATCAATAATCAAGGCAAGGTGAGCTAACTTCAGAATATCAAGTGACTTGTTTCGCAGGCTGATTGTCGAAACTTAGGTCAGCATGATAAGACATCAAGAATCTATGTATTACACAGTAAAGACAGGAGTATGTTTCGTCTTATCAAGTTCCAACATAACAAAAAAAAATTTTAAAAATCAGTCTGTAAGGAAGCAGTGGCAAACCTTAAAGTAAATTTTAACAAGGCAACGAATTGACAGAAGTAATAAATTTTAAATGCATTCAAAACAAAACCGGTAAGGAAGACTTTCCTCTTCACATCGCATACTTAATCGGTAATATTTATCAGCCTTTTGAAACAATAAAATGTTCTATGCTTTTAAGTCAGTATTCATGATTATTTTGTTACCAAGTAACTAGTTAAAATCTCTAGTTGAAACACTCGTGTCGCGGTACCAAGACAGCATCATGTTGGCATTACAAGTAGAAAATAACTTAAATAACAAAATACTCCAGCTGTTGAAATGGTCAATGATGAAGCAAGAACAAAAAGTCTAATTGTAAAACTTTCTGAGCGATCCTCTTGAAAGACAGAATTGCTAAATTTTAACTCATTTCATTCTAGGATACTCTCTATTTTTTTAAATTAAAACAAAAATTCTTCTCTGGATTTGAGCGATTGAAGCATTAGCCATTAGGAAGTATAGAAGAAGGGCTGAAATCCTTATGAGGTGTAGAACCTGAATGAACTATAGAAATCCTATGAAGAAAGACTTAAATTAGACCTTGCATTTTAATTTTGATTGGACTAAGCATCAAAGCTTATTAAAATTAAAAATACATATTTTTCCTTGGAAATTTCAAATTGTTTGGTACTAGTTTGAATTGCGAGTCTTGAGATCATGAATATAACGAGAGGAATGAAATTATTCAGTGTATTGTGTGATAAACACCTGCTGAATATTTGCTCATTTCTCGAAAGGTATGCAGAGTGAACTGCAAGACAAGCAGAACGTCAACTTTTTCAAACTATTGAATAGCGGATGAATTTTCACTGTACTTGTGACAGTTTTCCGATATGACTGATGACTACAAGCCATCCTGATTCATTGGTTATAATAGGATGTAATGAGTCCTTTCAAGTCAAAATTTGCCAATGCCCATTCATCTGACAAAATTCCAAGTTTTGTGTTTTTATTTCATTTTTTTAGGGTGTAAATAATCCATTAAGCAATGATTCAAAATGGTGGCCAATCAAAGTTTAGAAAATATTTCTTTCCTCCGTTTTCAATTTTGTAAAAACTTTCAGTTTTTGCTGAATTTTTTTTTATTCTCCTCCAAAGTGTGTAACTTTCGATGGAGGTTGGTAAAAATCAAATCAATCAATTCTCAAATTTTCATAGAATTCTCAATTTTCAATCGCCATTAAAGTAAAATAATAAACTTCCCAGGTATGTTTCACTGTAAAATTTCTTTTTACTTTTCTAGGTCAGAGTTCACTCCGTAAAAGTTATGGATTGTCTTCTGAAATACTTCAGCACTACTTATCACTCAAGAAGGCTGCTTCGATGAGAGCTTTAGATAATCCGTTCAAGGAATCCTGAAGGAATTTTGAGTATCGAGTATTGTGATCCTTAGGTACGAGTAAAATCAGCTGATAATAGTCAAATAAAAATTGTTACAATACTTTATTCAAATTTTTACTATCAAGAAATTTATACAACAATGATGTAAATACAAACCTTATTGTACAGCTTTATTTTTAAAATTGAGGTTTCTACTTCAATTTTTAGTTTTAAGTTATTTTATACGTACATATTTACAATTTGTACAAATACAAATAGATATACATCAACTTTTAAGAGAGTAGAATTCTTATTATTTCCTAAAATTCATGTATGTTTTAGTATAATCTCTGAGAATTATGTTTTTCAACTCCTGGTATAATTATCATAAAAGAAAGCAAATATCTGGCTTCCCTGTATTCGAAAGACATGTGTCATGCAAGCACATACATATGTTGCTGCATGATTTTGCACACTAATAAATATATCAATATTTCACCTGAGAATGAAGAACTTTAGTCATCATCAACATCTAATTTTTGGTTGACAGAAGCACCTAAATTAACTGCTGATGCCAGATCTGATTGTTCATTTTTCAGTCTGTCACGAATTAATTCTGCTATGGCTCGTTGAGTCCTTTTTTCCAACTTCTCCAACTTCTTCACAACATCCCTCTTCAAGTCCCAGTCCGGCTTTCGTGGAGCAAGGCTGCTTAGATTCTGAAAATAGGATGAAATAGAAGGATGTCTAATTAAAAAAAACTTTAATGATTTTAGCTGAGTTATAAAGCATTGTTCCCAAAAAGTATTCCATTTCAAACTTTTAACACCAACATTGAAGAACTACGTTCCTCTTCCTTTATTTTGACCGTGCCCAATTAACAGGCTGTCTCAAAAGGACTTAGAACAACTGTGCCACAATTTGGTTGGCTATATATGGTGGACCATGAATTGCGAAACTCTTTTTACAAAGAGCCGGGAAAATTATACTCTTAATTCAAGCTGTATACAAATTGAGATTTTCCAACGGCAGGCCTGAGCCATTCTTGGTTCCTTAATAATATTAACCATTAATCCGCAATTGAGTAACTGAGTCAACATTCTTGCCTCAATTTGCAGCCATCTGCAGACCTGGCAACAAAATTCAGGTCCTGAGCAACATTTTAACAACCCCAACAAAAAGAAAATACCACTATTGAATTACTGCCTTCAATTGGACGGAGTTAAACAGAAAGGAACCAAGCCACATCGGGATCGAACCGAGAAAAAGAGGTTTAAAGTTTGGCTCCTGCATAAGACTCAATGTAAAAAATAAACTTCAAGTTCAATTTCTGAAAAATTTGCTCTAACAAAAACTTTGAATTTTTGACGATAGATAGTAGAGCAGTGATTGACTTCAAAACCACTCATAACTCAATTTTTTCCAAATTGTGGGTTGGTTCCTTTCTGCTTAACTCAGTCCAATTCAGACGCAGTTTGCATTGAATGTTTGTAAGTGACATTGATTAGTAGCTAGCTAAACATTGTAAGCTACATAAAAATGAATAAAATTTTCAGACTGTGAGCCGTAACTCATCAATTTTAAGAGGGACAGAGAGCTGTGTTGTTGAAATTTTTTTATAGTGTCGCAAAAAAGGCTATTCAAAGCAGAAAGTTTTTAGTTGAAGGACAAAAAAGCACTCATTTCTAACTTACAAGGTAAATTTGGAAATGATCAACGTTTCATCCTTTTGTGCATTAAAACATGTTCTATAACGCTTGGTTATTGATCCCGTTTTATGGTTCACTGCCTATGATTTAATGGAGAAGGGAAAGGAAATGACAGTTTTTCACTTCAACATGTCCTCTCCAATGGAATTTTGGAGATTTACTGGTGCGGAGAAGCGTATAGGAAAATTATGGGAACTAAGGATATTCATATACTCACCAATTCTTCAATAACCACTTTCTTATCTCCAGCTTCTAGTAAATCCTTCACCTCTGAAACAACATCACCTGGTTTGGCAGCAGGGATAACATTTTCTTTTAGGGTTGTTTCATCCGGAACATAACTTCTAAATTTTGGCCTGGGTGAAGTAGAAAAGAAGAGGAAAAATTAAAATAGCTGATTCCTGCTAATGTACGGAATTGGAAGATCCTGTTAGTTAGCTTACTTAGTTTTCACTTATTAAGTCAAGCCAAAACCCAATCCAATCTAATGTCTCTAGGCTTGAGGAGACAAAAGTTTTTCTTTGATCAACAGAAGTAATTTTCAAACCATAAAAAATGTTTTTACAAGGTTTCAGACTCTTTGCACAAATGCTCAAGGAGATATATACTGAAAACCAAGGTAAGTCAAGTGATATTTGAAAACAGTAGATATCAGAATTAGATACGAGCTCTTACAATTTTTTTCATGGTCATTTTTTTTTTTCAATTAAGGCTCTTCTTGCCAATACTTACGTTCACGGCGGTAGAATGACCACATTCTGAATTTTTCTTTCTCATCGATAGAAGGTGAAATTAATTTCATTGTAATCTCAGAGGACTGATTTAATAGTTTATTAATTTTTTCGGGGGAGAATATCAGAGGTTAGACTTTAACTTAAACAGATTAAAGGGCTCAGAATGAATTAAGTATTACTTAGTTCATTTCAATCATTTTAGAGTCCCTTTATACCCAGAGTTAAGACAACTCACTCGAAACGAGTGCACCAAGATGGCGGTACCTCGAATGTGAACAAGAATAATGAAAATATTACCTAATTGTGGTTCATCAAGAGTAAATTATTATTTCCATCGGTCCAAAATGAAAATAGATTAAGAAATTATTCACAAACCAATCTCATTTTCTTTTTAATTGATCAATTTGTTGATGTTGTTGTTTTTGTTTGACAGACATCGCAGGATTCCTGATCCTTATCCCTCAATATCGTTCGTTTGGGTGCACTCGTTTCGGCCTCCATGGCCAGACAAGGCCGGCTGCCAGTCAGCTGATAATCGAGTTGTCTTAACTCTGGGTATAAAGGGACTCTAAATCATTTAACCTCCATTACTCAATCTCACAACTTCAGGGCATAAAACAACGTTTTTGGTATAATCAGCGGATGTTGTCTTATTGAAAGTTCTGTGAAACTCATTCCCTATTGCTTTAAACTTCTAAAAAAGATTTGCAAAAGATGATTTGTTCTGTCATGGATTTAAGACATAACCCTCTCCATCTGTTGCTTGGAGGCCTTGAAAAAGCACTTCCTACTTTTAAAAGTTTGAATGCGATTTCCTCTAAACTTAAAAACTTAACATCTACTATCATTACAGATATATGACCTTGTCAAAAATTATTAAATGTCCAATAAAACAGATCAGCCAAAAATCTATGATTATTTCCCATTAAAGATTTAACTCTAAACACGGCAAGACAATATGCATCGAGGTAAAGAATGGCTGGCAATGATGCAGCAGTTTGCGTTGTGATTCCAGTATTAATTAGAAGTTGAAAATTTAAAAAATGCTATGACAGCACTTAATGAAATACTGGAGATAGAAAGGTTTCATCTACTTATATTATCCGATTCCATTTTTGGAAAAATGTGATGGACGCATTAGTGCGTCAAGATTATATACTCGAATAATTCGCTGAATATCAATGTTTGTCAACAGTGAAATTACCAGACCGCGTATCTCGGTTGAAAACTATGGAGTGGAGATTATTGAACACTGCGAACTAGATACATCGTCTGATAGTTACTCCGTTGTTATTGTTTGTGTGATGATAGTACTAAATGGCTGCATCTAAACTTAGATTAGATAGACTTACTTGGGCAATACATGTTCACTGCTCTCTTTGACGTCCTCTTTTCCTTCAGTGGCTTTTCTTTTCAATGCTTTAAGTCTTTCTTTCCTTTTGAAAGCTTCATCCTCCAATGTACCAATTTTGTCTTCGGTTGAGGCCATGACACAATCGGAACACAGAGCAGGATTGAGGTGCGGATGTACCTAAGAGAAAAAAATGCAATCCAATTTTTGACTTCCTAATCAAAGGAGAGGAATTTTACTTCAACAAGGTGAGTGAGAAAGAAAAAATTAAAAAAAAGTCTTAGAAATTAGAAAATCTATCATGTTTACACTTTGAGGTTAGGGTTCATTTGATGTATGATGGATGGTGCGTATTTGGTCTATAACGATGAGTAATGTTGCTAAATTGCATTTTTTTAAATATAAAAAAAATGCTAAAAACTCAAAAACCCTTATTATTATTACCGGCTACGCAACAGTGCAATTTGCGCGGGATTTATTCGTAAACAAAAACAAACCAGAACTAAAGAAATTCAAATTCCTTAAATCATAAATGAACATGTGCTTTTAAATTTAATGTGTCATCAGTTGGTACTGGATGATAAGTTTTTGAATAATATTTCCAGTAATGTAAGTGAGTACATAAAGCATTATTTTATCTTACTAATTATGAAATTTTCACTTTCTGTGAATCTTCCCGTTGAACTTTTTGATACCTACTGCAAAGGTTTAATGGCTTCAACACCAAACAGGTCAATTGCTTACTTTTTTAATTTGACATCATGAGTGCTCAATGTAATACGTGAAAGAATCATGAAGACTACAAATGGATTTGAACATTTTGGCGACGGAGCCCTACTCAGGTAATGTAATCATGTTATCAACGGACTGTTAGGCGCTGGCACTGGCACCTGACATTTGCTACTGGTCAGAGTTGGCCGTGTATAATTCGACAATTACTAAAATTGGTGTAGCAACACTGACTACACGCTCGGTCCCTAGAATTCTCTACGTGATAAGATAGATCAATCGTCAAATTATTCGTCCAATTGATGTTTGATGGGACGTTGCCGATTGACCAAATAATTTCTGTAAATTTTTTTCCCGAACTGAGCTACTGGTACTATCTATGTACCCAAATCAGAAACCTCCTCAGAGTTTTGAACTGGCGTCTATGTGGAGTGTCTATCCTGTCCATGTGGCAATTTTAACCAGACCTAGAGAAGTATTTTTCTAAGTTCTTTCGTAAAGCTGAGGGTCTTATAGCGTTTGGGAAAAATAATTTTAATGTCACTGGAAAATCACTTGTTAAAATCCATCTTGTCGTCTTCATGTCTTGCAATTTGTGGAGACTGTTCGTCACAAGAATCATGCACAAAACAAATACTTTCCTAAGAAACCAAGTTAACGTAAGTACTTAGTTGAAAAGATAACAGACGGTAACCAAATAACTAAGACCTCACAATACGCATTTTGCAGTAAGCACTCAATCATCATGAGATCGGACTCCGAACTTCTCCAAATTTAAGTCAAACTTCTATCTGGTATCAAATTGTTTTTAAAGGCCTGACGGAATGTCGTGGATCTTCATGATGGCTGTAAAATCTGTTCATCAGATTTTTCTGGAGAATCTCAGTGAAGGGGCTCCTACTCATGTGCATCATATGAAACATGTTGCTGAAATAATTTCAAGAGTCCAAATCTTTGTTGTCATATTCTTAAATCTCTCAAAAATGGAGTTAAGTTTTCAAAGATTCTACCTAGAGCCAATTGTAGTTTCCACACCATGAATATGTCATGTTCACTCAGATTATTCACCATTTAATAACTGTCATTTACTGATCCTCTGCTCATAAACCTCCCCTATTAGTGAGGCTTAGTGACAGAATCAATTTTTATTTTGCTCTGTTACTGATTGTCAGTCTTGCCCTGGATTACTAATAATGTGCCCGATCGTTCCCACTGAGTAGATGAAGTCGTTCCAAGTATAAGTTGACATTTTTTCCTCATTTTCAGGCATAGATCTATGTAAATCATACAAGCAGTATTACAATTCTTCTTCTGCCCCTAATACCTTGATATTGTTTTGATTTTAGGTAGCAATTCTACATCATGGATGTTGAAATACCCAATACTAGTAATGGTGCTGAAGAAGAAGTTATACTTTCACAAGCGGTCGAAGAATTATCTCAAGAATATGGGGAAAGTACATTCTGTGAAAAATGTCCGTTCGATCAACATTACTTTCCATATCGCTGCGTCCCCTTATCCAATCTTGAGGGTCATTTGAGGATTGCAGACTATCCATTCTTCGGATTTATACTTCAAACAGAGGACACAGATTATTTTTTAATCCTGCAAAATCGAATGAATATAATTGCATCATTTTTAATGGGGGTCAACAACAAAGTCCGAATCAAAAATGGTCTATGGATCACTGAGCATTATCAAGCTCTCAACAAAAGATTTTATCCAGAAACTTTTCAGTTGGAATTTCTGGAGGTGGCTGAAAATATAGACATTGTTGAAGAAAATGATGTTATCAGTACCATTTGTTCAACTAGTCCTGGAAATAGTGCTGCAGTGAACAAAATTAGTGATGAGTATCGCTCTCAGGCATTTCTTGTTCTACATGTCTCAAATGTTTTGAGCATAGGTGATATAACTGTTTGTCTTTTGTTCATCAAACTTTTAGAAAGTACTAGTGAGGACGTATGGCTCATCTTACAAAACAAAACGTGTAGCTGGTCAGTCACACTACTCCCTGGATACAAATACGAATTACTTATTCCTAATTCATTCCCAAAAGATATTTTATCAAAGCATAAGCAGTCCTTGAAAGAAATTCTCCCACTTCAGTTTCATGGAAGTTTTGAAACAATATTTCACCATCCAGAATTGTTTTCAACGATGAATGCTTGTTATGTTCCTGGAGGTAGTAAATTAAAAGTCCTCCCTCCTTCTGTAACGTCCTTAACTCTTAATGCTCTTAGTGTAAGGGAAGCATCATCTGAGAATGCTGATCTTATTTCAATGTACGGACGAGTCACAAAAGTCAATCACATCATGCGTCAGTGGTCACAATGTTGCCCCATGTGCAGCAAGGCCAGTGCTGAAGACTCTGATGATATTCCTCTCCAAAGTAGTCAGAAACCAGGATTGAATATTAATTCTTTTAGAGCTGAGCCAAAAATACCTTCAGAAGGTATCATACTTTCTGAAAGTGAAACACTGCCAGTGAAAAATGATAGAAGAACTTTCGGTGTACTAGGTAGTCTGGTAAAAAAACTGACCGTCAGAGGTCTTCAAGGGGATAGTGAAACTATTGTATTTTTAAGGGATCACTCTTTTTATACTGGGTTTGAGAAAGTTGATTTCAGGAGTGGTTTATTACATGATGGTGGTATTTTACCAAACACAATTGTCTGTTTTGAAAGCCTTGTCAAGAAAACTCCTTTAAAAGGAAAACCATATTTTTTAACAACACCTCTAACCAAAATATTTATTCTAGGCCGAGTACTAGATGATGCAGAGATTGAAGTTTCTTGGTCTTCCTATGGCCCCCCAATTAAAATTGATGAGTGGACTCAAGGAAAAGTTTTTTGGTTTGCCCTAGACTTTCCTGATTTAGTTTATGTGAAAATTACTGCTATCTGTGATACTTGTGAAGGTCAACTCAATGATAATTTGTGTCCTAGTTTTTGTCAAACTTTAAGTAGTAAAATAGACGCAACAGCAATCCTAATGGTAGATCATGTAACAATGCCACCTTTCAAATTAATAATGAAGAACAGTCATGTAAAGACTTTCTTAGGAGCTGATGACACAATGTGGGACTGGTTTCATACAGCTGCCAGGAGGTCCCCTTTAATATATCGACGTGAATCATTAGAAGAAATGGATCACTCTGTAGAGGGAGAGTTCCCAGCTTTGTTTAAATTTTATTGTGATCTCTTTCGTCCGAAGAAAATGTGGCATGTTTGTGTTAAAATAATGCCTCAAAAGTCTGAAGATGCAAAAAATAATTTGTTTACAGTATTTTGTCTAGAAATGCTCCCTGTGGATCCAGCCCGAACAGCAAAATTTGCCTATAATTTAGAAGCATTAGAAAATTCTAACTGAAACATCACTCTAAATGTATTTGTTAACCATCCTGAATTCATGTTAATAATATAAGATTTAAAATATCACATTCCTGTGTTAATTTTCTCTTCTCAATGTTATTGAAAGTGAAATTAGAAAAAATGTACAGCTCAATCAGGTAGGTAGGCACAGACAATTAAAGTTTTCACCTCTGCGCACGGATTCTTTAATTCCTGAAGAAAGCCATTGCTGGTAGGTGAAATGAGATAATTTTGAAGAGACAATTATGATTGTTTCCAATGGTTTATTTATTTTTTCAAGAAGTTAAGACATTTTTCTTGCCTCAGATTAAGATGCTAAAAAGTTTCGGTAATTTCACTGTACTCGTTTGCTCACCACTCCATATATATGGATGGAACGAAATTCAAATAAACCTTTTTGTAAATTAGTGGGTGTTATGTTTAAGGGCATTAGCGCAGCTATAACAATTTTGTGGGGAAAGCATGGCCTCACAGAGATCTAAGGGTTTCAAGTGGTCATAAATTTATTAAAAAACAACTTTTTGAGGGGTATGTCACGTAATTGTTCTCAAAAGCAACACAGTTAAATTAGAGAAGATATACATAGAGACCAAGAAATACCTACCACGTGTAAAATAAGTTTGAAAATTTTGAAATTTTAGATCCTGTGTAATTTTTTACCTGAGTAATATGAATGGAGCTTGTTTTATAAGGGAAGGTTTGTTACTGATACTAAATTCTTACAAACGCAAATTTTTAAAAATGAGACTTTTAATAATCAAATATACCTAGCTACCAGTCAGGCTGACTGGGTCAGCTAGTTAATACTTGAAGACTGCACAACAGGTAATAATTATAAATTGTGAGGAGGTACGTTTTCATGAGGGGGCCATATGTAGAGCGTAGTGAAGAAATTTGAATTTTTTGGAATTGAAGATAGGTGAAAAAATCATCCAAAAACGATTATTTAAGAATGAACAAGAAAAGATTTGACCCAAGCTCCAATCCTCAAATCTCAGAAAATAATTTTATCAACAATATCTGAAACGATCTTTGTACCTATTGCCAACATGCGTATCCATTAGTATGAGTAAAATGTGAGGGAGAACCCTCCCCCCCCCCGCCCCTATCCATCTCCGCTTGATTGCAATAGCCAGAAGATCTATTCCTCTTCCGATACTAAATTTGAAAAATAAAATTTAAGACTTTTTAATGAACTCATACTGTTTAACTGCACTGCTCATAAAAAAAATTGCGAACCTGAATTTTTTTCTGTTGGCAACAATCCGTTGAAATTGCTTTCTATAAGGAAATTCCTTTTCCTCCAAGTATGTAATTGTTACTTTAAAAGGTGTATAAGCAACGAAACTAGGCCTCTTAAGGTGTTATGCCATTATCGTTGAGACTCAGTGACTGAGATAGTGCCTCTGATCCAGGCGAATTTTAAAAATGAGAAAACTTGAAACGCTAAAAAATATGTATGATCAAAATAATAATTTGCTTTTGAGGTGGATGATGATTACGCACATCGAGTTCATCGTACGTAATGCAACAACTTTAGTTTAAAAGCACCTTTTCGAACTGCCTAGTGCGCGTGCGGTATCATCGTGGAATGAAGGCGAATTTTATTTCACGCCAGCCCGAATGGTGACCCGGCCAAGATCCCCATCTCCGATCTCTACACTGCACCTCTGCACTACCTATGGCAAGTTTAGTTATCGGAGCACACTTTNGGGGGGGGGGGGGGGGGGAGGGAGTCAAAACCTGTGAACCTCGATATCTCTTGGACGGAGAAAGGTATCAAGGTCCTGGACGAAAAATTGTCTAAAATTACATACTTCAAAATTCTAAAGGTCAAAATCTCGAAATTTCCAAAACGTTTCGAAAACATTTTCAAATCAACATTATGTGCTTTTTTCAGTTTTTCATCCGAGAAAATTTCTTTTAAACAAAGGATCCACCAAGTACCCAATTTTTTATTTGAACCAAAACCAGTTTTCAAAATTGTTCGTATTTTTTTTGCATCCAACGAGTGGTCCATTAAGCTGGAGAACCAAGCGGTTCCGGAATTATGAGGGATTGAAGTTTCCGCTCAACGCGCGCCAAAAAGCCGAATTTAGGTGTTATTAGGTAGATCAAATTGAATGATCAAGCCGTGCAAAGTACATTTTTAGGGATTCTTGAGTTCAGAATTTACAGATACTTCCAAAAAATTCACTTTTTTAAAATTACAGTTTAGGATTGCCCACCAAGCACCGACTGGCCGCTCGGTGGGCCCCTAAAGTAGCGCTCCGAAGCTGCAATTTTGACTTTTCCAGACTTTTGCCATCAATATTTAACGGAATGAGGGAGGACTGGTGTGTAAGAAAACTTCGCAGGCCTGGGCCTAGGTGCCCTCGGTGACCACTAATGTTTTAGAAGCTCCTCCAATCCATTCGTGCTTTATATTAAGTGCTTACCAAGGCACCACCACCAGGCAACTTTAATTTTTTGAGACTTGTTGCATAGGACAACGCAAGCGAACGTCATTGAGGACTCGGACAGCCAGTCCAGTCCGCCTTCATTTTTTTTAATTTGCAAAACAGACATCTATCGAGCACGAATAGTTGCATTCGGAAGTTACTTACGTGCATAATCGTCACGCTGCGTCTATGAAGTAGTTATCAGCTTATCATTCCAATTTAAGCGCAAACTTTCCGCGCATTTCCCTGGTCTTAAGTCCAACTATGGTAAATGGAATAAAATTGTAATTTATTTTATTCCCTGATTTATGCATGCTAAGCAATAGCGCAGTAACTTCCACGTATGCGTTACTCATATTTTTTTTCGGAAAATACTTCAATAGGTATGGAAATTAAAATATCCTGATATGGAAATTAAAATATCCTGATAGGCAGAGCCAGCTTAAAAATCACCAGGTGACTTCTCTCATGCTTAATGTTAGGTTCAATTTGTAGACAATACAAGTAAGTCCTCGGATGAGTGTATATTGTTGCATGGAGTATGTTCTTTGGCCTACCTCGAAATTGAAGGCGAAATGACGATGTTTGTACCTTTCATGCTCTTTGGTGTCGAATCGGATTCCATTGGATTCAGTAAGAAAACTTCACCGGATATCAACTTTTAGTGCAGGCTACAGTATTGCCCACGATCAAAACAGGTGAATCGTCATGCGTATGTGTCAGTGGCGTGGCGTGCTTTGCGATATATCGATTGTTATGCCATTTAAACCCATGGAAAAGGATCGATAGACAGGGTGTTCGCAGCGAACACCTTAATAATCGATTCTTTACCATAGGTTTAAATGGCATAACAATCGATACATCGCAATTCACGCCACGCCACTGGTATGTGTCACTTTTGCTTCAAAGATCTTCAAATCTTGGGATTACGGATTGTGTTGGTAGAATGGGAAGTTCGGGATGGCGAATTTATTGAATAAATCGATTTCGGAGAATTTACTTTATTTTCAGTAAAAATCTACTCGATTTTAAGATCGGATGATAAAAATCGATTTCGAAAAAAAAAACCGATTTTAAAATATTTAAAAATCCACGTTCGGCACCGAAAACGCGGCTGCTACAACTAAAACTGAACTTGAAATCAACCTCAGATTTAAAAAAATACCGTATGTGACACATAAACGTGGGAAATTTCGATTTTTTTCATTAATTTGATTTCGGTCAATGAATCGATTCCGATTCTTAATCAACCCCGAAAAATCGATCCGATTCGATCGATTTTTTGTGCAAAAAGATCTATCAAGAATCGCTATTCCTATGCATGGGGTGCGGATTTTTTTTGGAAAAAATAGTTTTCTCCTGAAAATCGATTAACACCGAATCGATTTAAATGTAAAACTCGATTTTTTCAAATATCGATTAGAAAAAATTGTTATCTTCAGCCTTTTCCAGTGATGCCAAATTCATTGAATTTGGACAGGGGAAATTGGCTCATTTCGCGGGAAAATCGTATGATCTTTGAAACCAACGTATTTATAGGGGTCCGAAACCGGCCCTTAAAATTAGTTTGAAGTAATTTCTACGATTTTTACTTAAAAGTGGCTAAAATTTGGCGAATTTTCTCATTTTATGTTTTTCTTTACGATAATTTGAACCGGAGTTATGGGTTTTTGAAAATAGGTCAAATTCAGGGACGTAGCTAGGAAATTTCTCTGGGGGGGGCCATGGGACCACCTCTCGTGGTGAAGAGAGCGGGGGGAGGGTGAGGAATGAAGGATCCCGTTTTTCTGGGGGGGGGCACGAGATTTCTGGGGGGGCCAGGCCCCCCTAGCTACGCCCATGGTCAAATTTGACCTATCATGACTCTGTCAAAAATTAAGATATTGATCTGCGGTTTGCGCCCTTAGTTTTTAATCTGCTTTCAAATGGTTTATCACAAGATAGGGGTTACCATTTGAAAAAAAAAGTTGCCCCCTCCTATCCCCCCCCCCCCCCCGGGAGGGGTAAAAATTTTGACCTCCCTTAAAGATGGTCCTCTATGAGTTAGTACCATATCCCAAGGTTTCGTTTTCCTATCTCTAACCGTTTAAAAGTTAGCGGTAGGGGAGGGGGGGAGCGGGACTTTTGGAACACCCTGTATAGGTAATCTTGGTGCTGCAAGTCGCAGCTTCCAACGGGCAAGCAAGGAGGAGGAGGGGGCTGAGAGGAGTAGAGACTCTCTCCGCTTCACCTGCGTCGGCCGAGGCCGCATTGTGTTGTTTTCTTCTCTCGGGCCGGGCCGTCAGTTTACGTTGGTCGTTCCTCCATCGCGTCCGTGAAGTTCGTGCGCGGCTGTGATCTTCAAAACTTTGTTTCTTCATTCAAATTGTTGTGTGATATCTGTGTGTGGTGTTGTTTGTTTCTCCAGCAACTGCAGTTTTATCACCCGGAGTACCTCCACTCTCTACCAGTGAAATTTACTTTTTATGGTAAGCGTTTGTTTACTCTGGATCACGTTATCACCACCTTTGCATTTGCACCTTGTGCTGACACCTGTTGCTTGCATGCACTTATTTGCTCTATAACCACAATTTGACCTTACTGGCGCAACATCGGGAAATGAGTTACTAAAGTTTTACCCTTAATTAACCCTGGAGTGGTTCTTTGATCAAAACTTTTACTCAGGGACGCCTGATATGGTGTTCAAATTCCTAACCTCTTCCTACCAGGTAGTAACAGATATCAGCTAAAGCTACATGATATGAAGATGGATATTTATTGTTTATATATCTCTAGAGTTTTATGATTTTCACAATTATGCTAAGTCTGCTCCTTACAGAAAGCACTTCGGGTCCCTCAGAAGTTATTATTGAGTCCACCTAGCAGAACTGCTGAACGTAAACTTACCATTCCTTCGGGCACACTGTCAGCATCATGAGCTTCTTGGCATTTGAATTGTGATTTCTCATTAGTCTTATTTCAAGAAATGTCAACTCTTGATGTATTAGAGACTCTGAGACTTCATCCCAAGCTCTTATGATAAAATGTTAGCATCTTTCTCATGAGAAATCATGCAGCATCTCGATCTTGATGATCACAAGTTCCAACTAGGCAATTTTCAATCTGAAGCCCCAGCTCATTATTTCATAAGTTATCCTGACTGGATGGATTTCAGAGTCTCTCTGAATATCTCAGTGCAATTTTGTGACAGTGTCACTCAGGTACCATAGTTAAGTATAAACTCTTGAGTGGTACAGTTTGAACTGTACGGTCCGGAACCGATGAATGTGATTAGCGATCCCAGAGGCAACACGTGTAAAGCCAATTTCTTTAAAGGTTCTATTCACTTTCAATCAATGAATCAAAATTCCTAGGGGTGATGAAAGTTCTTTGGTGCTAAAATCAGTCGGAAACTCCCCTCTTGTGTCTCCTTAAATCATTTTCAGACTCCACAAAAACGAGGGAAGTATAAAGTTAAGTCATAAAATTTCTGAGAAAAAAAACCCCTTTTCTCCCCCCTCTCCTCCTTTTTTTAAATTACCTAGAAGGAATTTTTGAAGGAAGTAATGATTATTTTTCCTTGAAATTTTCAGACACATCAAATCAAATTACGAACTAAATTCTCTGAAAAATCGGAAGAAAAATATTCACGAATTTTCCCGAGAATTCTTGATTGGTCAAAGTAAGTTTAACAACGTGTAGGTAAAAGCTCATACGTTTTTCCTTAGCACCGCAGAACAGCATCGGCGGCAAATAAGTAAATCCGGCCCTGGAGCCGGTCGGGGTTCGTGAGCATGAGCATTCTCTGCGGGTCGATTATTGAACTTTATAGACAAAGCTTTCCACAAAGAAGACATGAGGTGTATAGAGCGATCCTAGTGGTTGAAATGGGTGGTTCATTATAGACTAAAGGGGTAAATGATGGACTGACTATCGGGTCCCTCGTGGGTTGCCGTTAGTTAGTCTATTATCTACGTCCTTTGTCCATTGCAACCACCCGCTTCCACCAATAGGATCCCTCCATATCCTTCTTGTCTTCCTTGTCTATTGCTTTGCCTATCAATTTCAATAATCAGCCCGCTGCACCCCTTGTAACTCCGTTCACTTTTCCCTTACTTGATGTAGATAAGACACGGTAAGTAAGTAGCAGCTTCCGTCGCTTTCTTTCGAACCGCGAAGTTTACTCAGGTATCGAAAAAACGCGTCCCAGCAATCGTACCGTCCGATCGGTTCGCCCGTCACACTAACGACGCGGCGCGGCGTCGGAATTTTTAACGATACGGCCGACACTTACGTCATGGCCTGACGTTGCAAGTAGTGCCACCTCTGATAAAGAGCTGAATTTTGGCTACAGTCCAAATCCTCGTTTGAAAGCGGGAGGCTTTTTTTTTCGGGGTGTGCGCCCAGTTTTTTCCGCGGGAAGGCCCGTGACGGATTCGCACGTCGATCGCGTAAAATTTCCTCGCGAAAAGAACCGTGCCACCGCGGCCCAAGTAACACCGCCGCACAATGGATCCAGTCAATAGAAGAAGTTGGACAAATCTAAAAACTTTGAAAGCTTGTATTTTCGAAAGTATGAGACGAAGAAGTTTGAGAGTAGCTACTTTGATTTTTTCTTGAAATTTCCTCTCAGCAGGAACACCCTTTGAAATTGAATTTGTGACGAATTAAACATTAATGTTTGAAATTTTAATGTCCGACCTCTTGTATCAGTTCGTTCCACTGTGCGGCGCCAAGTGCGAAATTACAGAATGCGAACAACCGCGGAGTAGGACGCCCATCCATCGAGGGTGCGGGTGGCGGCGGGGGGTCTGGCTGGCAGGGTGCCAAGGGTGCGCTGCGTTCCATGCACCATGCATGAGTGCATGAGTGGACCGCTCAGTGGTGCCAGCTTCTCGCAATGCCTGGAGAGAAAGGAAATGATCTTGATAGGAGTCTGCTAAATCATTGATAAGCTTTAATTTCTACAGTTTCGTACCAAAACCTAAATTTATCGGTGCCAGCTTCTCGCAATGGCTGCGCTGGAAAAAAAAAGAATCTTAAATTTGCCGCCAAGAAGTATTTCTTCTTAAATCAAGAATTTTCCTGGTTAATATAAGCTACTTTCTTGCTTAACCCAAGCATTATTTTTCTTGTATCAAGAAACAGTCAGCTTAAAGCAAGAAAAAACAATTTCTTGGCGGCAAATTCAAGAATCATCAATCATCATGCTTGATCCAAGCTACTTTTTTTTTCAGTGTGGAGAAAAAAGGAAATGATCTTGATAGGAGTCTGCTAAATCACCGATAAGCTTTAATATCTACAATTTCGTACGAAAACTTATATTGCTATATACCGCCGTTTATAGAAAATTAAAATAAAACGTATCATTACTTAAATTGACAAAATCAAGGTAACACAAAATTATTCACGCTTTATACTTACCTAGATTTCCTCGCAAACTCTCTGTGCCATAAGCTTCATGTCTCTCATTTGGAGTGGACCTCAGGGCATGGACAATACATGTTTTTGACTATATTTTGTGGTAAGGAACTGCAGTTCCTCACTACAAAATATAGCCAGAAACAGAAAATGGAACAACATACTCACTCACAATCAGTCTCCCTCTGCAGATACGTTTTCGTGGATGAGCCAGAAACAGTGGTTCATTGTAAAATGTAGTCTATGTAAAGCGTCATTATATATTTTCCCTACTTTAAATCATACGTAGGAATGAAATCGGGAATAATTTCTAGTCCATCACTGAAAAAAAAATCTCGGTGTATTTACTAAGAAAAGGGTAAAATTATCAAGAATTCAGGGTTCTATTTGATCCCAGTTTTTTCTTGGTAAAATTACCATTTATGGAATTGGTAATTTTACCGAGAATCTCTGTAAAATTAATGAACTTTCTCATTAATTTTTACGGACCTTGGTAAAAACGCCAATATGTTTTATCGACTGTGGTAGAATTACCGAGATAAAATGGCAAAGAAACCAGGAATTGATCACCAATAAAAGTGGTATTCTTACCTGAAAAAACAGTAAAAAAATACCGGTTTTTAAGTAAGCTTACCAGTCTGTCTTGGTAAAATTACAAATGATTGGTAAAAAAAGTGAGATGGTAAAGGTACCGACGGACCTTGGTAATAACGCCGAGAATTTTTTTTCAGTGTAAAAAATATATTTTTTATTCAGTCCACCAGTCAAAGGTACGTGTTTAGCTGAAAAATACTGGCCCTCGCCGTATAGATTATTTCAGTGTAAAATTTCAAGCGATGGCAACGCGGGTATAATGATTCACGTTGCAGGGTCTCCCGCTATGATCGCCTCATAGCATTCTGACAGGTGTATCTCAGCTCTGAGGAGCTCTAATTTCATTCTGCAACCGCAAAAGGGAGATATTTCGCGAACCCCAGCAGTGTGAAAACCACCACAAGGAAAGGTGGTAGTCTGCCCCCGGAATGAAATCGGCAAGCTCTCAATGTAACAAGACCTGCAAGCTCAAGGAAACGAAAATAATGATAGCACCCACAGTTGCTGAATTATTAGGTTGCATTAATCATATTATCTCAATTTGGTGGAATCTCTCGCCTTCCTAAATCCATTAGTATCGTCTGTTTTGGGTGTCGGTCACGTGGGTAATTCTGCTATCATTGTCAAATACCACCTTTCGAAACGGTGAATAATGGTTGGGAAGCCGAGAAATGCTACTCCAGTTTGTGTAACCTATAGTGAGCTTGAAAAAGAGGAATTTCTCACTTATCAGCACTAGATGATTATCGAATGGCTTGACATGGAGGTGCCTAGATTTATACCATTATTTAAGGCACGAAGGGATAAAGTTTTCAACTTCAATGGAGCGTTCAATGAGAAAAAATTCCATTTCATGATTTTGTTTACTTTTCTACCCGAGCGTTCAAGTCTCGGAGACTTGAGCCTTATCGGGTTGATAGTTGGCAGCCCGCAGCATCTCGTTATTACTCGGGATTGTAGTCGGCCAATTGCTGCTCCCGGGGAATCAAAGGGATCCGGCTTTTTAATTAAACGTTGCGTAATTTTACCCTTGTGATTGTGGAGATTTATTTGAGTAAAATTTGATATTTCATACGTAATTTATCAATAAAATCAACGTGTTTTGTGGCACTGAAGCGCCGGTTTTAGCATTTTAGTGAAAGCTGTCTTATGCAAAATGCCGCTAGGTGCCTGGGTAATTGTCTCTGTAATTCCACCTGTATAACAAAAGCATGTGTATACGGGTTTTTTTCCGATTTTGCTAGAGGGCTACACCCCCTGACTGCTTTGCGGAAGCGCCTCGCGCCTCAGCTGTTGTGCGCCACGCGTCACTCTTATATGCTTTTATATTTTAAATTTGAGCAATAAGTTTTTTTCTAAGAAATCTCATTGAAATATCATGTTCAGAGATGGAAAAAATCAACATCGTTTTTTGAGAAATTTCCCGATTTTTCCCCCATCTCGCACCTAGTGAGGAAAGCTTTTCTGGAAGCTT